CCCCCCCCTCTTAGGGTCTGTTTGTGCCACATGCGACGACGACCTACAAACGGCGGATGCTCGAGGGCCGTGGCTGGCGCGTCGTGTCCATCCCCTTCTACGACATCATCAGAAGGCAACGGAGCCGCATCGGCTACCTCAGGAGGAAGATGCGCGAGATCGGCGTCATCAAGTCAGGCAGGAAACACCAGAAACCCCCACGACCGCCGCCCTCGCCGACTAAAGCCCCACGAGCGGCACCGGCCAACGCCTCTCTCACGACAACCGTCTCGACCGTTGTCCAAGGAAAGGCTGATGTGCTGGGCATGGTGCAGAGGGCAGGGGCAGCAAACGAGACCAGAAGCAGCGGCACACCCAGGGCGATGGCGGGCCTGCCATTGCGGCAGCAAGGGCCGTCGCTCCCCGACCAGTGGCGCCGCACTCGGCGGAAGAAGCGCGTGTTTCCCCTGCAGCTGGCCGACGGCAAGAAGGTGCGCGTGCTTGTCGACCACCAGAGGACATTCCCCTTCCCTGGCCACCAGGGGGGAGACAACTTGAAGAAGCCCTCCAAGCGCTATCCCCCACCTCCACCCCATCCGCCCCCATCCCCGGCACTCCCCAGCCAGGCACCGCCAGGAGAGAGCACTACACCGACCGAGTCGCCCTCATCAGCTGCAGCTGGCGGCAACACGAGCCCTTCCGTGTCTCAGCGGCCGCTGCAGACTGCGGCACTGGTGCAGCGGCTGGCCGAAGCACAGCAGAGGGCAGGCGGGGACGAAGACGGCGGTGAACAGACTTCCCCGTGGAGTGAGTGAGTGAGTGAGTTAGGATCTGGCGGGTGTCGAAGGTAGACAGACATAAGGAAGAGAGGGAATGAGACGACATTTATGGTTTTGAGATGGACACTGGCGATTGAGCATGGCGATTTTGAGATGCCACGAGGGAATGCAGCCAGGCAGGCAGTCGGCGAACTGATTGGATGGATGGATGTGGTCTGGACATGCAGTGGGCGACTCAGGAGGGAGGGGGTATCCTGTTGGATCGCATGCAGTCAGTATTTGTGGTTGTGTGCGTGTGTCGACTAACGCTCTGACAAGACACGTGTCAACTGCGTACAAGACACCCTCAGACACACTGCCTGCTCGCATCATGATGCCAGAATGCATTCGATCGCCGCATTCGGCTGCGAGCTTCAAAAGTGAGGAGAGTCCTCTTGTGGCTCTCAGCTGGAGATGTCTTCAACTCCGCTAAAGGTGTTCATTCTGGTGCTGGTGCACTGCGGCAATGGACTATGCTTCTCATCGGCAGCGCGGCAACATCCAAGCTTCCTTGGATCTCAAGGCACTGGAATAAGCCGTCCTGGCAGACTACGAAGGCCGCATGCACCAGCACGGCCCTGTCCGGCCATCTACAGGCTTCCCTTGCTGCTTATGAGTGATGACGATGCCTCTGACTCGCCACCTGTCATTGAGCGGCTCCTTATTGTTGGCGCGAGCAAGAAGTTGGGGCTGGAGGTGGCTCGCCAAGCGCAAGAAAGATCTCTCAAACAAGATCCGCAGTTGATCGGCTCTATCCACGTGTCTATTCAGCCCGACAGCGACTCTCCCTTTGCTGACGACGGTGCCCTCCAGATGCACCGGTGCGACGTGATGAACCCGCTGGGTGTCAAGTATCTGCTGACGGAGGTGCGGCCCGATGTGCTCATCAGCTGTGTTGGCGGCAGCTGGGACAACGCCTCCATGTTTGCCGTCCAGGACAAAGAGTCCGTTGACGAGGAGCTCAGTGTCGACTTCGCCGGCAATCGGCACCTGATCGACTGTGCGGCTGAACGGGGTGACGTGAGGCACTTTGTGCTGGTGTCGGCTGTGGGGGCGTCTGAGTCTGAAGGGTGGATTCCCAGCCAGGCCCGGGACAGCTTGAGAGTGTGGCTGATGAACAAGTCCAAGGCCGAGAGCCACTTGCGCAGAAGCGGGCTGCCCTACACCATCATAAGGCCGTGTCCGATGGACGACAGCCAGGGGGCCGACGCCCGCCACCACCACCACGCCGTCCTCACTGAAGGTACCTACGTGCACAGGGGATACACACACAGCACAGCGCAGCCCCTCCTCTCCCCCCTCTCCCTCTGTCTCTGTGTGTCCTACCAGGCCCTGATGTGTACGGCTTGGTGTCCCGGTCCGACGTGGCGAGCAAGATTTTGGACTGCGTGGGTTCGCGGCGGGCTGTGGTGGGCAAGACTCTGTCGGTGGTCGACACGGAGCGGGTATTGCAGGCCAACCCGTACGTAAGGGCCCTCGAGGTGTGGGAGAGCGTCCCTTTCAAGGAATACGTGGTTTAGATAGAGAGCCTTCTCGTGGGCTCTAGGGGGGGGTTGCATGAGCTGTAGCTGTCGTCGAATTTGCGTTAGTTGTGTCGGTCGGTCTGTGGCATGTATGTGTGTGTCTGTGTCGCAATAATCGCGACAGATGGACAAACCAAACCATTCACTCATCGTTTTGTTCGACTGCCGACATTCTTAAGAAGGTACGTTCATTTGACTCACTCCTTCGTGTGACGTGACATTCACACCTATACCCTAAACCCATTCACTCGTTCATTCTTCAGCAAACAAGAAGAAACACGTCAGCTGTTCTAACTCTTTCTTTGGCTGACGCACAACACAAACAGCATGCACACAAACACCGGACGTATGGAGACCGAGGAAGAACAAGCATGGCAATGCACTGGAGCTGTCGTACTCAGTCAGTGCTCATGGAGGAGTGGATGGATACGTCAGGCAGTAAGGTGAGAGCCAACGGGGATTCAATCGCATGGACAAGCGGCGGGGGGGAGGAACTAAACGGCAGACAGACAGGCAGACAGGCACACAGACGGAGGGGGGTTGGGGTGGAGAGGCAGACGTACGTACCATAGAGGACCAAAAATGTGTTTGTTGCTGCTGAGGGATGGGAGGAGGGCACTACAGACACACAGTCATCAGATCGACATGCAATCGCAACATTCGCATTTCATGCCATGCACACGCAGAACCACTCACACAACGAATCAACCACACAGGCACCCACTCCCTCCCGCCCCCCGGCGCATCGCTGCTGGACCCACGGCGCCCGCCGTGCGATGTAGTCTGTATCATCACACACATGGCCGACGCCGGCGCAACACACGCAGCTAGGCAGCTTTCTGCGCCCACCGACCCACCGACCCGCCCCAGCCTTCAAATTCCCTCCCCCCGGCAACCAACGCACGAACATTACATGAGATGAGATGCGATGAGATGAGAGGCAGGCACAACTGAGTGAATTGCTGTGGTAGGTTTCGACAAACAATCGGGATGATGCATGCACCAACCAACGGCCCGGCCAGACAGGAGAGGCAGCGAGGGTAACAACTGCCACCAACAACCATGGAAGGAATGCGGCCGTCCGTGTGTGTGTAAGTGCATATGACCGTATGTATGATCTGAGTGAGTGAGTGAGTGGGTGAGTAGTGAGTGTATGAGAGTCCGCAGTCAGTCAGGTCAGTCAGTCAGGGTGCTCCGCCTTCTCTGCAGTGTAATATGTACACTGCCAGGCCACGCACACCCACACGTAGCTGTAGCTGTAGCTGGCTGGGTCAAAAACTCCTCTCTCTGCCTGCCTGCCAGCCTGCCTGCCTGCCAGCTTCCGACGAGGGAAACAAAGGCCTACACAAACAAACGTTTGTTTAACAGACGACAGACGCCACGCAACCACCGGAATGGTCTGCAGATACGTTGGGTATGTGTGTATGTGTGTATGTGTGTAAGAGGGTACACGCACAGGCAGGGAGGCAGGGAGGGAGGGGGGAGGGGGTGGGCGGGGTAGACAGCAAGTGAGTTCAACACGCATGACTGACGGATGGATGGCATATTTCGTTGAGGAGAGAGAGGAGGCATCCCCTAAAAATGGGACAGGACGCGAGGCAATCACGACAGACACGCAGTACGGACGTACGCAGGAAGCCGGCCAGCCAGGCAGGTAGGCAGGCAGGCAGGCAGAGGTCGATGGGCAGGCTCTTAAATTTGAAGAGCGGCTCCTTCGCCCATCGACCCCGCCCGCCCATGGATACAAATGCACTGACTGAGGGAGGGGGGGATGGGTGCCTGGCTTGGCTAAGAAGGAAGCAACGAGTGTGGTGTACTACGCAAACAACGGGAGTGACCAATGGGTATCAGGCAGACAGGCAAAGAGGTAGGCAGGCAGACAAACACATCGGACGGGACAAAACTCACGTAATCGATCGGGCAGGTGTATGTAGGTATGTATGTATGCAGCGCATCTCACACTGAGCGATGCGTTTCCCCGTCCAGCCGGGGCAAAGGGGCCGTCCCCCAGCGTCGGTCGGTGCTACTGCTTATACTCCCATGAATCCCTCCGTGTCGAAAAAGACGACCCATTGTGTCTCGTGCGCAGGCAGACAAACAGGCAGGCAGGCAGGCAGGCGTAGCGAGGAAGACCTAGACAGAGAGAAGGCGATTCATTCACAACGCAGAGCTCGCTGAATTGTGTGCTCATGAATGCAATGCGCCCCGACCGGCGGAGACGGACGGAGGGAGAGAAAGACATAGACTGTAGCAGCTGAGATCTCAGGACTTACAAGAGGTCATAATGCAGCCAAGCCACTCACTCCCTCATTGACGGAAAACTGAGAGGGCCCCGCCCTCAGCCCGCCCCGCCCCCCAGGCAGACGTGACATCATCACATCACATAAGTACATGCATTATATAGGTATGTATCCGTCGTATACACACACACGCATCACAAGTCAGAGTACACACACGAGCAGTCAGTCAGTTGGCTACGGCTACCTCAGCCCGCCTCGATCCGACCCACACCACTTAGGTTTCCCTGCGCCAGGAGCGTTCGCTCTGCGTCTGCATGAGCGACGACCCGTTGATCAGTGTGGGCATGTAGTGGCTAAACGGGCTGGATGCCCCCTCCCCCTCAGCCACCCTCCTCTCCTCTCTATCGCCTGCATCACGACGCGCCGCCCCCTCTATTGCGCCGGGGTGGGGGTGTAGAGGTCCAATCGGCAGTTGCCGACCAGTCGGCACATCCCTGACAGCCTGACACACACACCACACAACACAGAGCAACCAGCAATGACACAGCAATGAGACATCCAACCATCGATCGCACCATGCAACCATCCAGAACTGCCTGTGCGTGTGTTGGCTTTACCACATCGGAGCTGCCATTGGTTAGCGGTGGTGGTGGTTGTGGTGGTGGTGGTGGAGGGGGTGGAGGGGGCATCGCATGTGCGTATGGATTGCGGGGTATGAGGCCTTTGGGGGTGATGAAGTATGGAGCAGGCATGATTGTGGGAGGCCTGACTCGCTCTCGTTTGATGTCACGGGAGGGGGGAGGCGGCGGGAATGGTGGAGGGGGAGGGGCTGGTGGGGGTGGCGAGACGTCCGCAGCACTTGACTCGTAGCCGCTGGAGCCGTCAACATGCTGGGAATCGCTGGGGGCCCGCTCGCCGCTGGCTGGTGGTATGGACAAGTGTTGAGGTCGGGGCGGGCGACCGTGTTGAGGTGGGGGCGGGCGACACACCGAACATCCATCCTCCGGTACCTGACGGGGAGGGACAGAATCAACAAAGCGGGATCGATTCAATAAACGCGTCCCCAACACCACATTTGTTTCTTACACACCTGTCTGTGTGGCTGCTCTTGCCGTCTCATGCTGCCGATCTTGCTGTTGAGTAAGGCCCGAATGCTGCCCTCCAGCAGTCGCAGGCGCTCCTGTGTCACTGCGGCTGCTGCACAGTAAGTCTCCATCTGGTGCATGTACTCCTGCCGCGCTGCAGCCACAGAATCACGAGGACATGTACTCAACATGACACACACCATCGGACATGTCACACACGTGCTCTTTCCCTCCCTCCCGCTTGGTAGATCGTACCAGCGGTTTGCTCAGCCAGTTCGTTCAGGAGCCTGCCCTGCTTCACGCACTGCTCCTCAAGCGAGGAGCACGGCAGCACGCCATTGGTTGGCGGCGTGTGGGCGCGACGACGGCCACCCGGTTGATTCGCTGCCTGAAGAACCAACCGACAGGCAGTAAGTGCACACACCTACATCCAGCCCGGCGGTGGTGTAGGTGAGCATTGACACAATGCCATCACCGTGGATTCGAAGGTAAGCTGCAACGGTTGCAGCCCTCTCTCCAGCTCAAGAGCAGAGCGCACAGACTCCACCTCTCGCAAGAGGCCTGCAGCGGAACAGCGCACACGGAGAGAGCTTATCCATGGTATGCTTGTGCCTGTTGTCGGCATATCTCTCCTGTCTGCCAGTGGTCTGTGAGAGTCACCCTCAGGTCCACTTGATCTGGCGAGGCTCTCCAGCTCGTCCAGAATACTGATCATATTGCGCCTTCGTTCGCTGCCCGCCTCCCATGACTTCCTCACTGATTATATTGCGCCTTCGTTCGCGTCCTCCATCACCCCTAGGGTTTAAAACCAAAGGACGGAAACCCTAGACTCAGGAACCCTTCACCCTCGAATTTACACATTGGCAAGATGAGTTCCGCCCCGCACAAGGCGAGCTAGAGGGTGGCAGTGGGAGGACAGTGGCCTCGATGCAATCATGCAGCAGAGGAGGTGGAGGGGGGGAGGGTGAGGTTGTAGGAGGGAGGCAGGGGGATTGTTGGAGACTGGGAGATGTGTTGGAGATCGGTGGACAGACATACATAGAGAGGCCGCGGGCGAAGTGAGAGAGATAGGGAGACACGGAGGGAGGGCCATGCCCAGCCACGAGTCACACATCAACAGGGCATCAAATGTAGCCGCAGTCTATAGAAGTCCTCAAAAGTGGGCTTCCAGCTGAAACATGCAGGGCAAAAGCCACCCACAGGCTCAGCTTTGAAGTCAGAACTGAACAGAACCCCTGGCCAACAAATACGTTATGGCTGTGTGCGCTTGTACGCAGGACAGCATAGACATCCACGCACAACGGGCCTCTACGCACTTCTACGATCGATGGCATAGCTACGATCGATGCCGCCTGTCTGTCTGTCCGTCTGTCTGTCTGTCCAAAGAGACATACAAATGACAAATGATACACAGAGACTCTGATGACCTAGCTCATTTATGACAGCACAGCCGAGGGCCTTCTGTTCATCGCGCTGCCGCCAACCGCAAAAGACTGTCTCCTGTTGGCAAAAGACATCTGAGCCTCAAGGCCGCTTGCTCCCGCCCCCGGGAAGTTATCCAGCTGCTGCAGCACGATATTGAGTTTGCGAACGCTCCGCAGCAGGTCTCTTAGGAAGGAACCCTCCTCACGTAGCAGACGCTCAATATCAAACAGCCTACTTACAAACGCTCCACCTGTAAGCCACAGCAGACAAGGCGAGACGCGCACGCGAGATACAATTGTGCATTCGTCCTGTGTCTTTGTTTCTTACCTCTCTGTCCCTCGGCCTCAGTGGATGTCTCTGAGGGCAGGAAAAGAGTGCCAGCCACCTCCTCCTCGTTCAGTATCTCATCCCACAGGGGCGAGACCTCTCCTTCCATGCCCTCCTCGGCACCAATAGCTCGGCGCTGGGCGCCCTGCATCATAAGCTCTGCCTCTTTCTGCTTCAGCTCCTGCTGGCCAGTCTTCTCAAGCAGCTTCCTCTGTTTCTCCAGCCGCTGCGCCTGCTTCTCCTTGAACTTGCGTTGCTCCTCCTCGCTCCTCTTCATTTGCCGCTCCTTCTGGGCCTTCTTCTTGGCTTGCAACCTGCATTCATTTCATTCATGGGGCCATCCAGAGGTGCGTGTGTTTCTGTGGTGTCAATACGTCCATACGTCTCACCTCTCCTCCAATGACTTTACTTGGCGGTCCCGCTCAGCTGAATGAGCACAGAGACACAAAGCAGACAGAGAGGGGACAAGAGACTGATCGAGCGTGCAGGGCGGGGATAAGGTTGATCGTCCGCCCACCGTCCAGTGAGGCCACCAGCTGCTGCTGCTCCTCCTCAAACTGCCGCAGAATCTCGGCCTTCTTCTCGTCGTCATCCTTATTGTCTGACTTGGCCAGGTCCATCTTCTTCTTCCGAAGCACCTCCTGCTCCTGCAGCACCTTGTCCCTCAGTCGAGTGGCCCGCTGCTCAGCCGCCTCGCGGTCTTTTTGCGCCTGTGCCTCCAGCTTCTCTTCAAAGTCCTGGAGCTCACGCTCCTGCAGGAGTGGTACATACATACATGCATGCATAAATGTGTGTCACGCGTCTGGCTTGGCTCTTCTTACCAGTTTCTGCTTCTCGAGTGCTTCCCTCTGTGCCCACTCTTCCTCCATGAGCCGCATTCGCTGATGGATCTCCTCCTCCTTCTTGCGCTGGAACTCCTCGAGCTTGGCGCGGTCCACGAGGTCCCTCTCCTCCTGTGCCTTGACGTATCGCTCCACGTGTGAGATCTCGCCGAAGGCGTCCGTCAGCTCCTGCACGTGCCGCTCCTTCAGCGCCATCATCTCCTCTTCTTGAGACTCGTCGACCTGACAGACACGACAAGCACATGAAAGAGGGCAGCGGCGTTAGGCAAGAGGGCTCGATAGCCGGAGGCCAGAACAATACCTCTCGTGTGACCTTCGCCAGAGTGGTGTCGCACTTGGCCTGTGTGCAAAGATTGGTGGGCGTGTCAAGTGCATGCACACAAGTTGCAGGTGAGTAGACGGACCTTGTGTTGTTTCTCGAGCTCTGCGATCTCCGCCTGCCGTTTCTTCGCCGTCGCTGGTGTCTCGTCGTAAGTCTTGGGGCACTTAGCCATTATGTCACTGTGCAACAGACGAGAGATGGCCATTTCACAGTCTACGTCTCCCATGATTAGCCGTCAACAGTTTTGCTTACGCGAGGCCCTGGTCTCTCTCCTTGTTGAGCTCGTCGAGTGCGTGCGCCAGCTTGATGGCCTTTTGGCGGAAGTGCAACGACAGCATGTCGTTGGCCTCGCGCTCATGACGCTGGTACAGCACCTGCCATTATGCAACCACCAGACAGAGAGATTTATCCGGAGCCTCTGTTGTCTGTGTGGATCCCTTACGCACCTGCTTGACCATCTCGGTCGGCGGTGCGGCGGCCTCGCCCTCCTCCTCAGCAGCCTGCGCCTGGGCCATCTGCTTCAAAGTCTCTGCCTCAGCCCGGCGCTCAGCCTACATACCAACGACAACCATCCAGAGAGTGCAGAGACACCGAAAAATTGTGGGCTTACGGCGCTCTGGGCCTCGATCTGCTGCTTCATTTGCTCCAGCTTCTGCTCCTCAAGCTGCTTCTCATGCTCGCGTCGCATGGCCTGCTCCTTGGCCTTCAGGCGCTTCTTCCTGGCTGCCAGTTTTGCCTCGAGAGCCACATCCTGCTTCTGTGCTTCTTCGTTGATGGCCGTGTCGATCTTGTCCATCTGAACCGCCAAATCTGTACAACCAACATACAGCAGAGAAGACACAGAGAATGACAGAAGGGAAGATGCGACTGAACATTTCTTTCTTGGTACTGACCTTGCATGATCCTCTTTTTGGCGTCCTGAGTGGCCGCCTTGGCTGCCTTCTGCTCGGCCTCCTGGCGCAGCTTCTTCTTCTCCTCTTCCATCTTCTGCTGTTTCTTCTTCTGCTCCATGGCCACTTCACGCTGAACGGCGGCACGAGCTGCCTGCACCTCGCGCTGTGACGTGGCAAGGAATGGGATGCAGGCAGTGTTGAATGTCAGGAACTGATCATACCTCCATTTCCGCCTTGAGCTCTCTGAGTGCCTCTTCCTGCTCCTGCTGGACGGCCGCAAGCTCCTCAGCATGCTGCACAGCCATCTCTTCCTTCGTCGCAGTGGCCAGGGCCCTAAAAAAACAGGTTCAACGCCGCCTTCGTCAAGCCCACCGTCTCGTCTCTGCTGGCTTACTTACCTGGCGACGGCCAGGGCGGCATCGGCAGCACCCGTCATAACGGCGACCTGCTCTTCGGCTTGCAGCTCACGGACGGCGTTCTCGTGGGTCTGGTCCTGCTTGACGGCCTCATCCACCTGCCTGGCCGCCAGGCGAGCCCGCCTGGCGGCCATCTTGTCCTTGAGGCCCTGCTCCTGCACCATCCGCTCAGCGTTGAGACTCTCCACCATGCGCTCCTCGTTCTCCTGGAACTGCGCCAAGAGGTTCTCTTTCTCGTCCGCCTCTGCGGTGGGGTCCAGCGCGACGGCTAGCATTCTCTCCCGCGCCTCACGTGCGATGCCTTGGTGCATGGCGCGCATCTCGTGAGCCTCTCCCTGGGCCTCCTGCGCTGCTGCTTCGGCCTCCATGAGCTTCTCAGCCACCTGCTGCAGCTCCAACAGCTGGCGATCCTCTCCCTGTATCGGACAGCAAACCCATCACTCGCATGCGATCAACCAACCCATTGTATCAGCTGTATTCCAGAGGCGTGACCTGTTTCTTCTCGAGGTCTCGGCGCTTCTCGTCCAGCTCTCTCGCAGCCTTGGCTTTCTCGAGCCGCTCTGCACGACGCTGCTCCAGTTTCTTGTCTAGCTCTGTCATCTGTTTGCCCTTCTCTTTGTCCAGCAGAGCCTCCAGGTGCGCAACCTCGCGCTGAATACACACACATATCGGTGGAAAGCCGACACGCCTGAGACACTGCACTGCTCCGTGTGTACCTGGTAGGCCTCTCGGATCTGCTCCCTCTGAGCATCCGTCTCAGGATCAGTGGCGTCGCCCAGCTGCAAATGTAGTATGCAAGAATTGTACAAGACAAGCGAGACGTGTCGGTGTTTTGTCCTACGTCAGCGAGTTGCTGTTGCATCCGCCTTCTGGCAACGGAGAGCATTTCATTCTTGGCGTTAATGGTGTCTCGCTCGAGCTTCTCTTTGGCCGCCGACTCCTCAACCTCCAGGTCGTCCATCATCGCGGCTTCATCTGATGCCTCCATGGCGCGTGCTTCTTCCGCACGCAACCTGCACACAACGAACGCCAGATGAGTATCCAGCCATCGACGTGATGAATGGTGATGAATGCGGAATCTTGTGTGCGTACTTGTTGAGGTTCGCGGCGTCCTTCTCGCGCTCTGCCTGGTGCTTTTTCTGCAGTCCGTCCCGCTGGTCTGCATGTTTCTTCCTGAGAGCATTCCAGGTGTCTGTCTCGGCCTTGCGATGCTCCGCGTCAATCTTGTCGAGCTTTGCCGCCTCCTGTTGGAGCAGTGTGCTCCTCTGCGTGTCGAGCCACGAGTTGAGTTGATCCTCCTGACGTTTGCGCTCTTCGGGGTCCTCGATGCTCTGAAGGGCGGCCCTCTTCTCGTTGAACTCCTTCATGAGATCGAACAGCTTCTGCGCCGTCTCGTCCTTGACAGCCTTCTCCTTCTCGGCGCGCTGGAATGAGAGGTCGCGCATGGCTTTGTTCCTATCGCTCTCTTGATCGGCCTCCAGCTTGCGCCATTCTGCCTTCTGCTCCTCTTCCTTTGCCCTGAAAGCCTCTTCTGCTGCATGTCGCTTCTTCATGGCCTCCGCGCGCCGTCTCTCCCTCTCTTGCAGCTTTTTGTCCAGAGCCGCCTGTGCTGCTGAGCGCTCCTCGTCGAGCAAGTCGAGGGCCTTCTTCACCTGGCGATCATGCTCTTTGATGATCTGTTGCCGCTCCTCCTCACTCTGGCGGACATCACAGGCAGCTGTGCATTTCTGTGCATCTGTACTACTGGTGCCGAACCTTAGCGCCGCGGAGTTTTTTCTCGAGCTCGGCCTCTAGCTGAGCCTTCTTCAGCTCAGCCTTGGACTCATACCTGATTGAGGAGACATGAATCACTTATGGAGTCTCACTGTCCAGTGAGACGAGTACCTCTTCAGCAGTTCCGACTGCTTCTGCTCTCTTGTGTTCTCGTTCTGCTGTTTGAAGGTCTCCGTCTCGTCCTCCTGGCTCATCTTCAGTTCAGTGGCGCGGGCCTCGTTCAGATCCTGTTGACACGAAGGAAACACGAAGCATGGCGTTTTCACCAGGCAGCCCGTTTCCCTACCTTAGCGGCGGCATCAAGCTGTTGCTGTTGCTGAGTGGCCAGCTTCTGCTGCTCCTCCATCTGACGTTTCTTGAGGGCGTCCCGTCTCTTGGCTAGCTTTTCCTGCAGGGCCTTCTCCTGGCTTATGCGCTCCTGCTCGAGGCCCTCGAGGACGGCATTGTATTGCTGCAGGTTCCGCTGGATGATCTCCTCCCTCTCCTCTGGGCTGCCGGCCGACACCAGCTCCCTCTCGAGCTGCTCCTGGAAGTTGGCGTGGGCCTTGTCGCACTTCTTGCTGTAGTCAGCCAACAGCTTGTTCTGCTCGGCAGCGCCATCCTGCGCGAGTGCCTCACGGTCGCCGTCCTGCATCGATCGGGCAGAATGACGGAGTCATGAGGCAGCCGTGGTTGTGGATGTCTGGTTTATTGATTCTTTGGTCACCTGTCTAGCATTGAGTGCGGCTCTGTCGACCGCCAGCTTCTGTTCGGCCGATGTCTGCTTCTGCTGTGCCATCTGCAGCTGCTGCCGAGCATCCATCAGCTTGTTCTAACAAACAGCAATACGATACAAAAGACCTCGCGACATGTGTTAGCGATTCACATGACCGTACATACCTCTTGCTCCTCGTATTTCCTCTTGAGTTCGTCGAGCTCCTGGTTCTGCGCCTCATTCAGCTGATGACACAAAACATCAACAGATGTGACGGATGAGCTGGCGCAAGTGGTCTAGCAGCTAAATGGTGAGACCTCGATCTGCAGGCCCTTCATCTGCTCCTCAAATTGCTCAATCATGGCCTTGCGCTCAGCGTCATTCTCACACGTCGCCAATCGACCCATCAGGCCGCGCAACGCCTCTGCTGTGCGGGCCGATGCCATGGCTTCAATCGCAAGCTGCAGGACACACACACACATACACACAAGGTCTTACTGGTATCGACCCTCAGTCGTCTTTACCTGTCCCTTTTGCTTCTGCGCGAGAGCAGCATTCGCGTGTTGGCGCTTGAGGGCGGATGGACTTTGCACACTCCGCACCGACTCCAGGCTGCCCCGTCTCTCCCTCTCCCTGGCCGCGCGGAAGCGCTCGAGGGCGCCCATCTCTTTCGCTTCGGTATACAGTCCCTTCCACGCGTCGATGAGGGCATCACGCTTGCGGTAGAGATGACCCATGAGCACCTCAAGCCGCTGTCGGTGTCGGATGGCGTCACTGTCTGCGTCATCTTGTTTGTCAAGGGCGTCACTGAGCTTGAGCAGCAGCTCATCCCGGATATTCAGTGCCTCTCTGAGTATGGCTTCTGTCTCCTCCTTTTGCTGCTCAAGCTGGTCGGCGAATTTCTGTGAGACGTAGCTGTGGTGGCTGAGCAGCTTGTCGTAGACGGCCTGGAAGATGCGTGGGTCGACGTCCTCGTCCATGCTCAGGAAGTCCTTCTTGCCCGCACCCGCCTCGAACAGGTTGACGCGCAGATCCTTCTGGTCATACTCCACGTCAGCCTTCTTGGCGCGAATGATGTCAAAGATGTTGCGCCTCATCAGCCGCCTGATGCACCAAGACACCACATGCAGAGAGATCGCCATGTGTGTGTGTCTGGCTGTGTGCTGACCTCCTATAGTCTGCTTCAGGTCCCAGCGGCCCGACATCCTCCGTCCATGTGCTAGAGCGGAACCACCACAGCCCAGCAATCACCAGGAAGACTAAGCAAACGAGACACATAATCGACCACATATGGCTTCCATATCGCCGCGCCGTGGATGTCTACTTACTTGTTCCGGTGATTGCGGCGATGGTGCCGAGCAGCAGCCACCAGTCTGGCGTGAGCTGGATGTCCTCCTTGACCGAGACGCCGACAGAGGTCAGCGCCGTGGCGGTGATCGTCTGCGGCAGACGTGAGTCCTCACGGCAACGCTGCAGGCACAAGCAACTTCGTTGGTGCAATACATTCGCATTCGCATTGGTTCTTCCTCGATGACCTCGTCGGTGCCCATGACACTGATTATCGTGCGCTGCTTGTTGTCAGAGCTCAATGCGAACACATACACGCCAGCAGCGTCGAACGTGTAGGCAAACATCGCCCGAGACACGCCCGCCTTGATGTCAGTCTCAAGCTGCCTGTGCGACAGACACACACACACACACACACGTGCAGAGCACTGACTTGTCTGCATGCGCATTCCCCCCGAGCGGCTGACTTGAAGGGCGCAAAGTCGAATGTCGGGTTGGTGTTGAGTAGGGCGTCCTTGACATAGACGGGGTAGGCGATGTTGCCGTTTCTGTCGGCGGACAGCGACCACACCATCGACTCGCCAAACTCCAGACACATGACGGGATTGGTCACACCCGGTGTCTCCGCTGGGTCTCGACTCACAGTGGCTTGCAGCCGACGGCGGCGGGACACACTCGAGTTGTACTGCTCGAGGAGCGGCGGGTCGTTGAGTGGGTCGACCGTGCCATTGAAGCAGTCGGCAGGGGTGGCGTTGTACAGCCTATCCATCACCACTTTCAGAAGAACCAGCGGGAAACCGAAATTGCCCTCCAGCACACCGTCGCTGGTTGTGGACTCGTATCTGAGGTTGCAGTTGCCGAGCTGTCTTGCCTCCTCGCTGCATGTCGGTACGCCGAGCAGCACCTCTGTGCGACCGGTGAGGTGTTCCACGGGGATATTGCAGAATGTGTTGTCGGTCTGGTTGATGACCACGAGTGACTGTATCGGCTCCAGGTTGTTGTTCAGGAGGAAAGCGATGTTGCCGAGCATTTGGCCGGCGCGGCAGTCGAGGTCGCACAACTGCTCAGAGAACGTCAGCACTCTGCAGGAGCAAAGGCCCACGGAATCCAGGAACTGCCCACCTGATGATACACGAGAAGCAGAGGGCATCCAATCACATTCCTCGATCACGATAATCCCATCCAGTCCACCCGCCACGTACCGAGTTTGCACTCTGAGTCGCAGTCAGGGGCGATGCAGTTGCCGTCGACATTGCGACGCTCGCCTGGCTGACACCGCTCGTACACCTAACGAGAGACACACCCACACAGTTACCGGATTGCATTTTATTGTCATGCAAGCGTGGCGTGAAGTTCCTACGTATTCCTGGCAGTCTGCTCGCCCGTCTTCCTCAGACAAGGGGATTGTGTCTTCGTGGAAGAACTCGAAGCCGGGCGCGCATATGCAGGACTGGTCCGATGCCTGGAAGGCCCGGTTGGCCCCGATGCACTCACAGATGGTGGCGCCAGTGATTGTGGTCTTGGCGCTGGCGCCGCAGGGGAGGCACCTTGGCTGGCCCTTACTCGGATTGAAGGTGCTGATCTGAATGGAGACATCAACACTTCTTTGGAGGGAGAGAGTATTGGGAAAGGTGGCGTACCGGACAGTCCTTGCACTCGTCCGCCGTCAGTGCTCGAATCTTGTTTTGATACTGGAGACACAACAGGACACCAATAGACTGATCTGCTGGGTGCGTTGTTTGTGTGAGCCATGTCTCACCGTGCCTGCGGCACATCGTGTGGGGGCGCTGCTTCCTTCTGGGCAGTAGGAGCCTTCAGGGCACTCGTAGCCGTTGTGCTCTCGCTCGATGGTGGGGAAGCTATACATGCATACACGCACGTTCATGTGAGGCAGGTGCGGTGTCGTGTGGCAGATGGGTGCCTCACCGTCTGTTGCATCCCTCAAGGCACACGTAGCCCGGCTCGCAGGGCTGACAGAAGACGTCGTTACCCTCTTGGAATGAGCCCTGATGGACGGAAGGTACCAAGCAGAATGGAACGTCCAAACACACCAGCAATACACAGGTACGCACTGACCGGCTCGCACGGAAGACACGACTCTTCGAGTGTGGTGCGCAGACTGCATACACATGACGCATTCATGGTTGCACCGGAGGGCAGGCAAGCACCTCATGGTCGTGAGCTTACGAGTCCGGGTCGCTCGGGTCGAAAGTCTTGTTCCAGCCACGATAACCAGGAGGACACGGCCGCTGCACACGCACATGCACAATGGCAGACAGAACAGACAGTGCTCCGTTTATCCATCCACATGCACGCACCGGGGTCTCGCTGCCCTCAGGGCAATAGGTGCCCAGCGGACAGATGTCAGCCACTCCGCGAGTCGGTTGCACGCTCATCGTCATCGTCATCAGCGTGAGTGGGTCAAGCAGTTCAGCCGTGCCGTTGGGGCAGGCGTAGCCGGGGGGACACACTATGGGCAGTGTTGTCTGGTTGGGGCAGTAGAAACCGCCGGGACACTGACGCGGTCTGCACACACACACACACACAGCAGTAGTGTGCAGAGCTTCCAGCCAAGAGGGTGCAGTGCTTACAGCGCTGATCTTGGAGGGCAGTATGTGCCCGCTGGGCAAGGGGAGTCGGGTGTGGTGCTGTTGGACGATGCGCAGTAGAAGCCACCCTTTATTGACCAAGCACAAGAGGTGGAAGGAAGAAACATGAGTCACTGGCTGATGTCACGGGCGCGTCGATCATACCGGGCAGTCGAAGCAGTCCAGGGCATTTGTCGATCCAGTCGTGTTGACGAAGGTGCCTGGCGGACATGGGATGGGCATGATGGTGCCTTCCAGACAATAAGAACCCTCCTGAAAACACCACGCCAGCCACGACGCATCACAGCAAATCCACTCAAGAGGATATCTTGTATCTATCTGACCTACCGGACAGGGGATGGCGCCCTGTGTCTCGTTGTATGGGTATGATGTGCCCATCTCTGTGCACCAGACGCCAGCCGGGCAGGGGATACACGCACGTAAGGAGGCCTTCTGCGTGAAGTTGTTGTAGAGGGACACTGGGCAAGGTATCGGGTCTCGCGTGTTGGTGGGGCAGTAGTGGCCGGCCGGGCATTCGATGGGCACAGGGGGGCTGACGCCGGGGGGGCAGTAGTACCTCTCGGGGCAGGCAGTGCAATCGGTCTCAAAGCGCCCGCCGGGGTACAGACGCACTGCCCCGTCCTTACACTCGATGGGCTCTCGCGTGCCTGCATAGTGTGGCACCTCAATAGACACACAGATGGGACGTCATCCTCCCCTCGTGGTATTGTGACCTTCAGGGCAGAAATAGCCCTCCGGGCATTGGATTCCGCCAAAGACAGGGCCGTATGGTCCACCGCCGGCAAGCTGGTCGAAGTTGGATTTGCTGAGCATCTCCCACGTGACGGTCGTTTGTGGGACGTAGGGGTTGTTATTGCCCTTGTCCTCCCGGGGATTCGGATGCGCATTGCCGAACCCACAGATGTACCTGCACACAAATACACACACACACAACACACATCATGCGCCAGCTGTTGAAATGGACGCTTCGCATGTTTGTTGCTGTGTGTCATGCGGCTCTGTGCAATGTACCCAGCCTGCGCACAAACCACACACAGTCGTCGGGCACAGTCAAGCAACTGTATCTGTAGGGGTCTCTTACGGAGCAATTTCCGACGATCCTGCCCGCCCTACAGTATTGGGCCGGCTCGCATGGCGAACAGTCCTCATCGATGTCGTCCGGGAGGGTGGGCAGGGAATCGTTAAGGTAGCTGCCCTCGGGACATCTGCACAACGGCGAAACGTCACTGTGCATCTGTTGCAGTGCCTTTCATGAGATGTGGCAGCTTGTTACCCGATTCCAAAGGCAGAGCCGGCTGGGCATACGCGACCATCAGGGCAAGGCTGAGATCAAAAGAGCCAAGAATGAATCGGCCCTCGACTGACTGAGTCAATGATCGTGTGTGCTCACTTCAGGCGTGACGGTTTGGTTGGGGCATCGGAACCCAGCTGTGCACTCCATACACGCATCGGCCCCAGTGTCGTTCGAAAACTTGCCTGAAGGAAGTGAGACACACAAGATTCAGTCAAGAGTCATCGCCCATCGTTCGCCCTTCCCCCACCTGGCTCGCATGGAATTGGAGTTTCTGATGCCGTCGGGCAGTAGTGGCCGGGAGGGCACTCCCCGCCCTCATCAGGACTTGAGGGGTCTGAGCGGGTGGCCCCACCACTGCAGTAGTAGCCGGCATCACAGTCGGCATCCGGCGCTGAGAGGCCCATGGCGGTGCAGGCCTTCCCCGGAGTGCATGGCTCGCACTCGGAAGATGTGGTGGCGGGCTGGAAGGTGCCCGTCGGGCACTCGATCGGGTCAGCCGTGGCTGCAGGAATGTTCACTCGCATGTGCACAAGGATGGATGCGGCGGTCGACGCGAGACACACTTACCTTCGGGACAGTAGTGTCCCGCTGGACAGCGGCCAGCATACTACACGCAAACACAATCATGCGCGCCTTTTCTAAACGCCTTCATGTTGTCTATGAGCTGATATACCCGGCCCTCGGTGTCATTGAAGATCTGGTCAACCTCATATTGGAATCTGCCGCCGTGTGGGCAGTTGTCGGGCCAGGAAGAACATGGCGCCTGCTTGCATGCGAATCCCGCCGAGCAGTTGTAGAGGTTACCGTCCTCATTGCCGTATCCGGGACAGTAGTGGCCGTCATTGCATGGGACGGGCTTGTCTTGGAGGGGGGCGTCCACATAGTACTGACACACGAGACAACACACCCCAATACAGCACAATACACTACGCGAGCCTATTACAGGTGCGTACTTACCCCCGGTGGTGGCGGGAGAGGCCACACCGTCCCTGCACACACGCGATGCGCGAGGCTTACCATTCGACTCTCATCATCCAGGTGTGTCTCGATTTTGCCTACCTTCAGGGCAATAGCGGCCCACAGGACAATCGTACGTGCCGTTTGTGGTCTGCATCAACAGACAAGACACGATGAAAGAACACGTGGAAATCCGCAACTTACGTCTGTATCGGTCATCGCAGAATTGGGGCAATATCTGTGGCACAAAAAGCCAAAAAGCCCCGATTGCGTGTGTGTATCTGTGTGTCCTTCAAATGCTATGCTGACTTTGTTGCTGGACAGAGATCGCATTCCTCCACTCCTGGGCCGCTGTAGTTGCCCGGCGCACACGCCTGCTCAGCCACCGCTCCCTGGGGGCAGTAGTAACCCGCTGAATACACAGATGCAGCCGTCAGAGAGCAGGGGGAGAGATGTCGATGACTACTGATCCAGTGCAGCTATATACCGGGGCATGGGTATCCCATGCAAGGATCCCCGTTGGGACATGTGGCTTCAAGGCCATCAGGATCCTTATTGTCGCTGCCACTAAGGCACACGTAGCCACCGTCACAAGGGTCCCGGACGGCTGGACAAATACACAGTCATCGATGGAGACGCAGGCAGTGATTAGTTACGCGTTCTGCTCACGTGATACGGTGCTGGCGCAGTAGTAGCCTGCATCACACAACTGGCAGCTGGCAAGCTCCGGGCTGCCCGCGCTTTGGGTGAAAGAGCCTCTGCGCAGAGTAGAATGAAGTAACAGACACGGAGGGAATGCAGCAGTGCGCTGGAATGCGGTCAGAAATGCAGCTGATGGCCCTTACGCTGGACATAAGTAGTCGGTTCCATTCTCAGTCCCCTCCAGGCAGTAGGCTCCCCTGGACAACAGACACAGACACAGAGACACGACATTGATGGAGCGCCAATGACTGCAAGCAACTGACATTTCACATACCTAGGGCACAGCCCGCCAATAACGGTAATGTTCTCTGCCAATTTGTTGGGATTCTCCTCGCCGGACCGCGGAGCGGGCAGGAAGTTGCCAGTCGTGCAGTAGTAACCCTGCGCCAGAAGGCAACGGTACATCCGCATGACGTGTATGGTGGTGATGTGCGTCCGTCCTACCGCAGAGCAGTTTCCTGTAGGTTCGGTGAGGCCAGGTCGGTCGCAATACTTGCCGGCCGAGCAGGGTTCACAGTCTGTCAGCTCTTCGTTCTTGACGGCGTTGCTGAAGGTTCCGGGAGGGCACGGATATTGCTGCACACACATTGAAACTGACACGCGCTTCTCTCACCCTGACGATCACTTCCTACCGTCTCCCATTGGGTGCCCTCGGGGCAGTCTGCAAAGCAGGGAGAAAATGACCATGCAAAGGAGTGATTGCTACGGCATATAGCAGCACATCGATCGGCTCTTCGCACTCACAGTGTCCACTTGGGCAGTCTTCTATCCTTGTCGACATGTCATCGTTGACCCCGCCGGCGCAGTAGGAACCCGCCGGACATATGACGCACTCCGACTCTCCGGTGGTGCTCGGCTGATACGTCCCGATGGGGCAGGGGATGGCTGCAGGGGCACCTGTATCAATCAACACACACACACACAATGGAGTGCGCCTCTCGTTGAGTCAAGTCGCGTCTACCGATGGTTTTGGATCCCCAGAGCTTGAAGTCGAATATCCTGATTGCGTTGCCTAAGGCTGGCGGCGGCGTTGCCGATGAGTGTATTGATGTGATTTCGAGCCGCACAACATTGGCTATGCGGGGCGGTGAGATATTCTCACTGATTTCATGCTGGATGGACGGACACATCGATCCGGACACACAAGATAACCAAGACATGAATGCGACATTCACGTTCCTGTCTGTCTTCTCGTACGTTCCCAGAGGGGTAGTTGTACGGCGCGACGAGGTCCTCCCATGCCTGAGTGCTGTAGTTATAAAACTGTCGAGACACACAGAATGATACACATTGGGGATCGCCCGTCGCTCATCTGTCAGACCAGTCATGACATTTACCTGGATAGAAAAGTCCTCGAGTGCTCCGCCCTGGTAAGTCTTTGCTACGTCCCATGTTTTCACGTCGAAGCTCTCGAGCACATAATAGTCATCGAGGGTGACCTCCAAATATCCGAACGTGCTCACGTCCTCCCAATAGCTGTCGAGGTCGGTATCCACCGCATTGGAGGGATTGCTACCGCTGCCATCCTCGGCGACTCTGTGCGTCTGCATTAGGTTGGAGCCTGGGTCCACCTGTTGGGCACAGAAGTGTCCCTGAGGACAGACATCTCCCGATGCCGAAATGCCGCCCTCGCTGCAGTAGGTGCCGTTGGCGCACGGGCCGCCAGGTACCGCCATACCCTCTTCAGGGCAATACAGACCGGCGGGACACTGAGACACATGATAAGCAACACGTGATTAGGTCACTCTCTCTATCGCCTGCTTATCACGAGAGTGGTGACTGACCAGAAGGCAGTCTTGTTCGGCGATATTTCCCTCCCATGGCATGAACGTCCCCGGAGGGCACATCTGATTGGCGGCCTGACCGCGGTCGGGCGGCGACACGATGATCTGACGGATGCGGGAGTTAAGCGTGTCAGCCACCAAAAAATGCCACACATTGTCTGACAGCGCATAGTACTGAGTCGGCTGCAAAGGGAAACAACGCGCACAACTTTGGTATCGACTGACGGATACGTCATGGATTAGCCGACCTTCCTGTACGCCGGCTGCAGTCCCCTTGGTGTCTTCAATTTGGCCTCATTGGCCGGCACTGCTCCTCCGTCGCCCTTGAAGCCCTGGTCTGTGCCAGCCCACGTCGAGATGGCGTTGGCCGGCACGCTTGAGAGCTCGACCTTGCGGATGCTGATCGGGAAAATACGAGCACGTCAAATCAACGCTGCCGACCTGCCTCCCCTCTCACCGATGGGCTGTCTCGTCGAGAATGAAAAGGGCCTCTGTCGCCTGCAGAAAGAGCACATCCATACATTCGGGAGTTGTCGAAAGACCGGTATTGCTGCCGTACGCCGTCGAGTTTGGCGAAGACGACAGCGCTCGGGCCCTCAAGCCTGGCGGTGGTTGGGTCGGTGGTGTCGTCACCCGTCGTGCCTGACGTGCCGTCTCCCATGAAGGTAATCAAGTTGGTCCCGTCCCAGAAACGAACCTGAACAAGAAGGCAGAGTTCGAAGTGTGCACAGATGTTAGGTCAGTCTCGGTTGCAGTCGTTCTCGCCTTGTGGTTGCCCTTGTCAGCGATGTAAAGGTCCCCTGACGAGTCCATTGTGACGTCCATTGGGGTATCCATTTCGCCGACACCACTGTCAGTGTCACCTGACCGGACCGTGGACGTTGCATCGACGCACAAACAGAAAGGGTACCCACACACATGCATGTAGCCACCAGCCACCCATGCCCCTTCTGCGTCGCTCACCCGCCGAGTCGTAGGTTCCAGTAACCCTGGTGACTGTGTTCCCTGGCGCCGCCGCATCCAGCCACACCACCTCGTGTCTCCCCGTGTTGGCCAGGTAGATGCGGTTGGTGACGTTGTCGAAGTGCATGCCCTGAGGATTCAGGAAGTCATTCCCGGGGTAGTCATCATCGTAGTCAGCACTGACGTAGAAGTCGCTGGCGCTGCCTGTCGTAATGTCGTACTTCACAGTCCGGTTGTTGGCCGAGTCGGAGATGAAGAGCACGGAGTTCGCAACGTCGATCGCCAAACGACTCGGCGTGTTCAGCTCAAAAGACGTCCCCGGTCCAGCTGACCCATATCCGGCGGTCCCAGTGCCGACGACTCGCTGTATCTTGCCCGATGCCTTCTCAACGTACAGGATGCGGTGGCTGCCCGTGTCGGCGATGTACATGTTGCCGTCTCCGTCCTCCACGGCGTCTTCGGGGCTCGACAGCTGAAAGGCTGTGGCAAACGTTCCGTCAGTGGTGCCGCCTCCCCCGCCAGCCACGGTGCGGATGGTGGCGGCTGACATAGAGTAGTGCCCACGTGGGCTGAGGCTGCCTTCCGGGCTCTCCTCCGGAGGACAGGCGCTGGACATGTCAATCAGTGGCGCTGCGCTGGACGATCGGTTCGTGCAGATGTGGCCGGCGTGGCAATAGCCTGAGGGAGCCGGGAGCCTGAACACCGAGCACGATGGGGACAATGGTGTGTGTGTGTGTGAGTGCATGTGTGTACCTCTGTTGTCCGCAGTACTGGCCTTCGGGACAGTCGGTCGGCAACGAAGAGCTCTGGAGGCAGTATTCGCCGAAGCCGCAGTAGTTGTTGAGCGGGCGAGGCGTGATCGACTGGCTTGGGCTGTTGGGGGGACAGAAGTAGCCAGCGTCACACGGGCCCGTCACATCCGTCTTGCCAGGGACCTCACAATAGTAACCTACCATCAGGTACAAGGAAACACACGCACACACCATCAGCTCACTGATTTAAACGCTGTGTGTCTCTGCAGGTGACGTGTGTGCGGCGCGCGTAGTCACCGGGGTCGCAGTCCGTGCAGTCAGCTGAGCTTTCTGCGCTCCCGGATGTGTTGAAGGTGCCGACGGGGCACGGGTATTGCTGCCGAGAGAAAGATGCAGATACCACAGACAGGCAGATAAACAAACGGACAGATGCCGCTCTATTGAGCTTTTGTTCGTGGCCCACAAGTACGCACGTTGTCATATTCCGTGTTTGCGGGGCAGTAAAATCCAGGCTGCATATTAATGATCGAGAACATGAGACACAAACACGTAAGGCACCCTTGATCCTGTGCATCCACGACTTACGGGGCACGGCGTCAGGCTGTCTGCCCCTCGATCGCAGTAGCTGCCTGCACAGCACAGCACAGCACAGCACACGAGTGGCCGGCCAGCCGTGTCTCAGGCAGCGCATGTGTGCTGTATGCCTTTCGCGTCAATGCATACCCGCCTCGCATGGGTCGCATGTTGAACTGCCGGAGGCCGTTTGGTATGTCCCTGGCTCACACGGCACTGCCTCGTAGCTCTGCACGGCGCAGAAGGTTCCCGCCGGCTGCATGTAGCACAGACAGCGTGAGACAGTCCACCTCCGAATGACTGACGTTCATGTGACCATCCGTACACATGTGTTTTCCGTTGCGCTCGTGCTGTTTGGGCCGCAGAAGTGACCTGCGTATACGAGAGGCATGACCTGATTTGCATGATTGATTGGCACAGTACCTGCGTTGCACGGGCCTGTGGGTTCAGCCAGTCCGGTTGAGTCACAGTAGAAGCCGGGTGTGCATGGGAGGCAGTCGGTCGCATTCTCGTTGCCCCTGGCCGGATTGAACTCTCCCTCCAGACACTCCTCCACCGACAGGGCGTTTTCCGGACACCACGTGCCAGGCTGCATGCGTCAGGTTACGTATGCATTGACGGATCCCAAGACACAGGACTGTGTTGACACGTGTGCGTTCCTGCTCACCCCGCAAAGTTTGCTCTCTTGTGTCTTGTATTTAGTGGGATCGCTGGCGTTTTGGTTGCAAAAGTAGCCTGCGTGGCAGTCCCCGGTAGGCGCGGCCAGGCCGTGAGCGCCGCAGTAGCTGCCGTCTGGACAGGGCGTCTCACTGCTGCTCCCCCCTGGACAGATGTGACCCTGCACGTGCAGAGAGAGAGAGAGAGAGAGACCAAAGATAATGTCCATATATGAGGCTGTGGATTTGTCTGCCGACCGACCGGTGTGCATCTGCCGCCCCCTCCCCGTATCTTCCTCAAGAAGTAGGGGAGGGCCTCTGAGTTGGATATGTCGACGTCACGCCCCACCCAATCGCTCGTCAGCGACAGACTGCCGCACCTCGGCGACCAAGCAGTGGGGCCCGATACCACGATCCCGATACAGTTTGAATCAAGGTTGCAGTAAGTCTCGGCCCCTCCTTGTGTGCCGTAGGTCACGCCCGAACCACATGGCGTGATGTCCTCGCCGGGAACCTCAACGGCGTAGTCGGTGCCTGACAGCCAGCGCAACAGGAAGTGCAGGCCTCGAGTGTTGATGCTTTAACAACGGGTGGTTGCTCACGTGGTAGGACAGGGTTGGGATCCACCGATGCTCCAGTGCAGTAAAAGCCCTCAGCGCAGTCGCCGGTCGGCTCCTCGAGCCCCCGCAGAGCGCAGTACTTGCCCGGGTCACACTCGATGCATGAATGCCACGTTTCCTGGCTGGTCAGGTTGTTGTAGGTGCCTGGCGGACAGGGGAACTGCGTCGCACTAGCCGTCTACACATACACACGTGGGAGAAGCCAATTGAGGCACATGATCTGCCACAAACAGCTGGCTGGGAACACACAAACCTTGTTAGGACAGAAATGACCTGCACATACACACGACACACAACACACAACACACAACACACAACACACAACATGCAGTCGCACGGGAGATAGCTGGCTGACTGTCTCACCTGCCGGGCAGTCTAGTGGGTCGATGGACGCGAGTGGGCAGTACTTGCCTCCGCCGGGACAGTCGTTGCAGAAGCCCATGCCGGCTGTGTCCTGGTATGTGCCCTCCTCACATGGGATGGGGAAGGCGCTGCCCGCCGGACACTTGTAGCCCGCAGTGCACTCGTACGCGGCCGGCTGCACTTGTGCACATACATAGATGAGTCACCAGCACATAGACACTGCCTGCTGCGGGCTTACAGATGATTCGTTTGTCCCCGCTGGGCAGTAGTACCCCTCACCGCACAGGTGGACTGCACACATTTTCAGAAAGGAAATGTAGGCTGAGCGTAGAACGCCGTGATTTGGGCACTACCTGCATCAGTCTGATTGGTCTCATTGCAGAACCTGACACAGAGCGCCGATCAGCAGGTGCCATTAACGTGAGAAGTGTATGCCTCCTCGGTTTGGACCTCACCTTCCCGGCGTGCAAGGGAGGCATGAGGAGCTGATTCAGAGAAAGGCAAGACATATCGGCACATATCAGGCTGTATTGTCGCGTCAGTGTGTCTTCTGCCTCGCTTGCCTGTCAACTCCCCTCTCTGAGGGGTTGAATGTGCCGATCGGGCATGGGTCTGGGACACTCGTCCCATTCTCGCAGTAGAATCCAGCTGGGCACGGGCCGCCTGTGGCCGTGGTCGTCTATACCGTCACCAATGAGATACATGACACCGAATACACATCAAGACACACGGGCACTGCTGATGTACCTGTGGGGCAACCTCTGCCGATCCCAGGTTGATTGACGCTACGCAGAAGTAGCCCGCTGAGCACTGACAGCCGCACAGTGGGACGAAACAAAAGTGAAAGGTGACTTGAGTGAAAAAGCCGTCTGTCTTACGCTTCGCCCCGTTTCATTCATGCCGTATTGCTCACACGCCGTTCCTGTGCGCATCAGAGGCAGACCATAGATGAGAGTGGCTATAGGTCTCGCTGTCGGCTCCCGTACCGTCGTCACATGGCGTGCAGTCTGTTGCTGTGCTCAGCTGCGAAGCGTTGCCATAGGTGCCTGGCGGGCAGGGCTGGTAGGAGGTGGAGCCCACTTGGCAGAAGCTGCCCTGTGGACACTCGTAACCGACGACGTCCGACATGCCCTGGTCGGGACAGTAGTACCCCGCTGGACACGTCGTGCAACTCCCTTGGCCCGTCTGTTCCACACGGCAGGCACCCAGACAACAATGAATTGGTCGTGTGGCACATGCGATTCTGGCCTCGGTCTGTCGTGGCTGACAAGGTCGTTGTATGTGCCGATAGGGCATGGGACTTGATTGGATGACCCAGCAGGGGCGTAGTACCCCTCGTCAGCCGTCATGTTGGTCGAATTGGTGGGCGTCTTGCCATATGGATCGATCGCACCGCCCGGGCAGTAAAAGCCCTCTGATGAAACAGGCACGAATCAGACACATGTCTCGCTGCAGCTGTCTGTGTGTCTGACCGACTCACCTTCACAAGGCTGTGAGGCCGTCGCTGCGCCAACGCCATCGCAATAGAATCCCGGCCTGAAGGGTTCAGCAACAATCAGAGGGCAGGGTAGTGGTTCTTTCTGCTTCTTTCCAGCGGCAGCCAGTGACACCGACTCACGGGCATGTAATGCATGAAGAGTTGTCTACACCAAGAATCCACACAAAGCCGTTCACGAAGTGAATGCGAGAAGACACTGCATCTGTGTGAGTGGCAACAGCTCACCTTTAGCGCCCTCGAAGGGATTGTAGAAGCCCTCTCTGACACACACAACGTTGACAACCATCCCTTGAACACCCTCCTCGGCCTTTTGTGTATGTGTGATTACGAGCATGCGGTCGGCTCGCTGGACCCGGCAGGGCAGAAGCCGCCCACAGAGCAGATGTTGCCAGTGATATTGTCTCGTGGGGCGGGAGACACGGCCCGGCCAGCGCAGTAGAAGCCAGGATCGCAGTCGCCTTTTGGGGCCGTCAGACCGTAGTGATCACAGTACATCCCCTCCTGGCCAATCAGCATCCATCCATTCATCCAAGTACCATCATCCTTTTCGTCTCGTCTCACTGTGCAGTTGGTGCAGTCGGACGCCTGTGTCAAGCCCATCGTGTCGCTGCAGCAGAACACACCGCGTCAGTGGATGGCCTGTCTTTAAGTTTCGTCTCACCCAAATGTGCCCGGTTCGCACGGCGACGGGTTGTCAGTGCCATCGGGACACCAATAGCCGTAGGGACACGCTTCATGGTCCGTGCTGGCCAGGTTACAGAAGGAGCCGGCTGGGCATGAGGCGCAATCTTGAGCGCTTGTCGCCGCCGGCGCATTGCGAAAAGTCCTGGAAGAAAAAGGCCACAGCAATGAGAGAAAAGGGCCTGTGTTTCTGCCATGCACCCACCCACCCAGGAGGACATGGCTCTTGCGTCGACGAGAAGGAGCCCTGTACGCATCCGTTCATGAATGGTGCATGTATGTATGCCTCGACATGTTTGGGTGAGCGTGAGTACTCACCTCCGGGCAGAAGTATCCCGCGGCGCATTCACCGGTTTTGGGAGAGCCCTCGTTAGAGGCTATTGTGGCAGCTTGTGAGTACCTGCCGGCGGGCATGGCTTTGCAGTCACTCAGCGCCTCCTTCTGGTAATCGTCATTGTACGTCCCTGTTGCAAAGACGCATACTCGGGCACGAATGTGTCAGTGTAGTGTGATGGAGCCGACCAGCAGGGCATGGTGTGGGGTCGATAGATCCCCGAGGACAGTAGTGGCCTCGCGTGCATCGGCGATCTACGGGGGTCTGGGCTGGGACCGTGTCTGTGATAGAGGGAAAGACAGACCGATGCGGCGAAATCTTCCACACCTGACACTTAGCCTCACCTATGCCGTCTTCGGCACAGAAGAAGCCCGCGGGGCATTCGTTAGCAAGCATCTGGACCTCAGTCGTAGCCGTCGCATCGCAGTAGTGGCCCTAAGGTGCAACCAACACACACGCGAACATAGCACTTGCACTTGTGTGCTTGTGATTTGTTCATGTGCACCTTTGGGCACGGTGTGCACGCATTTTTTCCCTCTGACGAGTACTCGCCCTCTAAGCAATCTGTGAAACTGCACACAAGAAAACGCAATGAAGGGCATGCAAAGGCCTCTTCTTGCAGTCTCCTTACTTGCCGTTGGTGCAAGAATACCCCGCCGGGCAGATGATGCAGAAAGGAAACGCAAGGCCAGGACCTGGGACACACACACCATGTGTGAAAGCTCAGTCTTGATACGAAGGAATCGCGCGATTACCTCTTGCCTCAAAGTTGGTGTCGTTGGAGTAGGATCCCTCGGGACACTTCGTCTCTGCTTCTGCGGCCTCGGGGCAGTAGTTGGTTGCCGTGCATTCTTCGCAGTCCGAGAATGCAGACTGACCGGTCTGGTCGTTGTAGGTGCCCGCAGGACAGGGATACTCAGTCGCGCTACATCGCACAATCACCCAGAGACACACAGAGAAATGCCTTAGGGAGAGGTGTGGTCGGGATTTGAAATTAGTACTTACTAGGTAGTGCCTTGAGGGCAGTAGTAGCCTGCACAGCAAGCCGACACGCTCATATATGGGGAATGCATATACATATGTAGTTTCAAGATTTCCTTTTCATACCCATTGGGCATGGCCCAGATTCAGCCGTGTCGCCCCCTGCATCACACACATAGACAGATGAGAATGTCAAAAAGCCTTTGCCAACCTCTCTCCCCGTGTGTTCTCCCCTCCCTCCCTCCCGTTGCCAGCCGACCGTGGCAGTAGGATCCACCGGGGCAATCAGTGCAGTCCGCCGCTTTTTCTTGGTTGAGGGCCAAGGGATCTCCGTATGTGCCCGGAGGACAAGGGTAGGCATCGGGATGCTCCGTCCCTGAACGCCAGCCACGGCAAGTCAAATAAATAAAGTGAGACCGATAAACAAAGGAGACACGTGTGAGCCTCTGAGAGATCCCTTGCCTTCGAGGCAGAAGTGTCCGGCGGCGCAGTCCTGTGCTCCCTTGATTCCCACCAACGTAGCTGACAAGAGCACACACAAAGACAGCCACCCGTGAAGTCCGTGTCTCCCATAGCAACAGGCACACACTCACTGCCGGTGGTGCCCCAGTCGCAAGCGTATCCGGCAGGGCACGCTTTGCACTCATCCTCTGACTTGTATGAGGTCCCATCGCCGTACGTCCCTGGCGGGCACGGATGGGAATCGGGCTGCGCTGTCCCCCGCGGACAAAAGTGACCTTGGGGACACCTGTTTGTTGAGATCAGAATATCAGTGCGTCTTATGCGTTTTCTTCCCGATGATTCTTGTGCGGCTTACGAGAGTGAAGGAAGCGCGCTTTGGCCGTAGTGAGGGCAGCTGAAGCCCTCGGTACAGAGCTGGCAGCTCTCGAGAAACCCCACCTTGTCTTGGTCGTTCCATGTGCCAGGTGGGCACGGTGTGGGCACTGTCGACGACAAGGGGCAGTAGCTGCCTGGCGGGCAGTCCGTGCAATCCTCAGGGTGCTCCAGGCCTGATACATAAATTGCACGGAGGTCTGACGGCTTGATCCCTCACCCCTCTTCCCTCGCTCTCTCCTTGTTATCACCTTCCGCATCGCTGTAAGTGCCCCTTGGGCATGGCGTTGACGTGTAGTCCAGCGATGCATAGGCGCACCAGTAACCAGGCGGACACAACACGGGCGCCGTCTGCAGAATGAATGCATCGGACGTTGGCAGTCATTTCGCGGTGACATATGCCGTGCTTCGTACCCTCCCAGGCGTGTCACAGTATGTGCCGGCCGGACATGGCTTGCAATCATACTGCACACAATAGAATAGTCAACAAACACGCGCTGTGTGGTTGGCAGCGAGCATCATCTTCGTGTGTGCCACTGATGCGAAGGCGTACCACGCTCACAGAACCGATCTCGTCATTGTATGTCCCTGATCAATCGTGCATACGCGTGTATTCAAATGGCTTTCACATGTCGTGTCTCTCGTCCCTGTGGTCTAACCTTGTGGGCACACTGGGATTGCCGATGCCTGTGTCCCAGGGGGGCAGTAGGACCCAGCCTGCCCAGATAGATGTGCACGCGCACAACGACCATGACATTGATTCATTGTGACTGTATTTGTTCTCAATCACCGGGCAGACGTTGGCATCAGGGACCGACTGGCCCGCGTTGCAGTAATAGCCTGCACGAGTCAATGAGAGAGAGGATCAGGAAGACCAGCGGAACGAAGATGTTTGGCGGGAGGGACCTGCTTGAGTGTCGTATACTGACCTGCGACACACTGCTGACAGTCGCCGATCTGCAGACAAAGGAGACACCACACGTAGAAATGAGCAAGGCAAGCTGTGATCCTGGTCACTCTTGTTTGCATCTCTTACCTCCCCCGCTCCTCTCTACACCATGACAAGGGCATTCATAGGAAACACAGATAACAAGCAAACAGACAGACCGACACTCATTGCTGCTATTATCAACCAGCCGTCTCACCTGAGGGCCCCAAGTGCCTTCCTGTAAGGACAGCAAGACAGCAAGACAGACAGACAGACCAACGCAAAACCGTCTCCGCGTCTTTGGCCGCCATGTGCACACTTACGGGGCATTGCGCTGGCGAAATGGTAAGTAGGTCGGCTTCGGTAGTGCCGGCTGGGCAGTAGCTCCTGATCAAATCAGAATCAAACCATGGACGTACTTGTATTGTTCGTCGATCGCCTGTGAATGTCCTCCATTCACTGCATTGGCTCACCCCTTTGGACACGCATAGGCAGCGGGTCGCGGAGACGTCGACCCCTGCTGACACACATATCCCGGAGCGCAGGGCGTGCAAACGCCTACAAACAGAGGCGGAGACAGACTGTGGCCGATGCCTTGCTTGAGCTGTTTGGTTTGTTGTGAGAAAGTGACCTTCTCCCTCGTATGAGTATTCCCCCTCGGCACAGACAAGAGGCGAAGTACCACTCGCGATCGGATCAGGGCACTCATAGCCTGCTCGCAATGTCACATCAGCAAGTGAGCTCTGATGCTCATTATCCATTCTTGCTTGAGTCATTCGCCCACCGGCAGGGCATGGAGTGCATTCGGTCTGTCCCGGGTGGCTGTAACTCTGGAGGTTCTCACATGGCTGTAGACACGTTTTGACACGAGTTACGGCTGCAGGGTGACTCGGTGGGGGGGCCTACGATTGGGTCGAAGGCAGGATCCGGGCAGTAGCTCCCCGCTGGGCATGTGATGCACGATGCCTCTCCAGGAGGAGAATATGTCCCGAGAGGGCACACCTCCGTCGGGCCGGTGTCGTTGCACGCCACGCCCCACGGGCACATGGTACAGGCTGTCGATCCTTCGAGGGCGTAAAAACCAGTGAGAGGGGCGTATACCGCTAACGCTGTGCAATCTTCCGGAGTTGCTATATCCTACGTTGGTCATCACACACATTGGCACAGATGGATGGTCAGATGTGGGTGCGCGGTGTGCCGTGGGCTGTTCCATTGTGTCTCTCTGTCTCTCCCACCGGTGTGGGGCACTGACTGCCCGCCGGGCATGGGATGCAAGTCTCGGAATTCAAAAGGCTGTATGAGCCCAATGGACACTCAAGCTGAAAGGCAGAGCCGCTGCCTGACACACACGCGCACACGGAGACCGAGCGGTTGCCAGCGAGACACCACCACGCCCAACGCAGCAGCGGGCTTACCAGTATTGTTGCAGAAGAATCCCGCAGTGCACGGGTTGCACTGCAAGCAACCAAAGTAAGCCAGCCACAATGAGCCCGCCCTATGCATGGCATCTCTGCCTGAGGTAGGCAGAAGCTGCTGTGTCATGTCTGTCTCACCGCAGTCGAACGATAGTCCGAGTACTGTCCATTAGGGCACTGCACAGTGCGAAAGCAAGGACAATGCTGCGTGACTGCGCGAAGTGGCAGGGTTCTTGCGTCGCCTACCTGAACGATACCTGACCCATCAAGATTCGGACATCGCGATCCAGCCGGGCAGGGGGTGCAATAGGTCTCGCTGCCCACTGAGCCAGTGAAAGACGCATGTGCACAATACAACACAGTGAGCAAGAGCAGAGGTCATTCTTGCACAGAGGCATGCACATATGGCTCACAAGAGTACTCTCCGGCCAGACAGGCTACGGGCGCGAACGATGGGTCGGGGCACTCGCTGCCTGCCGGGCATGCCTGACAGGTGGAGTCTGGGGCAGTTGGTAGGTCTGCGTATGTGCCGATGGAACATGGGGTCATAGTATTATTGGTACACTCGGAGCCCGGCAGGCAAGGGAGACAGTCGTGCCTGACACACGACACAAGGACAGGCGAAGATGAAAGTACATGTGAACACGCCGATTGTTCATGTCTCCGAAGCGTGGCCTGCATGCTCACGCGAAGGTCCCGTCGGCACATGCCCTTCGGTAGAGAGTGATACTGACGGAGCCCGGGCTTCCCTCTGGCAGCCCATTTGGAGGCGAGCGATATACATCGTCGGTGACCGACGTAATGCTGGCTTGGCATTTCACCGTGTACGACAGAACGGTGTCGGGTGGCTCGGTTGCCGTGCTGGGAGTGAGAGTAAAAGGAACGCCGTTGGTCCATTCCGGTGAAGGGAAAGCATCAATAGTGTCGGGGCCGGAGGGGGTGACGTAGTTCGTTGGGCTGCAATCGAGCTGGATCGTGACATCATTCTCCGGGGCCGTCGTCAGTCGCACTGTGGTTGTCACTGCAGTGCCGCCTTGGAAGGCAACGATGTGGTTCGGCGTCCATGTCACCTGACTCCACAATTGTAGCATCACCAACCGGTCATTGCATGCTTTTTCATGTGTCTCTATTGCTCACCCCGGGCACGACGTCATCGAATACCGACACCTCAAAGGGGTCCGGGTAGTGGTTAGCATTGCTGAGGTCACCAAAGCTGGGGTCACCACCACCAGTGATCGCAAAAGTGATCTCATCGATCCTGGCACCACCGACGTAGGATATGTCGTCAGTGACGCCCGCGATAACCACAGGCTTCGGAGTGGCCCAATCGCCACTTGGGCCACTGGTGAACGTGAAGCTTGCCGCGGCGGGGACGAACGTCACATGGCCGTTCGCAGATGCAAGTGTGACCGTTGTATCTAGGGACGGTTCCGAATCCAACACAATGGTGAAGGCAGTTTGCTGCAGAAAGAGGAGAATGCATCAGCTTTGAGTTGTCCTTTTGCTTTGTTTCGCTGACTCACTGATTGTCCTTCGACGACCCATCCGTCGCCGGATACGATGACGTATTTGAGGTCGTCGTCGAGCACGGTGACCTGCACATCGCTGCTGGGCGACCAGCTGGGGGGATTCCATGCATCAGGCGCTGAACCGATGGCGTGGGTGATGGTGAAAGACCCGTCGCTGTCTGCCGTCACGTTGACGTACTGGTGCTTGTTGTAGTCGACCGGTGTGAAGACAAGGCTTGTCGGGTCCACCGTCAGCCCCAGGCCGGCTATGTTGATGGTGACATCACTGTTTGGCCTTGAATTTAGCACCACAGAGTAAAATCCTGTACGACAAACAGCAATCACACGACAAGGAACGTGAGAGAAACACAAGCCAGAAAGGTAGGCAGGCAGGCAGGCTGAGGGGCCAGCAAGTACCAGGCGGCCCGTTCTCTTTGATGACAGGGCAGCCACTCAAGACGACTTGCGGGCCGCCTGTCACAGCAATGACTGCGCTTGTCGCGGTGGCGCCGCTACCGCCGGCACAACTGCCTGCGTTGGCCTGGTGACAAACAAAAACACACACACAGAAGGAAACAAGTAAACAAACAATCAAACAAACGGCAGCCTGAGACAGGCGGTGCAGGCGATCCCTTCTCGTATCTCACCTCTATCGAGAAGGAACCGCTCCTGTCGATTGAGAGGTGATTAAACGTTGCAACGCCAGTCGTGGCATCACTGAAGACATCCGTGGGGCCCGATAGAATGGCCAGACCACCCGTAATTGAAAGACCGACCGCATTCGACCCAGAAACGGTGTTGTCGTTGGCGTCTTTCATCACCACCTGAACCCCGAACTCTTCCTCCGCCTGCACAGTCGACGGCGGCTCGGTGGACAACTCAATTTGACTGCAGGAGCCAGGAGTGATGTCGAACGGGTCGCTGGTGACGGTCAGTGTCCCATCAGTAAAGTTCAGAACATAGTTGCTTCCAGCTAAGATGCATATGCGGCACAGCAACAAGGGACAGACGGTGAACGTATGTGGAGTCGCCTGTTGTGTCTCAAGCCATACCGAAGTCGATCCGCAGGTCGTCGAAGTCGGCATCACCATTCACTGCAGGTTCTGAGTCCGTGCTACTGGGTAAGAAGGCGGCCCCACACGTCCCGCTGCCTGCTGCGATGCTTGCAACAATTGGACCACCAATTGGATCTGTGTACGTGGCCACCTTGTTTCCAAGACCATCGACGGCCGTCACTATAATCGAAGGCAAGAGGGCCCCCGCCACTGCAGATGCCGGGGGCTGGGTTGTGACGATGAGGGCAGCGGCCGGCAGTGGGTCGATGTCGAATTCGGCGCTAGCAACACCGAGACATTCATCACATGTGAACGTCAGCGTGTAAGTGCCCGCGACCTGGACGCTCAGGTCGGTGAAATCCACAATGCCGCCCATGCCAGTTGCATCCACGGCCACCGTACCGGAGAGCCCTCCAGTGGGTGGGTTCAGTGCGACATAGACGTTCCCAGCGTAAGCGGGATCAATGGCGCCGCCCGTATGCACTTCTACTTGCACGGGATTAAAAGAAGGATCAGTGATGATAGCTCCAGCGGCGGCATCTTGGGGCTGCTGCGTCATGACCACCTCGTGCGAGGTCAGGTTCGTGACCTCCAGCGTGTAGTAGGCCTCAGCGTACTTTCCATCAGTGGTGTCACATGGGCCACTGGCGGCATCACTGCACCAGCAGACCCTGTATGTGCCGGTTGTGGGGATAGATCGAGACGAATACGTCTGCTGAGTGGCACTGGATGAGCCAGAGTCAGGGCTTATCGGACCCGTTCCAGAACCCGTGTCGCCACAGACAGTGGTGCTTGCCACGATGGTAATACAATCGTTGTTGTTAAAGGTAGCACTACCAGCGGCTCGACGCAACACGATGTCAAAGTCGCGACTTGCGACGACATACTGCAAAGAGAGAAGAACCCTTGCCGTACCCCAGCCAATGGTCAGATTCTTTCGCTCACTTTGATAACTTGGTCCTCTGCCTGCGGTCCGGCAGTATCCACCCACTTGACAAGGCAGGCGAGGAGAAACCACAGAAGGAACACCAGAGGGGCACCCCGCATCCCCCTCACACACATCATAAGGGGTGCGGCAGTCGCACCCAGCCTGACATGAGCAGCCACAAAGAAAGGAAAACAGTGACAAACACACGCAAGTCTGAGTGGAATGGCCGCAAGCAGCCACGCACCGCTGAGACTGGCTGAGACGGGCTGTGACCAGGACTGCCCTCAGAGGGGGAGGGGGAGGTTCGTGCGTCAGGGATCTTGCGGAGTGCTGTCTTAATCACTCAGTGAAGGCGCTCTTCCTTCCACTCCTAACTCACAGAGGAATGGTCTGCAGCTGATGGCAAATGTTGGAGAAGCGAATTCTTGGGCGAATACAGCACTTGGATGCAAGTGCAGGTTGATCTTGGTCCCGGCAAAAGACAGAATGGCGGTGCTTCGCAGCGTCTCCTGGGGGCTTCATGGGGGCCTCCAGTCTCGGGGGACTGAAAGGAACTTGAAGGCAGTCACGGCTCACTCGAATAGAAACGGCACCTAGTTAAGCGAGACAGACAGCCAGACGAGCCATTTTTTGTTGCCTTTGGTCGTCAAGCTGTCTGTACTATCTGCCTTGCCGGACTCTTTTCCCCACCGAATGCGTGTTTGTCCGGCTGTCCGTATGCTCGATTCGTGAATGGGCGTTTGCTATGATTCGTGAGCACGGGAGATGAGAAGTGGGCAGATAGACGGTACACACAATTAATGTGAATGTGGAGGTGTGATGGCTGGCTGGCTGGCTGAGTGCACACCATGGGATGTGTGTGTGGATGGAGTGGGTGGTCAGACAGCATTGTTCCTTTCATCCGTCCTGGACTGTGTGTCATCAAGTAAGTAGAGCAGGTAGGTGGAGTCATACCGCGGCCGTTGACGTGCTGCTGTCATTCCATGTGAATGTGTGTGTGTGTGTGTGTGTGCGTCCATTTTTCGCAGGCAAAACACGTGACGGGATACGGGGACATGACTTGACGCGATCGCCATCGAGTGACTTGTGCATTCGTGTATGTGTAGGCGAGTGACTTATGCACCACTTGCGTGGACGGGGGTTGGATGGATGGAAGACACGCGACGGGGAGGGGCACGATGAGATTAACTCGGTACAGAGAAACGGTCTGAGGCTAAGCTTCGGAATATGTCTGCAGCAACGGACTGTACACGCACTGAAAGAGGCATACATCTTTTAACAGAACCACCCACACACTCCCAAACACACAGCGCGCACCTATGCCCTCACGCAAGCCAAGCCGAAAATGTGTTCCGTGGTGGTCGGGATCCGTCAAGCGGCAGCAGGTCACGCACCAGGGGAGAGACGAGGGTCGACCCCTCCCCCAAGACGTGACCGAGTACCACTACACGAACCAACGGCCACAACACGCCAGCACACCACTGGCGGGCGACAAATCCGCCAGTTAGGAAAACGCGACAGCAGCGCATCTGTCGATGAAGCTCCTCATGTGTCCCCATGATGATCTCTATTCTTCTGGATGTTGCCGACTATGTCATGGCCCTTCCACATCCAGCCCTCTCGCCTTGATGTCAGACACACACACAAAGCATACCATGACGGCCCTTCCACTGGGTGATGCCCTCCGCCCGCCAAGTTACCTGCCCTTCATGTGTGACGCCAGCTGCAGCCTCTCCATCTCTGACCTCTCCTCTGCCCCACTGCCAGCCGCCCCGCCAGCTATCCCCGCCTCAGGGAAGGCCCTCGCGAGCACAGCCAGCACGCTGTCCTTCCCCACCACGATGCTCTCTCCTCCCAGCTCAACCGCTGGTGTCAGCTCGTCGACTGCCCGCGCCCCGCCCGCCTTGGTCATGAGCGAGATCCCTTCTTCGTCAAAGTTGTCAGAGATCACACAAGTGGTGACGGCGATGCTCTTGTCAGACAGCAGCCGCAGCAGCTCCTCGCTGTCAGGCTGGCCGGCAAGGACGTAGAGTTTGCTGATTTGGAGGCCGCCGCTGAGGGCAATCATCGCCTGTTCGAGGCTGTAGACGGCTGAGAGGGCTGATGGTGAGGCGGCCTTCCTCCGCGACGGGCTGACGGCTGCGATGAAACCACTGCTGACAAAGCGCGGCACCTGTGGCTGCCGTACTGCCTGACTCGGAAGAAGGGGCAGGGAGAAGAGCCCGATGATGAATGTGGCACCCATCTTCTTCAGATTCAAACACTGCCTGGCACGTTGTAGGCTACAAGTGAGTGGATCTGGGGACAGGGCAGTTCACTCCTTCGTTTTGAGCTCGCAAACGCAAGCTTAGCCAGATGGCGTTTTCTCCGATCCGCACGGCAAGTGTCCTTTTGGATCTCCGTGTGAGCAGCGCGTCCCTCCTGTAGTGCATTTGCACTGGCACCTGTCCGCAATGGGGGCGGTTGAGCGTCAGCTGCGTGCGCTGATCCATCGTGCCGCAACAGCGAATCCGGCGGACCCCGAGGACGACCCGCACGCACACATCAACGCTGCATACACCCTCATACAAGAGGGCAGCGACTCGTTCGGAGGGGGCATCGGTGCAGGTAGACAAACACTGTCTGGTGGCGTAGGGGAGACGGCATGTTTCTTCTCGTGTGTTGTGCAGATGTGTTGGTGGTGTTTGCTGAGGCGGCCGCTGCACTGGGCCACCATGAGGAGCAGATCATTCGTGCGCTGGAGGTACGCGAAGCCGGCCAACCTCTTATATGGCGTGGCCGTCTTTGTGTGTGCGGCAGTTGTTTGAGCGTTCGGAGCCCGAGGATCTGCAGTGGAATGCGAGGGCCAACATCGTCAGGTAGTGCCTGGCCAGTCGGGGGGTGCATGTGGCCGTCTGTATGTATGTATATGGGTCACAGGTGTCTCTACGAGGGGCGCAAGGCATTGAGAGACAAGTGCCAGGGGGATGATCTCGTTGAGCAGATCCACTTTGCCCTAGAAAGCCTCACTCAGGCACTGCAGATCGCCGCCAAGAGCGAAAACAAGGCCAGGTAGGCAGGCTTTACACATCCAGAACAACCGCCGCACAGCCTTCTGTGTTCAGGTATGCATTTGTGGTGTACAATGCGAGTTTGGTGTTTGTGGAGGTGGTCCGCCCCCTGCTGCGGCCTGGGTGGTGCAAGCACCTCGTCGAGCCGCTGCAGAGCCTCATCAATGCTCTCAAGTAGCAACCTCATGGAACACGTACGCTCCATGCAGGCGACAGATGTCGAATGTCTTCCCTCCGTGCAGCGCTGCCTCTCCAGCTGTCGGTGATGTGAAAGACAGCAAGAAAGGTGGCGGTGACGCATCGGCGGCGTCTCAAGGCGTGCCATGCCCTGTGGACACCATGTGGAGGGTGGAGCTACTGCTGCAGCTTGCATTCTGCCTTGAGGACGACAGCAAAGCCGCAGAAGCACAGAAGGTCATGCAAACCAGTAGAGGCCTGAATAGACAGCGTCCCACCTGGCTGTCTGTCTGTGCGTGTTTGCAGGCGCTTGATGAGGCCGTTGCCAAAGTGAAGGGCTTTACTGACATCCAGAGCGAAGCGCCATGGATGCCTCTCCTGATAATCAGGTGGGGCACGCGCACTCAATTCCATTCATGCAGTGCAAAACGAGGGCGTGTCTCCTTTTCTTCTTTCTGTATTCAGTGCTCGCTGCTACTTCTGCCGCACCAATGCCAATGGACAAGCAGCCCTCAAGAAGGACGTCGAGAGCTCCAAATGGATGAAAGTGGCCACCACGGTAAGGTACACAATACACTTACCGATACACTCATGGGCAGGTGTGATTGTCGATGACCCTGACCAGGGGTACCTAGCCATGTATGGCGGCATCGAGAAGGACCTGGACACAGAGCTTGTCAAGACCTGGGCCCTCATCGATCAGCCTTTCGAAGACACACTCAAGCAGGCAAGCGCCGCCCCGCCCCTCACTCCCGCCGCCCATGCAGCGGAGAGCAAGCAGAAGGACATTGAGGCCGACGCTGCGGCCACTGACACACCCAAGAGCCTGTCGTCGGATGAGAACATCGCTATGGCTCTTCTGCTGAGGGCGGCGGTGAGACGGCAGCTGTGGGGCATCGCAAGGGGCATGGCGGCTCGATTGCAGCGGTAGGGATCAAGGAAAACGACGGACGAACAAACAGACAGACAGACAGACAGACAGGCAGACGCAAATAGTTCTGTGCAGCTTCCGTGCTCTGCCGCCGCGTGCTCGAGTGCTGCTGGACATGAGCCGCGCTGAGCTCATGGTCCATCGTGTGACGACTGAGCGGTGGACCGATGCAGCGACGGGATTTCTGCTCTCGCGGAGTCAACAGAAGGAGGGGGAGCTCGACGAAAGGTGTGCTGCTGTGAGACTGCTCGAGCAGGTCGGCTGCTCCACATGAACACACTTGCAAGTCTCTCACTCATTGAGTGAATATATCATTGCCGCATCTGCTGTGCAGTGCATGACGGCGGCGACGCGCATCCCGAATGGCTATGACCTGATAGAGGAGTCGGCATGCCTGCTGTGGCAGGCAGCCATACCGCTCTGCAGACAATCGCACAGACCCAAGATCCAACGGGCGCTGCAGAAGGCGGTGGACGTGTTGGCTGACCTGCAGTCGACACTCCACGAGCTTCGCACGAACCTGCTCTTCCAACTCGCAAAGTGCGAAGTGAGCCACACACATCGAGACACGGCAGAGACAGACAGCCAAACCATGTCTCGCTTGCTTTGGTAGTTGTCGAAAGATCTGTTGTCGAGCGCGCAAAGTCTGCTGGAGAAGGCGACGTGCATCGATGCGACGCTGCTGCCCTCCCAGGCCCCTGTGGCCCCACCTGATCCGACCGCTCATGAAGCGACAGAGTATCTGCGGCCCCTCGATCGCTACGTGAAGCCCCTGCAGCGGCATTTGCACTGGAAGCTGGTTCTCTACGAAGAGCCGAGTGAAGCCACAGACAGAGCAGCGCTGCTCATTGACCAGGTGGGAAGGTTGTGGAGAGAGAAACACGTCGTTCCGAATGGCTTGTTTGTTCACCCTCGCTGCTGCAGATGCGTGCGTCTCGCGACGATGGAGTAGTCAAGACTTTGTTACATCGCGTGGATCAAGTGTTGTCGGGCGAGCTCCACCAGCTCATGGAGAAACACCAACAGGACAATCCGGATGACCATGAAGCTGCTGCATCGCCAGAGCTCGCTGCAAAGCTCAAACGAGTGGTAAAGCACGGGATTGCCAATCCCGAAGCACGGGATTGCCAATCCCGTTTCTCTCCGATGCTTTCCAATTCTCCTACTTGGTGCAGAGCATGTTGATGTGCGACTTGGCCGAGCAGGCCTCTGCTATCGGCGAACATGATTCTGACCTCCAGTATGCGGGCCGCGCCCGCCTGCTGGTCGCCAATCACAACGCGGTTAGTCGCGAGCTGTGGGATGCGTCGCCGTACGCCGCGACATGTGGCTCTCTCGCTGAGCTGGCCTTGCCGTCCGTCGAGCTCAGCGTCCCGCTGGACGTTGAGGTCGCCATTGCCCTCGCTGAGGCCGCTTATACACAGGTAACATGGCATGGGCGGGTGTGGACAAACAAACGGTCCGCTGGTAATTGTTGTCATCTTCGCGCAGGCTGCGTGCTTATTCGATATGTTGTTGGATGACTGGGATGTGTGTCCTGGCGTGATGGAGGAGGAGGTCGATGCGTCGGCCACCAGCAGAAGGAGATCCGTCGCCTTCGGCGGAGACGCGGTGTGTCTTAAGTCTGTCGTCCTGTCCACTGACGGGCTTGTCTCTCGTGTGTCAGGGCGAGCCAGAGGAGCCGCGGTTGAGCCCGGAGGAGCGGCAGAAAGTCATGGACATGAAGACACACCTCCTCAGGCACATCGCATTCGGAGTGCAAATCAGGTAGAGCTGTTTGTGTATGAGAGGCCGCAGCTGCAGACGTAATAACTCCTGGCTTTTGGCTCGCTCAGTATGGATTTCGGTCAGCAGTGGCTGGCATCCAATGGGGCGGCTCACTTGTGGAACTTCCACAGAGATGTGATGGAGGGCGAGCTCGTCCAGCGGGCCATGCCTTTGCTGATCGACACGCTGCAGGTCAATCGCTCGTCGATGACATGATCGTCTGACTGTGTTTGGTGTGGCATCGGTCGATTGCAGAGCATTCACGAGACACTGACGGGCCTACCTCTGGCCCAAGTCGACTCCCAGCTGTTGATGAGCCTCACAACCCTGCACTGCAGATGCCTACAGGTATCCATTCCGCAGTGATACCCCTATCTGTCTGCATTTCTTCTCCCTTTCTCTGCACTCTCTGCAGCACAGTGATCCTCCCAGAGTGGCTGATGCCGAGACAGTTGCCCTGGCAGCCCTTCCCTTGCTTGAAGCCGCCCAGCGCAAGCAGCTGACCGAGTGCTTGTCAGACATATGCACCAGCGCTTCGCGGCCCGTCCCTGCCATCCCCGCACCAGCGGGCGAGGGCGGTGGCGGCGGCGGTCCCGATGTGGCCGGCAAGAAGGATGCCGGCAAAAGTAGGAAAAAGGGCAGGGCGGAGGCGGCCTCACCGGTTGCCGCAGGGGCCAAGGGCATGGAGGGGGAAGCCATGAGAATCATGCAGGTAACCTGGTTGGAAGGTGATGCTATTGATTGTGTGTGATGGGTGTCATGTCTATGTCTTTCGTGTTGAGGTGTTAGGGCATTGCTTCTGAGACATCTCCGGATGGTCGCATGAAGCTTGCACAGCAGGCCTTAGGCCTGCTCAAGGGCATGGAAGTCACTCAGGGCGACGAAGAAGAGGTGAGGCAGAAACACGTGCACATTGGCTGTGATCGATTTCTTTCGCCCGGTGATCAGCTGAGCCTGCACACGGAGCTATTGGCGCGTCTCGGTCAGCACTGCCTGTCCATTGGTACCAAGGACGGCGGCAAGCTCGGGGTCTCGGCAGCGCTGCACGCTCTCGGGGGCCCCGATGAGTGCGATAAGGCCCTGACGGTGCCGGCAAACGCCTCACCCCGTCGCCTCCACTGGATGGGCGCCTGCCATCACATCATGGGACGGGCCCTCGCCTCACTCATTGACCCAGAGAGACAGGAGGAGCAGTCGATATTGAGTCTTCGCCAGTCGGCGCTGAAGCACTTCATGGCTGCGTGTCAGTATGCCTGCGCTAGCCACTCGAAGCGGTTGTGCGGGAGCGCTGCCTGTGGGCTGTGGAACGTTGCTGTTGGGCTGCTGAAGGAGGGACAGCGGGGCGAGGCAGTGGAGGCTTTGCAGCTGGCGGTGTCGTCCATGGCGGCCGTGCAGCTGAAAGACCTCTATGAGTTCAGGTGCACACACCAGACACACACACACACAGACATCCCTTCCTTGTGTATGTCTGTCACATGAATGTGTTTCTACAGAGTGAACATGTATGCTGCGTTGTATGACTGCTACGCCGAGACCAGCAACTGGTCAGCGATCGATGCTGCGCTCGATGAGGCCTTCAGGAGTCTGCCCACCGCACATCACCGCCGCATATGGGCACTCAAGCTCCTCTCGCTCAGCAAACAGGTCCATTGACACGCAACAAACATCCCGACACACATGTGTGTCTTGTCCGTGATGGGCAGGGAAAGGATGTGGTGATAGCTATGGGCAAGGTCAAGGAGAGCCAGGCCAACGTCCAGGCGAATCTGTGGCTCACACTGGCACACTCCTACCCGAGCACACAGCACACCGCCCACATGCACGCCTACCAGAAGGCCCTGGAGCTGCTCGAGGGCGCGCAGCAGCTCTCGGCCGTCGAAGTTCGCATAGAAATTGCCGACTGGCTGGTGAATCCACACACCTTACACCCGGATACACGGATGGCCACTTGCGTGTCTCCATCTCACTAGTTGCGGAACTACATGGCGTTTGGTGCTGCCCGGGATCAGCTGCAAGTGGCCATCACGTCCCTGTACGAGATAGAGGAGGAGGGCGAGGAGGAAGAAGGACCTGCAGATGCGGCACAGGAAAGAAAGTGAGAAGCCAGCAGCGCACCACTGCACAGTAAACACGTATCTCGGGTCATGTTTGCAGGTCCAGTCACTCCAGGCGCAGCAGCAAATCTGGAGTGTCACGCAAATCGGGCAGGTAGGTAGCCTCGCGACGGCCCAATTCTGACAGGCCAAAAATGACGGATTCTCATGCTTTTCAGGTCAGTGTTGTCGAAGCGGTCCCGTCGGTCCAGCGGTTCATCGAGAGACAGGCGGTCGGCCAAGTCGGCCAAGTCACTCAAGTCACGCCGGTCATCCGCATCCATCTCTGCATCGAAAAAGTCCGTTTTGTCGCGGAAGTCATCCAAGATCGAAAAGGCCGCCAGCAGCCATCATGATGAAGACGCTGAGGTGAGGGCAGCTGGAGAGCAAGTCCTCTGTACTGTGCTTGTTGTTTCGCTCGGGTCTCGCTCTCTGTGTGGCAGCCTCCGAATGTGCTGCATAGCGGTCATTACGAGATGCTGTGTCGGGCGCTGGTTTTGGCGTCACGGGTGGCGCCGACAGGGGGCGAGGCCATGCAGTTCGCTACGTCTGCCGTCCATTTCATCGTCCGGACCTTCGAAGTGGCGGGTAGGGGCACGCAGGCCGTATCGTGCACGCTTTATCGTCGTATCACTTCCTGCTGGCGTGTATTGCACAGCGCGCCAGGCCACGTCGATCGAGCGGAGAGAGTACGAGAGGCTGATAGAGGAGCGGCAGAAGGCCAAGAAGAAAGAGATGCTCGAGAGCGGAGACAAACCTCCAGCCGATGCTGGCGAGGACTCTGCGGTAAGCCGCAGTCGGCTTCCCCACAGCCCCTTTGTACACGTGTGTGTGTGCAGAGGGACGACAATCTGCCGGAGGTTCCCGTGCCCCACATGATTCCCTCAACTCTCGAGGATTGGTGCGAATCGGGGAGGCGTCTGCTGCCTTCGTCCATTGTGGAGGCGGTAAGGCGCATGCAGTGGCTGGGTGACGTCCCGGAAGGGGCCGAGGTCATTCTCTCCCTCAACAACGACCGCGTCTTCACCAGGCCTTCCCTGTCCCACTACGCCCTCTCCTCTCTCGAGCGCTATCTCTTCGACCACGGCCTACACAGCTTCGCCCTCCCGGTGCTGCAATTCCACCGCCACCTCGTGACGCAGATCAGTCCACCCGACGAGGGTGAGACAGATGCGCCGACAGCCACGCCCACGTCCACGTCTCCCCAGACCTCGCCACGAGACGAGGTGGGTGCCTTCCCCTTGGGTCCACTGCCGCCCGTCACGCCGCTGCAGGAGTGTGTCTCCGCCCTGGTGGAGCTGCGGATGGCCAAGGCGGCACATTTCTGTGGCGTCACGGACACCGAGCAGCAGGTGAGGTGAAGGGTGTGTGCATGCGTGGCAGTGTGTGACGTGTTCCCTGTCAGATTCTTGGCAAGGTGAGGCCTCTGTTGGAAGAGAAGATCTCAAACCACATCGAGACGTGGAAGGCCGCAATGCCAACGATGCCGTCCTCATTCGACGAGACCACAGGGGACATCGAAGTCGCTGAACCGCCAGCGGTGCTGACGGCAGGGGCAGAGCAGTGGGTGTGCAACGATGTACAGCCTGCAGACGTGAGTGTATGCAGCACGCAGCGACATCCATGTGTGGATTTCGCTCTTGCAGGTGCTGGTTGAGATCGCAGATGAATGCTGGCAACGAGGAATGCTGCGCCAAGCCTCCTTCTTTGCGGAGGCGGCACACGCCCTGTCACCCAACGAAGCCGCTCGGCGACGGGCGAGTGTCATGGTCGGCCGCATATGGCTTGCTGAGGGCCGCCACCGCACAGCGCTGCAAAGCACAGCGAGTGGGATCACTCGCAGCCCCACGCCGTGTGCAGTGGATGTCACTCTCGACGCTGTGGAGCTTCTCACGGTAAGCAGAAAGGGAGAAAGGAGTGGTGAAGCTTGATTAATGATGGCGGCCCTGCTGCATGCGCTATGCCAGGACGCCTACACGCAATCCGGCCGTGGCCCCTTTGCCGAGCAGCTCATCTCGCAGACAGAAGCGGCACTGTCGAAGCTGACGCGGCCCAAACCACCAGCACAGGAGAGGACATATGCGCCTTCATCTCCCGCGCCCTTCCCTCCCCCTCTCCCTGCAGTGGCCCAGTCCAGTCGCAAAGCACACACATCTGCCGCCGCCCCAGTTGGCCGTCCCCCTCCCGGCTGGCCCTACCCACGTGCAGAGTGCCGGCTCCTCGTCATGTCAATCATGCACAAGCTGCACCTGCTCGCCGCGCCGCAGAGTGTGCCGCTTTCGTCGGACTTTGTGAAGCACTGCAGCGAGGTGCAGGAGGGGATGCAGCAGCTGCTGGACTGTGTGATGCGTGGGGGGCTGTACTGGGAAGGCGTACAGTGCATGGTGCGGTGTATTCGGGCGGCTTTGGGGATGGTGGAGGAGCGGATCGAGGCCGCTGTGTGGCGAGACGTGGGCGCCAGCGGGGCCGTGGAGAGGTGGAGGTTCTACGAGAGCTACCTGCAGAGCATGTTGGGGCACCTGGACGTAAGAGGGACACACACTCAGATGATGCACTGACATGTCTTCCCTCATTCAGGCTCTCAGGCCGGCTATTGGACACCTTCTGCCGCTGAGCGCCCCCTATCTGTCCCCCTCTGCCGACTCCCCGCCCACCAAGACGGCCACAAAGCACCTCATCGACGATTGGAAGGCCGTTCAATGCCATCTCATCCGCCGCCTTGAAGAGGCACACAAGAATCAGCGGCGTGTCAGGGACGGGCGAATGTGGCGGCGTGTGATTCTCCGGCCTGCAGAGGTGGATGAGAGTGATCTTGGGGGGATGACTGCGGAGGGGGACGGAGAGAACAGTGTGACCAAGTGGCTGCGGGCGACTGCGTTGGAGCTGGAGAAGGCTCGAGCCACTGGCAAGGTGGCTGTGTCCCTCGACGCGGCTGGGGAGAAAAAGGAAGTCGCGACAAAGGACACTACCTCACGTACGGCTGCCTTCGCTTGCTGGGACACGCTCACAGAATGGTGTCTGTGCGTGTTCTGTGTGCAGCTGCCGCATTCACCATGACGTCTGACCCTCTGATCTCCACACCCGCCACACGCTACGCCCGCGGCCACTCTCGCGCCGAAGACGCCCTCCTCTCCCTGTCCGACACATCCGTTCCCACCCCACCTCAGGCCTCGCAGTGCGGAGTCATCCAGGGCTCCTCCCTTCTTCTGCAAGAGCCATCCTCCGAGACTGCACCAGCCGTGATGCGGCAGTCTGTGTGGTTGCATCCGGTGTATTGCCGCGTGTTGGCGGAGAAAGCGGCGCTGCAGCTGAGTGTGTGGCGCGGAAAGGAAGCGAGGGGATGGGTGCAGGCGGAGGACGAGGCGCAAAGGCCGCTGGATGGAAAGAGGCTGCACGTGTGGGAGAGCATGTCTACAGAGGAAATCGAGCGGAAGTGCATGGAAGTCGAAGACAGACTCAGCAAAGCGGCAGAGGTGCGCAAATCCCACACATAGTAAGTACACTAACGTCATTCCTTCCTGTCTCTCTCCTCGCAGATGGCTGCCGGCTCTCGAGCAGAGGAGCCTTTGTTACCTGACGACTCCTCTTCTGCACCTGTGCCTCCTCGGCTGAAGGGTTCTGTGGTGTCAATCGGCAATCCGATCACAGAAGTGCCTCCGGGGTGGAGGGAAGCAGCGGCGGCCTACCATGACGCAGCCATACAGAGATGCCTTGCCATGAGGCTCTTCCGAGAGGTGAGTGGATGGATTGCTGGGGAGGGAGACATGGGTGCGGACATCGATGTCGTGTGTCTGCAAGGCGTCGTTGACGGCGATGCATTTGGCGGTCGAGGGCACCGGCAACTGCACTTCGGCAGAGAGGCAGCTGTCCTTCGCAGCTCTCACCATCAAACAGGCAAAGAAAGCCACCTGGCCGTTGCTGTGTCTTGTTCCAATGTTGCGCTGCCCTCTCTTGCAGTCGAGCGAGGTCTGCGAGGAGGTGTTGCACCTGTGCCGCGCCGGTGGTGCGATGGCCCCCGACCACCCCGACATGGTGCTGCTGGAGAGGCTGGGGGCCATGGAAGTGGAGTGGAGGGACGCATCCACCCTCGACGCATGGGGCAACATCGAAAGATCGCTGTGCCAGAAGTCGCCCCTCTACACGATGCTTCAGTGCTGGCAGCTGAGCGTCCCACAGCTGTGCAACGACATGCTCCCGAGGTCACTGATGGTCATGTCGCTCCAGCTGCACGACGGCCACCTCTACGCCGCTGTGGCCGTCACGCCACCGATGCCCGAGCAGACAGGGGGAGGGGGAGGGGGGAAGGGCAAGGAGGCCAAGAAAGACTCCAAGAAAGACGCGAAGGGGAAGGCCGCAAGCCCACTGCCGACAGAGGAACTGGTGAGGTAATTGAAGCACTCGGCGTGTGTGCACACATATGGATGGCTTCTTCCTGTGTCTACAGCCCCCTCCCGAGACACGGTATCGTGTGTACCGTCTTCCGCTCCCGCCCTCTCTCCTGCTGGACCGCATCGACGGCCTCAATGAGGCGGCTGCAGCCATGCGGACTCACCTCGTCTTTGCCGACCACGTCCCGACAACAACACAAAATCGCACGCAGGAGGTCCTGGATGCTGTTGACAGGCTGATTTCGCCCATTATGCACTTCATCGAGGCTGATTTCTGGCCCCTGGGGCGGTTCTGGCAGCACTCCCTGTCGCCCACGCATCTGCTGTACCTGCCCTCGCGTGAGCTGCGGGGGCTGCCTTTCGAGCAGCTGGCATGTGTCAAGGGTAAGCAAGCAGATCCGTTTGAAGAGAGGGGTACATGTTCTGCTGCGCTGTCTGTGTGTGCAGGCATGTTTGGTCACAATGTGACGCGTGACTTCTCGCTCCACCTCTTCGTGCACCGGATGACCATGCCTCTGCTGCAGTCCAACCACGAGGAGGCCATTACGGCCTTCCAGACGGCCATGCGCTCATCCACAGTGGAGACGCTCACCATGCCCGAGACACAAGTGGAGAGGAACAAGGTCACTCTCGTCTCCGATCCATACAATGAGGACACCCTCAACACCGACGGAGAGACCCTCATCGACACACACAAGCGGATTGTCCAGTCCGAGAACCTCTCATCTCCCTTGCACTTCACCGGCGACACCTACACGCCATCGCGTGACGACTTCAACCGCATTTTGATGGAGTCCAGCGGCCTTGTCTACACGGGCTTCGGCCGCGTGCTGAGTGCGTTTGGCGGCAGCAAGGTGGCAGGGAATCTCCACCTTGGGCACATGAAGATGGTGGCTTTGCTGGTCATGGCGTCCAACGACGCTGCCGTCAGGAGGTATGCACAGTGTGCCTGCGGAGGTGTGTGTGGGAAAGAATGATTGGGCGCGTCTCTGGGTTTCAGGCAGACGAAGAGTGACTCGACTAAAACGCTCGCAGAGCTGAAGACCGACCAGGCACACGCAACTGCCCTCCTGCTGTCGTTCAGAGGTATGACAGCGATGAGAGACACCATCTGAATGTCTCCCGTGTCCCTTGCCCGAGTACAGGAGTGAGAAGTGTGCTGAGTGTAATTAGCCCGGTCCCGACATTGCTCATCCAGAAGGCCGCCGACAGCCTTGTCACGTCAATGGCCAAGAACAAAGAGCCCGTCTTCGCTGCAAGGTGATTTATACAAACACGTGGATGAATGCACTGCACGTGTCTCTCGTGACCTTTGCTGCCTGTATGCACCAGGAAGAGCCTGCTGCAGCATGAAGTGCCAGTGGTGGAGCGGTATCAGCGCATCGGCCAGACCGAGGCAGCACAGCTGCCCCCCGACATGGCAGAGGCGCCCCAAGGAGACGACAGTGGTAGTGAAGGGGAGAAGACGGCCCTGTTGTTCGACGCCTACAGCGCCTCATCGTTGGTGTGTTACGGGCTGCCGTGGGTGCGGGTGGCGGTGGGGGAAGCTACGGGGAAGGGCGGGGCAGGCAAGGGCAAGAAGTGAGTGACAATCTACGTATCGATGCGTTCATATGAACGGCGTTTGCATGCCTGGCCGGTGGAGAGGTGATGCATCGATGAAGGATTGATGAATGCACTCATTAATACGAGTCTGTCGTCATTGCCATGAAAGCGTTTGCATCTAAACACGATGTCTATGCACAGAGGGGTGGGCCCCGGACAAGCCTGTCTGCTAGGCTATTAGCTACTTACTGTACGTTCCGTCAGCTGCACACCTCCAGAGGCTGACCTACCCGTCCTGACGACAATACACGCCTCCATCCCATCTGCCTGTATCATCCACTCTCGCCAATCACATCTTCGCTTCGTGCAAGTACACCAACCCCATCTCTGCCGACGCCACTTGTTGCGCAGACAGACCACCCCAAGTCTACTACTATACTACAGCCGCTGCCCAGTCCCATCCCGTCTCGGCCACTATTACTACCTCGGCTCGACACTGCTACATCAGACCATCTGCATGTTGTCGAGGATGCGGTCATCGTCGTTCAGCCCGTGCCTGAGCGACAGCTCGATGCCCCAACGCTGCGCCTCTGACCGCACGGCGCGGTAGAGCACCTCGCAGACGCTCATGCACCGATTTGCCACACCTCCTATGGCGAACGGCCGCAGCGGTGGCTGGCCCGGCCCGCCCACCACATGGACGTTGCCGTCCTGGATGATGCTGCGGCTGGCGGCCGTCACGTACCGCTGAAGCGCCCGGTCGATGCGTGTGCCGAACGGCTTCTCACCGATGGGGAGGGAGGGGGAGGCGGTAAGCAGGGAGGCGATCGTCGTCTGGATCTCGGGAGGAAGAGTGGCATGTGTCGTCTCGCTGATGGGGATGGGTTGGGCTAGCGAGGCCGCGATGGAGCGGCTGGGCTGCAGGGCGGTGTTGATGGCCCGGATGGTCTCATGAGGGACGGTGGTGTTGACGAACGTCTCGTATGCCCTCACGATCCTCCTCAGGGGCCAGTTTGCCTCGTCCTCCTCGTCGCTGTACTCGTCGACGTAGCCCCTCATCCTCTGGCAGCGGTCGCAGTCCTCATAGTCGTAGTCGATGTCCATGAGCATGTCCCTCATCATATCGCAGCCGCGGCAGGGCTCTCTCTCACGCTGCTCAACCCCGGCCTCTCTGATGGCCCTCTGTGGGGTCACGCCGGCAGCCGTCAGCGAGGCACCGTGCGTGAGCAAGTCCAGCAGACCCGGCTCGACAGGCACACCCGAAGGCTCGTACTCGTCGTCGTCAGTCATCTCACGCGCCAGGTCCCACAGCAGAGTGCTCCCGCTGCTGTCGGGCGTGTTGATGTGCTCTGCTGCACCGAGGTAGTAGAAGCGTTGGATGGTCTCTTTGCGGCCCGTGCGGCTGAGGGGCCATGAGAAATACGCGTCCCACAGCGGCCGCCTGCCGTCACTGTCAGTTGCGTTGACGATGTCGCGCCCGCACATCTCGACAAAGTAGTCGATGAGCTGCTCCTGGCACTTGGGGTCGGGGAGGGTGTGCTTGCAGTAGCAGTGGATGGGCTGCTTGCCGTTGCCGTGCACTTCTGTGAGGACAGAGCGGTCGCGCTTGGCGATCTTCTTGACAATGCGCAGGTGGGCAGCCGGCGACAGGCCCTTCGCTTCGCCCTCTACGGCCATCTCCGACAGCAGCTGCATGCCGTTGACGGCGGCCTTGTACTGCGGCTCGAGCAGGATCTCCAGCAACGCCCACCGCCCCTCTCTGATTGCGACCTCGATGGTCGTGCGGCCCTCGGCATGTGCGCTCGCGTCGATAGGCGCCCCGGCGTCGAGGAGTGCTCGGAGCACCTTGCCAGCGGCTGGGCCATGGTGGTATGCAACCACCAGCCCCACCAGGCTGAGCCTGCGTCCATTCCCGTCTTCGACGCCGTCCTTGATGTTGGCCCCCTGTTCGATGAGGCCGCCCACCGCGACTTCGTTTACGGTGCCGCACGCAACGTTGGTGGCCAGTCGCTTGGTCAGATGGCAGGCACCAGCCTCGAACTGCAGCGTGACGGCCTTGCTCGCGGACGTGTGGATGGTGGCCGTATTGGGGAGCGATGCAGGGAGGGCGTCAGGGTCTGGCAGGAGTGTGAAGGGGGACGGGCGCTGGGTGCTACTGAAGAGGGCTGACGCGGTGAAGGCATGCTCAAACTCCTGCACATCGCACAAGCAGAGGATTTCACGCGACTCCAGCCTTTTTTCGCGTTGTGCACCTGCTCGGAGGGCGTCACGGAGGCCCAGTTGCGCTTGAAGTCTTCAAACGTGTCCATGACGATGAGTAGAATGGCTGAGCGGCGGGTGGGTACACTGCGCTTCATTATCTGGGGCGTGCGGCCAGCGGAGCGTCCGTCCTCGCCCTCCTCCTTCATGTGCTCGTGGCGCTTGAGCACGCTGTTGGTGTCAGTGACGGCGTACTGGTACTGGTGCTCGCCCGGCGGGATGGCCACACACACTCGCCAGGCGTCGCATGCGGGTGAAGGAGGGGCCATGCGATGAGTTTTGCCACCGATGAGCAACGAAACTGATAGATCACAAGCCGCACCCATTGCTCTGCATAGATCTGACTCCATTCGTTATCCTGCCCGCCTCTGTACCTGATTCGTCATGCTTGACGTCCTCAGATGCCGTCAGTTTGAAGACTACCGGGATAGTGTGCTTCTGGGTACCAGATGTCCGGCCCTCGTAGATGTCAGGCGGCGCCGATCTGCCACTGCCACGATGCTGCGCACTTGGCTGCACACGAGTGAGATTTGCACACAGCAAGCATAGGTGACATCATTGTTGCTTTTGTTGGTGCATCACCTTTCGAAAAGTCTGTTTCGTGCGGGCCATTCTAGTCGCCCTTCTAGCTATAGCTCGCAGCCGGTGCCGCTCCGTGTTCCCTCTTCTTCCTAGCGCAGCAGGAGCCCCGTGCTGTCCCCCAGAAGGCTCTTTATCAATTGCAGCAGGGGGGAGCGGGGCTGCTTGAAATCGAAGCTGACGCTCTCTCTCATCAACGTAATCTGCAGGAAGCAATGAACTCGACGACGGCGGCGGGCCATGCTTTCAGTCGTTTGCCAATGTGTCCACTATCGTCGTCTTCGTCTTCCCATTCCGCTTTTCTGCCCCTCGCCGACGCCGCCACTTGCACTGCGGATGGTGGTGGGCCCATGGACGCCATTGGAGGCTGGGCCGTCGTTTATCGCCTCCTCTCGGAGGTGTTCATCTTTGTACTGATACTGCAGCTATTCGGACTCGCGGTATCCACACACACACACACACAGGGTGAGACATGCTCTGACTTTCCCCCTAAGGCTTCCCATTTTTGCAGCTTGTCCTTTATCGCAATGCTCGCCATTTCTGTGACAAGGGGCGGAAGACATCGCAACAACAGCAGCAGACGCAAGAGGAGGAGCAGACTGTGCCGCCGCCTGCCCAACCCCAGCGACAACAGCAACAGCAACAGCAAGACCAGACCCCCGCTGCCAACGCCACCCCAGCTGCCCACCATTCTTGCCCTGCCGCACCAGCCAAACCAGTGTCGTCCCACCCCGCCCCTCCTTCGCCGTGCCCGAGGGTGCCCGACCCCCAGACACGATCCACCACGGTCACTTCAGAGGGCAAGCAAGACGGCGACGCCTCTCCCAAGTCAGCCGGTGGGTCACCGCTGCTGAGGAGCCCACAGGGCAGTAGTGAGTGCCTACACGCCGCACCTCAGCCTCAGGTGATTCGGCCGGCATTCCCCGTCAAAGCGCCTGTCCCTGTGGCTTCGGCTATGGTTGCACCGAGCCAACCGCAGCCACCACAGCCGATGAGAGGGCGAGATGGTGGAGAGGATTTGTTTCTGAAGGCGGCCAGGAGATTGGCCGATGAGGAGAGATATCATGAACTCTGGGAGCTGTGGAAGGGCCTCCCGACGCTCAGCCAGATCCCCAGCAAGAAGAACGCTCTCGATTGGTTCGTGCTGCTGGCCGAGGCGACTTGTGCTGGTGGTGGGGTCACCCCTGATGGCCGCATGAGCGGCCGCATGACGCCGTCGCGCCCACCGGAGGCCATCGACATGGGCGAGCTGGAGACAGCTTTTGTGCCTGCGGATCGTCCGAGGGCTGACCTGATTCGGCTGCTCAAGGCAGCTGAGACGCTGCTGGCCCATGAGAACAACGTGGACGCGCGTCAGCAACTCTTCGCCTCCATGGTGGCGAGCCTCGCGCGGCTGGGCCAGCACAGCCGTGTGGCCGACCTGTTGCTGATGGCCACCCACCAGTCGATCCTCATCCCCTCATCCCTCAGCCCCCGCACCCTCCTGGCCCTCATGACCGCCCTCGGCGAGACAACCCGCATCGACGCGGCCGGGACGGTGTTTGCCATCGCCAGCAGGAGGCCGGACAACACCCTCACAGAGGCCTTCGTGCTGTCGTATGTCAAGTGCTGCCTTGCCAGTGGGGCGGCTCAGCGTGCTGAGGAGGCGGTGAGGGTGGCGGGTCAGCGGGGGTGCGCCACCAGCCGGGTGTTCCAGACCTTGCTGCGGCACTATGGCAAGAAGGAGAACTGGGGTACTGTGCTGAAGCTAATACGGCAGACGCCACCGTCTGCTTGTTTTGGTGTGGGCGTCAAGAGAAATTTGCTGCTCAAGATCGCAAGCGAGAGGGGCGACGTGGAAGAGGCGGAAAAGGTTCTCAGGGACACGGAGAGCCGAAGTGAGTCACTGGGAGTGACACCACAGAGATAGAGACACGATGGCGTTTGATGTGCCTGTATGTATTTGTTGCACACAGAGGCCGAGTACGATGAGTACACGTACTTCCATCTGCTGAAGCTCTATGCATCGACGCACCACCATGCCAGGATGGAGGCGCTGCAGCGAGAGATGGCCGCCAAACACATCCGGCCATCCACTGCCTGCTTTGTGGTCCTAATCGACTATTACTTCCGGTGGGGCGACGTCGCGTCGGTCTTGCGGATATTTCGGGAGGCCAAGTCGGCGGGCCGCACCAATCTGACCCTGTACGCGCAGATGGTTCGTCACTTCACGTATCTGGGTCAGCTGGACCAGGCCATGAGCCTGTTCTCCGAGATGAACAGCCACGGATACGCCGACCTGGGGGTCTACACGCTTCTCGTCTGCAAGCTGCACGAGGCCAACCGACGACAGGACGCCCTCAGGGTGGGTGAGACCACTGACACAAACACACACACACACACCACACACACACACACCTCTGACAAATACGGCAGTGGATGTCTCCTTTCGCTCCTTTCGTCTTGTGTGTGCGTGTGTGCGTGTGTGTGTGTAGGTGCTGAAAGACCAGCGGCCTCGCGTGACGGGGCCCCGTGGCCCTCTGAACAGAGATAGCGGTCAGCAGCAGCAGGGGATAGGGGGTGGAGGGGGGGCATCCTCATCGTCGTCGGAGGGAGGGTGGATATCGAGCTACATGGCGTTGATGCGGTGTGCCGGGCAGCTTGGGGCGCTGGATGTGGCCTTCGATCTGTTCGACAGCTACTGCAGGAGTGGGGAGAGCCCCGACTCGCTCATGTACAATTGTCTCTTGGACGCCTGCGTGACGTGCAAGGCCCCCCAGAGGGCCATCGACTTCTTCAACAAGATGAAAACCTCACAGGTTCGTCCACTCCACACACGCCTCGTGGTTAGTCGCTGTGCTTTTGGTTTCATCTGTGTCTACGACGCTCAGGTGCGTCCCGACTGTGTGACGTACAACACGATGATCCGGGCCTACAATGTTGCAAAGGTATAGGACGTCCGACCGCATCGGTCTGTAATGTCAGCTGGGCCACTTGAACCGACCTTCTTGTAGCACCTGGATGGTGCCTTTGGCCTGTTGGAGGAGATGATGGCCAAGGGGACGCATCCCAACGTCGTCACCTTCAACTCACTCATTCACGCGTGTGTCATGAACAGAAACAACGACAGTAGGCACATCCACACACACACCACCGACAGTCAAACCTCCATATCTGTATGTGTCTGCCTGTGCAGAGGCGTGGCGTGTGTTGCCTTTGATGAAGACCTCTGGCGTCGAGCCCGACAGCGTGACCTACTCGACCCTCATCATCGGCATCAAAAACGACCGCACGGGCGCCACACTCGCAAGGGGCTTCTCATGCCTCGACCAGCTGCTCAGCACAGACATGCAGCCTGACGAGGCAAGGCACACACACAACATAGAGAGACACACACAAAAGGATGCCCAGATGTCCCTCCGTCTGTGTGCTTTGTGTGTACAGGTGTTGTTCAATTCGTTGATGGATGCGTGTGTGCATTTCGGCGAAATCCGCAAGGCCGAGACGGTCTTTCAGCGCATGATGGCCAGCGGCATCTCGCCATCCACAGTCGCATATGGCATACTGATGAAGGTGACCTGACCCTCCCAACCGCAAGAAAAATTGCGACAATGCATTGTCTCTCTCTCTCTCTCTCTGTGTGTGTGTGTGTGTGTGTGTATGTTTGTGTATGTGTGTGTGTGTGTGTTTGATAGGGTTATGGTGTGGTTCGTGATTTGCCCCGTGCGCTTCAGTGCAAGGGCGACATGGAGGAGGCCGGCCTGCAGTCTAACGCCGTTGTTTACGGATGCCTCATCGACGTCGCACTCAAAGGCAAGCAGTCACATGACAAGCCAATGTGTTCTCTTCATATGGGTGTGGTTGATTCACTGGCTCAGTGGGTGAGGACGCTGTGGCCGAGGGGCTGTTCGACGAGATGCGCTCCCGGGGCATCCAAGGGACGGTGGTCACCTACTCGCTCCTCATCAAACTCTTCGGCAGACAGAGGAACATCGACAAGGCCTTCGCGGTCCGTTCATGACACACAGACACACACACAGACACACATAGACAGGGAGAGATTGCATGTGTGTGTCGTGTGCAGGTGATAGAGGAGATGAAATCTCAGGGTCTGTCGCCCTCGTCGGTGACCTACAACTCACTCATGGACACACTCGCAAGATGCAGAGACATGAGGGTATGTCAGTCACAACTGCCAACCAAGACGCACACACGCAGGCCTTCACCAAGTGCCCTTCTGCTTTGCTCTCTGTTCTCAGAGCGCCCCTCGTCTGCTGGCTCTGATGCGGCAGGACAAGGTCTCGCCGGACCTCATCACATACAGCACCATATGCAAGGCAAGTCACACACAGATGCGCACATGCACCACCGGGGAATCGTGTGTGCATTCCTTGCTTCGATCAGGGTTACTGCCACAACGGTGAACTGGAGCGTGCGCTGGACGCCTTCGCCGCCATGAAGCACGAGGGCTTCAAGGCAGACGAGATCATCTACAACTCACTCATCGACGGATGTGCCAGAAGGGGAGACCTCAACACAGCCAAGAAGGTACGGTCTCTCCCCGGCCGCCCGTCCGTCAGTCAGCCCTGCCTGCTATCTTGCCAATGTGTGTGTGTGTAATGCATGTCTCACTCAGTTGGTGCAGGAGATGCGTGGGGGCGGCATCCAGCCCTCCAACGTGACCTACTCCATCCTCATCAAGACTTGCGGCGTGGCAAAGGAAATCGACCACGCATTCGACGTACCGATGGATGGATGGATGGATGTGTGCATGGTCATTCAGGCAATGGTCGGGTGTGTGTGTGGTGGTCAGGTGTTGGAGATGATGGAGGAGGACTGCGTGAGGCCTGGCAAAGTCGTGTATACGTGCCTCATACAGGTGACAGGGAGGGGGAGAGGGAGAGTAAGCGACACACATGCACACACGAATGGCTCGTGTCGGGTGTGTGTAGGCGTGTGTGTGCAACGGTCGTCTGGATCGCGCGGTGTCGGTGTTCCACGACATGCACGCCCGCCAGATATTCCCCGACGGCGTCACATACGGCGCACTCATCGCCGGCTGCATTCAGGGAAACGACCTCCGACAAGGCAAACAACCCATCTCATCACACACAGGACGACGGCTGCTGACATGGTTCCTTTCCCCTTGTTCTTCGTCGTGTGTTTCAGCTGTGGCTCTTACCGAGCACGCCTCCGCCCAGGGCACTCAGCTGACGACCCGCACCTACCAGCAGCTCCTCAGATCACTCAAACGGGTGCGCACGTCTCATTCACACACCCCACCCACGTGAATGCAATGCGTGTCTTTGCGTGTCTTTCCATCGATCAACCAGGCCAACATGCTGCCCGAGTACCAGCGTGTTGACGAGCAGATGGCCCGGGAGGGTGTGGACAACCGGCGGCTGCCGGACAGACCCACACAGCGCTTCGGCGACAAGAGCAGACACCATAATCATGGGTTTGACAATGACTGTGAGGAGGATGCCGATGAGTCATACCAACAGCCATACCCGTCTCAACCAGCACCGAACCAGGAGCCCCACCAGCAGTATCAACAGCACCATCAGCATCCATCGAGTGCTGCTGCTGGAGGTGGTGGTGGTGGTGGCGGGCCACACGTGCGGCGAAGGGCCGGGGGGCCGTACTGGAGACACAGATAGGACTGATTCATTGCTGCTCCTGCTGCTGCTGCTGTCTTGCCAAAGTGCGGACGGACGGCTGTATGTGCATTTCTCTCTCTCGTCAGTCCGTCAGTGTGGCGTCACAGTCTTAGAGAGTGTCACTAGGGAATATAGGAAGAATAAGTGGCAAGACCTCATTCATGCGCCTGATCAGCATTAAATACGGTCTCCGATCGATCGAATGCACTCACTCCCTGGTCTGTCAGATCGAGGGCTTTATCCAATTCGCATATACAAACATACTTACACACACGTGTGGTGTCAGTCACTGTGTCCATCCATCCACCCACCCTCCCATCCTCCGGCTACGTGTCCAGGTCCCATGCATCTGGTTGCCTGTTGTTTGCCTGGCTGTTCCCCTGGCAGCTGCCTCCGTTCATCTCCACCCCGCCCTCTATCCTGTCGCCCAGAATGTCCACACCCTCGTCGGGCGTGAAGTCGTGCGGGGGAGATGTCGGCAGACGCGCCGTCAGAATCTGTACCCCTGCACACAGACACGGATGTCCATCCACAATTGACAAGAGGAGATAGATGCAATCCAATCGATGCGTTGGTGATCCGATCCTATGTCGTACCGGTTTCCGTGATGAGCAGTGTGTGTTCGAACTGTGCTGAGCGTTTGCCGTCGACTGTCACGGCTGTCCAGTCGTCGGGCCACGTCCGGTCCTTCCATGTACCTGGACACACACACACCAAACCAACGACACACACAGATCAAGGCAGGGAGGGACCTTTCTGCGTGCGTAAGGTAATCTTAGCTCCTCCCCCCTCCCCTCCCCCATCCCATCCTCCCACTGCACTGACCCATGTTGATCATGGGCTCGATCGTGAAAGTGTGGCCGGGCTTCATCAGGCCTACCTGAATCGAATGAGCAACAAGGTGAGTGCAGTGTAGTGCACATCCCATCCTTATCAGGACAGGCCGGTGTCCGTCTGTGTGCCCACCGCTTTGTTCTTAGCGTAGTGCGGCACGTTGGGTGCGGTATGGAAGAGGTTGCCGATGCCGTGGCCGCAGTAGGACCGGACCACCTGCAGCCCGTACCTCGCGGCCGTCCTCTGGATCACGTTGCCAACCTCACGGTACATCATGCCCGGCTTGCACTGCACGAACGAGGACAGACAAACAGACAGACAGTACACACACGGAGAGAGGGGGATGTGTGTGATGATGGCTTGGCTGCACGTGTGTGTGCGTGTGGCTGCTCCGCTCACCAGCCTGATTGCGTCCATTAGGCAAGCGTAGGCGCCCCTGACCTGCACAGACAGACAGACAGACAGACAGAGAGGCGCATGGGCGTGGCGTTTGTCCGTGTGTGTATTGTATGTGTTGGCCGCCCGGCTGCCGACTGACTGACTGACCAGTTTGTGCGAGTCTTTGTCGACCTTGCCGACGAAATACGTCTCGTTGAGGTCACCTACACGACACGCCCGCACCCACTCTCTCGTTGCTGAATGGCTGCCTACCCCACACCCATGGCCTGCCTGCCTGGGATGTCTGGGATGTCTACCTACCTACCGTGCATTCCTTTGTAGAAGACGGTGATGTCCACATTGACTATATCACCCTCCTCTAATGGCCTGAATGACGAAGGGGGAGAGATGTTTGTTTGTGTGTGTACGAGCTGAGCTGCCTCAGGCCGGCCACCTGGTGTCTGGGACGCCGTGGCAGATGACCTCGTTCACAGAGCTGCGTACATTACATTCACACACACACAGGCAACAGGCAGGCCACCAGATGGATGGGGCGCCCGTCGTCTCCCTCCATCTTTGCCATTCGTCGCGTGCTCACTCACGTGCAGCAAGACTTCTTGAAGTGCATGTAATTGAGTGGAGAGGGGTAGCCATCCCGCGACACAATGAACCAGTGCACCTGCAATGCGACACACACTATTCCAGCACTAGTGTAGGCTGGCTGAGCCTAGCGGGCTAAGTACGTGTCGGTGGTCAGTCAGCAGATTGGTTACCTTTTCGTCGATTTCGTCACAGGTGACGCCGGGCCTGATGAGGCTGTGGGCGTAGTCGAGCGCCTCACGCCCTAGGCGGCACGACTCACGCAACCTCTGACGGACGGAGGATCCGATCCACATGCACCACACGACACAGATGCAATCCAGTAGGTAGGTAGGCAGGCCCTCACCCCACGGCCCGCCGCACCTGGATCTGCTCTTCTGTCTTAATCTCTATGCCAGGCTTCTGACGAGCCATCTCCTCACTCAGAGGTATGCCTGACACACACACACACACACACACACACACACGTGGCAACGAGTTGAACGGAATGAGTGCACCAGACACCCGGACAGAGACTGACCTTTCTCGGCATAGTCTGGCCGCTCGATGTGTGTGGGCACTTGTCTCCTCGGCGAGATGGGCCATGGCCTCAACGGCCCAGAGAAAATATAACCACAGAACACACTGCCACGCATCCACCCCATCCCACCCCACAGTCAGTTCTAAAAGGAGGTGTGCCTTGCTTCGACTCCTCTCCCTCCCTCACCGACCGCATGTGCTCATCGGTCCTCCATGGGACACCTCCCGTGACCTCATCGTCCTTGATGGCACTGACAGCATGATCCGCCGCAGCTGACACAGCCAATGCCCTCTCCGCTGCCTTGTGCACCTTCTTGTGCTTGGCCCAGCTCTCACGGAAACACTCCTGACCTGACACACACGCGCACACACACACATTCAGACACGAAAGAGGAGGTGTCATGACTGTCTGTCTGCTTGTGTTGTGCACCTAACCTACCGCAGAAGATGGCCTGTGGGAGGTCCAGTTTGATGCAGGTGGGGCATGACATTGTCGACTCTGTCATTTTGCCGCATCCCGCGCAGGCCTTGCCCTCTGCTGCTGCTGGACCATCTGCCGCACCTCCATTCATCGCAGCAGCGGCAGCTGGAGATGATCTCTCCACGTCAGCCATTTGAATCAACAACCTGGTGATGGCCGCATGAGGAGATCTCTCAACAGATTATGGCAAAACGTTGCTCCGGTGGTTGAACACAAGCAAGAACGTCGGAAAAAAGAGCCGATCCGCGTGCGAGCTTGGCTTGCAGACCCCCTTCTCTCCTTCTTTCTCCTTCGGTGCGCCAAAGAGGCTCTGGATGTCGCATTCCTGCAGTTCTGCATCTCAGCAAAGCAGCGCGGGCTCTCAACGAACGATCTTCCATACATCTCTACTTCTCATCCTTTTGGCGACAATGAGGCTGCTGCAGTCAGCTCAGGCATTCCAAAGGCACCTGCCATCGCACCCGCTGCTGCGCAAACCGTCCAACCGCTCACCACTTTCTGTCCGTCGCGCAATGGAGATGTCGTTGAGTGACCAGCGGAGATCTGCCTCCGCCTGGCTGGCGGACGGAACCGCGCCGCGCATTCGTGTGCTGGACAGCTTCACAACAGGTGAAGAGCCTCACTCAGACATTCATCGGTAGATCCGTGAATGTGTGTATTTGTGTGTGCAGATGCGGGCACTCTGTCGTGGGGTCCTGTGGAGGCGTTGGGTGATGTGAAGATATGGCCGCGGACGGCGCCCGAGGAGGTGGAGGAGAGGATACGCGACGCACACGTCATCCTCACCAACAAGGTGCCCATGGACGAGGCTACTATGAACCTGGCGCCCTCTCTCTCATACGTCGGCAAACTCGCCACAGGTATTCAGCACACCACCACAGGCACTACAGACAGCAGACAGATAGCCACATACACACACCGCTCTGCCGCATCTCTCTGTTGTCTGTCCTACCTTCTGCCATCGTCCACCAGGTTACAACGATGTCGACCTGAACGCAGCCAAAGACCGGGGCATTGCAGTGAGCCATCCACTCCATCCATCCATCCATCCATCCATCCATCGGCCAAAGGTGCGCTTCTCATCTCATTGGTTGCTCGGCTGGTTGTGTGTCAGGTGACGAACGTGCCAGCGTATTCGACCATGTCAGTGGTGCAGCTGGTGTTCGCCTTCATGCTGCAGCACTGCGTCGATGTGACCTCCCACGCAGAGTCGGTCAGGCGGGGCGAGTGGGCCTCGAGCGCCGACTTCTGCTACACACTGCGGCCCGTCCCAGAGATCAACAAGAAGACCCTCGTGATCGTCGGCACTGGCTCCATCGGCTCCGCTGTCAAGACCGTCGCTGAGGCCTTCAACATGCGGGTCGTTTCAGCACAGGTACGTTCACATCCACAGACACACACACATACACACACACAGGGTTGATGGATGCCGGCCATGTCCTGTAGGTGCCCGGCCGGCCGGCGTCTGCTGACCGAGTGAGTCTGGACGAGGCGTTGCCGCAGGCCGACTTCATCACGCTGCACTGCCCCCTGACGGCCGCCACCAACATGCTCGTCAGCGATGACTTCCTCAGCAGATGCAAACAGGGCGCCGTGCTCATCAACACGGGACGCGGCGCACTCCTTGACGAAGCCGCAGCTGTGAAAGCGCTCGACTCGGGTGCGTGCCTTCATTCATCAACACACACAATCACACACAGGCCAAGAGCGCGCGTGTTGATGTCAGGTCGGTTGGGCGGTGTGTATGTGGATGTGCTGGCCAAGGAGCCGCCGAGAGATGGCGCGTCGGCCGAGCTCATCAAGCACCCCAAGGCCACGGTGACACCCCACATAGGGTGGATGTCTGTCGAGGCGCGCACACAGCTGATCACCGAGGTGGCGCAGAACGTCCAGGCCTTCATCAAGGGCGACAAGAGGAATCGCATTGTATAGGCTGACTGAGTGGCTTGTTTGCTTGTTTCTGCTGAATCGTGCGTCTGTCGATCGCTTCGACGAGCGCTTGTTTGTGGACGTAGTGTGGTTGAAACCAAGGACGGCCTTTGGAGTAGGCGGCTCCATCGGGTTCGACTGCGTAAGCCATCACCGACGAGTGTGATGGTTTTCGCTATCAAACTCGCGTGTGTCGGTTACTCTAAGGCCGTCTGGTGTTGGTGAAACGGCATGTGAGAGATTTTTTGGTGAAATGGCGATTGTGACTTCTTTTGATCTATAGAATGGCCATTCACGGATGCGACAGAGTCATGCATGAACACTCTGTGCCGCACGCAGCCGTGAAAGCAACCCCCTTCTCCACCCCACCCCACCCCACAAAGAGAATGCGATACACACATACACACACACATGCACACACACAGACACACAGACACAGAGAGATGTAGGAGCTAAAGAAAGAGCTGCCTGCCATAGAGAGAGACGTGTGCAAAGCTGCGAGGATGCGAAGTCCCTCCCTTGTTTTTCGATATGAGTGAGGCAGGTCTGTCTATTGTACACACACGTACACATGTACATGGAGGCATTCACGGACAAACGACGGCGGAAGGAAGGGGCCGGGGGGGCGGTGGGGGAGAGGTGTTGACATCGTAGGATGGATCACATGCTGCACCCATCAGAGACACATCCCGGCATCCATCCATCCATCCATCCATTGGGCAGCGAGACCCGACTGCGTGTGCATGTGTCTCCTTCTATGTATCTTTGTTTGTCCACTCACTCTCTGTCGGACATGAGCTCCTTGTTCCGCGTGATTCCATGGCCGTGGTTCACACCAAACCTCTCCAAGGACCTCCTGCACACACACACACAAACACGTCTCCCCGTTTCCCTTATGGTAGGCACCCCTGCACCCACCTCCAGCCGAGCTGATTGACCGCAGGTTGAGGTAAAGTCGGCGTATCAGGCAGAAGTAGCATGGTGACAGAGTAGCAGGTGAGTGACCAGTAGATACACACACACACACAACGGAGACACGTGTGTGTATGCGTACTTGCAGTGAATTGATGATCGATCCATGGTGATATGCTTGCATTGCCTCACACGCCGATTACCTTTACCTCTTGGCTAGTGGTCATTGGCCGCCTGAGTTTCTCCTTTGGCGTCTTGGATGCTATCATCTGGTACCTGAACCGACCGTGGTGCATCAGCTTCGCCAACTCATCCTCGGGGATGCTCGTCGATTCCACACGCAACTACACACACACACACACACACACATCCACGCAGTGTACGGTGTCTCTGCTGGCATACAACGTACGTACGTCTGCTCTGTTGTAGGTGGAGCCCAGGGTGAGTGTGGCTCCCTCGCCGGTGAGCTGTCTCGCTGCCCCCACGAGTGAGGGGCGCGACTGTAGGTACGCCGGCCGAGATCTGGGCGGTGGGTGGGGCCTGGCACACACAGTACAAACACACATGGAAGGTAGCGCTGCTTTCTCCTTCTTGTCATCTCTCAAGTGCCGATATGAGGATCCAGCGGACCTTGGCAGTGCCTGCAGGACATTGCCGCGTTTGGTTTGTACTGCTGTCATTGCAGATGGTGGTGGTCGGGTATGTAAGTATGTTACCAACCTACCAGTAGGAATCCCCAGCTGTCGTGCCACTCTTTCTGCAGTTTCAGCTCCTTGCCCACACGCTGCGCCCAGATCTGCACACATAGTAAAGCAGAATCGCCACCGGAGGAGAGAGGCATGGCTCCCACACCTGTCGACTTACCGCCTGTTCATGGACGATATTCTTCAAGCGAGGGTCGCCGCCCTTGACTTCAGCGCTCATCTCTGCCCAAATTGCCTCTGCGTTCTGTGCTCTTTTGCAGTGCAAGCTCGGCGTCTGAGCGTGGGGGCCACGACAGCGCCCCCAGTCCCAAGTCGGGTGTAGATGGAGATCTGTGCCCTGGAACAACAGTATCTGAGCTTTTGGAGCTGAACGTTCTCTGGTCCTCGCCGTTCTCTTCATCGAGCAGCAATTATGGTATTGCTCCGTCTGAGCGTCAAAGGCAACGGTCTCCGACCAAGGCATCTCGAGAACCTCCTCGCCATCACCGCACTGCACGACGGACTCGTCAGCCGTAAGGGAAGAGATAACTTGCAAAGGACCTCTTTCTTCTTTCATTCATTCCTTTCCTTGCATCTCTCAGTGAGCCTGAGCACCAACCTGCTGTCGACGTATCCACGGGGCGTCGGGGGCGTGGTGCGCGAGGCCGCTCATACGGCTGCTGATGGCGGCCCGGGCGGCACCTCAGCTCCCGACGCATCGGGGCACATAGCGGTGCTGGCGGATGTGATAGGGAGGCTGCGGGCGCTCGACCTGTCGGGCAACTACCTCACGGAAAAGGGCGTCAGGGTGAGGAAGCCACCCGACCAGACACACAAACAGCTTTTGCTTTGTTGTGTCATGTGGGTGCGTGTGTATGTGTGTGATGGCAGGATTTGTTTGAGCTGCTGCTGAGCAGGGACAGCCAGCTGTGGGACCTCAATCTCGCCAGCACACAAGTATGAACAAATGGGATGCCATTCATTTGCAATGGACACAGGTTCATCGGTGCGTTTGTGTGTGATCGGTCAGCTATTTGATGGGATGTCGGCCCTGGGTCAATACTTGGCCACGCCGCAGTGCCCGCTCTTCAAACTGGTTGGCATGGCACACGTGGGTGCCTTCACTCATCCCCCTCTCTCATTTGTATGTGCTGCATGCCTTTTCTTGCCGGCAGGACCTCAGCTACAATTTCCTAGCCACCGAGACCTTCAGGTGCGGCGCCCTGCTGCTGACGGACGGCCAAAGAGTGTTAGCTATACCGTCCCGTTAATTTTCCTATGGCAGGACTCTGGTGGCTGCACTGCGCCAGAACCGGCAGCTCCGGATACTAAAGCTCGGTCAGAAGATTGTTTCTGACAATAATGGCTGTTACCGTGTCTCCCCCTTTTGGTGTGCAGTGCATTGCGGCCTGAAGGAGGACAGCATCAGGATTCTTGCTAACGCAGGTGGGCAAGAAAGACCCACCGGGGAATCTTGATGAAGACTGCCTGGCCGCTTATCATTTCCGCCATGGATCAGATCTGACCCACTGCGGGCTTCAGTCCCTCAACCTGGAGCGCAACCGGCTGGGCCCCTCCGCCATGCTGCCTCTCGCAAAGTGACTGACTGAGTCATCAAGAAATAAGACAGAGACAGCCAAGCCATATACACCTGCGCTTCTTTCTCATCCTCAGGGCCTTGACGAGCCCGTGGGGCCAGCAGACGCTGGCGCACATCAACCTGTCGCACAACGACCTGTCTGACCCCGACCGGCACCTCGCTGAGGCGTTCGAGAGATACCCTCCAGAGGGCTCTGTCAGACGACTTGAACTGCGGAACACACGGCTGGCATTCGACGCTGATGTGCGTGAGTACTCATTCACTCATTCACACACACACATGGACGAGTGTGTGGCCGGCCAGAGGACTTACTGTTTGCTCGGCTGTGTGTGTGTGCAGCTGGTGGGTGTGCAGCCGAGCATTGTGCGGGCGCTGAGGACGGGCACGTCGTAAGTGACGCTAGCTAGAGGGGCGCCTGTCCGTGAGTGCGTATTTGCTCACTCACTCTGACTGGCAGGGTCTCGTCCCTCGACGTCTCGGAGAACGACTTCTCTCCCGCCATCGTACAAGCGGTAAGAAGGCAGGAAGAGTGGCAAGAGCACACCATAAGGGTCTTTGCCTGCCTTCATTGCCTCAGCTTGCCAAGGGTGCCACCCACTTGACCGAGCTGACGTTCAATAAGACGTCCAGAGGTGAGTGGGAAACGGGAGACGGGACTCGCCCACAGCCTCCTTGTCTGTCTGCCTGTCTGCCTGCCTGGTTGTCTCAGCGATCTTGTTCATTGACGGGCTGAAGAAGGAGCTCTTCACCTTCCCCACAAAGGCATACCAGCTCAACAAACTGTCCCTCGTGAGTCGCACCCAGTCGACAACAATTAGACCAGCGACTGTGTTGTGCTGTTTGTGTCTGGCCATGTAGAGTGGGTGCGAGTTGCGAGACGAGGGCGCCTCGCTGTTGTCGGATGTGCTGCTGGCCAACCAGAAGAGGCTCAAGAGCCTCTCATTCGACCCGCAGGCCCCACCCAGATCTGACGCGCCTCCAGCTGCCAAGGGTGCTCCTGTCAGTTCACCGCCTTCAGCTCGGACGACAGCGTAAGAAGAAGCACACAGACCACGAACAAAGCGCCGCTTGAGTGACCTTGCTCTATATGTGTCCTTTCAGGGAGCAGCAGACGAGCCAGCCGAGTGACGCTGATGCGCGAGCCACGATTGGGGAGGCGGGCGGCCCTGAGGCCACCACTGACGATGGCGCTGCTGCTGCTGCTGCTGCTGCTGCTCCTGGTCCGGCATCTTCATGGTCAGCCCTCGAGTGGTTCTCTAACGCGCTATCGCAAGGCGCCCGAGTGGCCTCCCACTCCATTCAGGTGCTCAGCCTCTCACACAACGGCATCACGGCCAGGGGTCTGCTGCGGCTGCTGAGATGGGTCAAGGACAACAGGCACCTCAAGGTGCTGCAGCTATCGCACAACAAGCTCAAGACCGAGGGAGCCAAGTACCTCGCCGCCATGCTCAAGGACATGACCGAGAACGGCATGACCTACCGCCTTAGCTACCTGGGCGTCGGGAGCTGCGCCCTCGGGTCACAGGGAGCGTTGTCCCTCGTCCAATCGGCCGCCCCGAGCCCGGTGCAAAAGCTCGACATCAGCGGCAACTTCATCGATGACTCCGTCGTTCCCGCCATGTGTGCGGCTCTCGCCCCGCCAGCCGAGCCATCGCCGCCCACAAGTCCCGGCAGGAGCAAACCCTTTGCACCCCTGCTCGCACTGGACGTGTCGGGCAATCCGGGCATCTCACCGACCGGTGTGGAGGCCATTGCGGCGATCGCCTTGGCGGCGGCGAGCCCACAGCCCTGGAGGTATCTCGGCATGAGGGACCTGCGTCTGGACGCCAAGAGTGCTGCACAGATCCTGTCAACCATCAGCTCGCTGTGGGTGGGCGCCCCCGACGCACCCCTCGTCGTCACCCCCAAACCAGTCACGAGCAACGTCGACCAAGACGACCATCGGGAGACAGGAGACGACGTGACGGGTGAATTGGGGAGAGAGCTGGAAGGGCTGATGAAGAGGGATCTGTGGGGCGAGAGCTGGGGCGAGGGGGAGCTGGAGGCGCTGCTCAGCGATGAGGAGGTCGGCCGCGGAATGGCTGGGGGCGGCGATGTGGACGGCGAGAGAGTGCATCAGCCGCTGCAGATGACGCTTGACCTTTCCGGCAACGAGCTGCACAGGATGGGACCTGTTGCTGACCTGCAGCACCTGCTCGGGTGACTGACTACACATCAAGATGACACTAAGTAACGAAGCTCCGTCTTTGCCCCCTTGCTTGTTCTGTCAGGACGCTTCACAGCTTCCCCCAGGAGATGATCTGCCACCTCTCCCTCGACTCCTGCCGCCTGGCGCCCCTCCTGGCCGACTCCTCTCTGGCCCACCCCTCTTTCATCAACCAGCAGCCCTCCGGCATTCTGTACCGTGCTCCCCCTCCCCCCTCCCTCCTCCGCAGCATCGCAAGCAGCACCATAGCCCCCCCTGCAGACAGAGACGGGGACCGGCCGCCCTCGCCTCTCATCCCGCCCACTTCACACACGTCGCGGCAAGACACACTTCCCAAGATCCGGGCCCACCTGAAGGAGGCGGTGCACGTGGCCTCGATGACATCGCAGAAGCCCTACCACTGGATCGATCGCAATGGCCGGGTGTCCACCATGCCTGTCCCCGCCACGCCTCATCGGGTGCTCATCGACCTCGGCCACGTGCCGCCGAGGAGGCGGGTGCAAGTGCTGCCGGACAACAGCGCCGACACAGCTGCTGTAAGTGACGTCAAGGACAAGACCTCGGCGCGTCAGAGCCCGTTTCGGCGGACGAGCAGAGTGACCACAGCCACCACAGCCGGAACGACGCCACTCAGCCGTCCGTCGCCCGGAAGGTCGTCGGCTGCGCCACCCGCCCCTGCCCCTCCGTATGCAGCCCTCAGGTCGCCCCTCGCCAGGACCGTCCCCGCCCCAACACAGGACAAGAGGCAGTCGCCACCCCTTTTCGTGCCCATCTTCTCTCGGATCAGCCTGCCGGCGACCGACCGCCCCAAGACGCCCACACGCGTCATCACGCTGATCCCCCCCAGCCCCACACCGAAGAGCAGGCCGACGTCTCGAGCACGGCTGGTCGGCTCATCTGTCCGGCTGTCTGGCGCACACACGCCGGTCAGCGATTCCCCTGCGTCAGCGAGAAGGCGCAGAGGTGCGCCGATCGAGCCATGGGACAACAGCACCAAGAGCAGATCGCCATCCCGAAAGAGAGGCCCTCACGAGGGCGAGCAGCCCACATGGAGGTCTCCCTTGTCCGCGGCAGATGGGTCGCTGGATCTCAAGTGCGAGGGCGTAGTGATGGACGCCATCAAGCTGAGAGACAGCCTTATTCCTCTGGTGGATGACACCAAGGGCGGGCCGCCGGGGGGCTATGCAGGGCTGCTGGGGGGAGTGGTCGGGGGGATGGGGGCGTCTCTTGCTGGGCCTGTTGCTGGCTCGCTGCGGTCGATGGTGCTGAGGAGGTGTGAACTGGACGATCGTGCCGTCAAGGTAGGCATCTGCCTGGCCGCTCTTCGCAGAGAAGGCACATTCGTTGCTCTCTTGCTTTTTTCCCAGATGCTTTGTGACTGCCTACGAGAGTTCCCCTCCCTCACAGCTCTCGACATCTCTCAGAACAAGGTAGGTATCGACATCCCCTCTCACACACGATAACGATCACATCGCTCCCTGTCTGTTTCCTCTAATTGACCAGATCGGCCATCTCGGCTGCCGGTCTCTTCGCGCCGTCCTCAGCGAGGGCACGAGGGACCTCCGGGCCAGCCAGACCTGCCTCAGCAATGAAGAGCGGCGCGACCGCCTCAGCGAGACCCTTACCACGTCTTTGCTGGAGAGCGCCATCGACGAGCCGCCGCCTGAGTCGAGGATGGGTGAGGTGCGGGCCAGGACGCGGCCCTCGACGGCGAGGTCGACAGAGGGGAGACGGGTGGGGAGGTACGTCCACGAAGACACGGGGTACCCGAGGCTGAGAGAGCTGAGACTCGACGGCAACTCCATCCGCGCCAATGGGCTGCAGAGCCTCTTTGATGTGAGCTGACCTGACCTGACCACAAAGGGAATGGGCCTCCCTCCATGTGTGCTGTGCTGTCTTGTCTGTGTGTGTCCTGACTGACAGGGAATCTTGCTGGCGATGCATGGCCCGAGGGGGCCGAGCCTTCGGTTCCTGAGCGTGTGTGACAACCAGATCACCTATCCCGGCGGCTTCCTCGCCGCCAAGTTCCTGTCCTTCCCGTGCTGCCCACTCCTCTCATTCGAGATGGCATCAAACCCCATCGGCGCCACCGGCATCGTCGCCATCCTCCAGGTGGTGGTGGGGTGTGGGATGGGGTGGCCTCACACGCCGAACATCACACACGTGCAGTGCATGCCTCTGTGTCTACCTCTCTGTGTGTGTGTGATGCAGACGGTTGCATCGAACCCCCGCCTGCAGGAGGTCGATCTGTCCTTCTGCGGAGGTGCGTGAGTGAGTGAGTGAGGCAGAATGGGATTGACGCGGCGGAGTGCGTGGCTGTGTCTCGTTTCTTCGTTCGTTGATTCATTCAGCTGAGCCGTTTGTGGGCTTGCACATAGCTGACTGTCTCAACGGCCGCTCCAGGTAGTCTGTCTCCCTAATGACATACATGGCTGGGGGCTGTTTGATGGAGAGTGTGCCTGTGTGGCTGCAGCTTGCGACGCTTGCGGATGCTCGACCCCTCCCTCACAGATGTAAGCTACGTTGTAAGCTCTCATGACTTGACTTGCATGCTGCTCTCACTCGTCTCGTGGACGTATGTCTGTCTGTCTGTCTGTCTCTGGCTGGATGTGTGTGTGTGTGTGTGTGTGCAGGATCCGTCTCACCGTGAGCTGTTGCTGCCGTTCATACGGGAGGGGCGCTTCGTGACCACGTCACTGCAGCATGGACATCACACCCTTCTGCATCATCATCGCAGATAGACGTTGAGGGAACGGCAAGTGGTGGTGGTGGGTGTGCTTATTTGTAAGCCAGAGAGTGTCGCCGAGGGGCGACGGACGGACGGGGCCGGTCGATGACCGTCTGTGTCTGTGTGTCTGTTGTATTCTGAGCGGACCGATCACCCTCAACGGCCAATGAGTGTGTTGGGTGATAGCACCCACACCATCACCGTCTGTCCAGATGGTTCAATCCACCCTGCTCCCTCTCCTCTCCTACCACCATGACATGAGTCGTTCACCGGACCAGTGAGTCAGACAGACTCGTTTGCGTGAGAACGCACGACCCCCAGGTCAACCACCGATTTGATCCCACAGACGCTCCACACGCCACGGAATCAACAGAGAACAACCGTCCCGCTGCAGATGGAATGCGCTACCTCGGTGTGGTCATCGGCTGTCGTGTTGCCTCATACCGCAGCGCCTGAGCGAGCTCCAGTCACGTGTTCACAACAGCGACCAAACGAGCAGACTCAAGTGCTTCGGCTTCAGACAACACGACCGCCTCCAACACCACACCCACACCAACACTGACTGACGCAAGACTGACTCGGAAAAGAAAAACCCGGTGAACCAACACAAGACGACACTACTCGACTCAACTGAACAAGGCAGCCGGTGGCTACGCCTCCTCCCTGCCTCTCTTGTGCCCCTTGCCGCCCTCCCCCGCCGCCATGGCCAGCTCCTTGGCCTGCTCCGTCTGCTCCCGCAGCTGCGGCGTGGCGTACTTCTCCAGCAACGCCTGCTTCTTCTTCTCCAAGATCAGCTCCTTGATCTCATCGCTCGTCGGCACCGCCACATAGGCCTTGAAATCGGCGGCCGCTGCAGATGAGGAGGGTGGGGGCTGGGAGAGATCGGGGTCGAGGTCGAGGGATTCGGAGGCCACCTGGGCGAGTGTGTCGTGCAGTGAGGACGGCTGGCTCGACTGGGCCGTCTGGTGCTCGGTGCGCCACTTCTCAACGGCATCAGCCTACACACACACACACAGCAACAGACGGATGACGACATTTGCCCCCCGGGTGTTTGTTTTCGGTTCATTCATTCATTCATTCTCCCTCCCTCACCCTGAGCTCAGCTTCTTTGGCCTGTTCGGCCAGCAGGATGGTGGCGTCCTCCTCGTCCCGCCAGCCATAGTAGTCGGGTGTGATGCCGCGGTAGAGTTCGGCACGCAGCCGTTTCGGTGCCCGCGACCCAGCGTCCTTCTCGAAGAGCTCCCGCACCCCGGGGAGGTCCTTGGCGGCACCGAAGTACTTGTACCCGCCGTGCCCGGTCAGCTCAAAGCCGTGGGCGTCCAGCGCTCGAGGGGCACTTGCCTTGTAGTCGGGACCACCCAACTGAGGGGATGAACGGCACACGGCGTGGCAGGAACACACAGGCAATGCATGTGTGGACGAGTGTGCGTCGTGTCGGTGAGATCTTCTTTCTCCCCTGCGCGCAGGTACCTACCTGTTTGATGCGTTCCTCCCAGTGGTGTCTCTCCCTCAGCAGCTTGTTGATCTGGTCATTGAGATCTCGCAGCCGGTGCTCGCCCAGGCCGGCGTTCTGGATCTCCTGGATTCTGCGTGAGGTCTCCTTGACGATCTGCCGCCGCCAGAACTCGCAGTCCTCGACGTTGCTGCATTGGGTGGACAGCCGCGGCCGCCTGCCGGCAGTCACGCCCTTGGAGATGCCCGACTTTAGGCTCACCCATCGATTCAGCATCGACTGGGCCTTCTCGGCGTTACGAGCCATGGTGCTGGTGAGGGTAGATCAGAACAAGAGAGGCAAGAGGCTGCTGTGGATGCTGGCTTGACGGATCTGCACGAAGAGGACGCCGACTTCACGCGTCAGAGACCGTCGTTGACAGCGCTATGGGGAGGGAGAGAGGAGGAGCTCGTTCTTGCAAGCTCGCCAATGGCAAGCTCGCACGCTTCCGACCGAGGCAGCGTTTCTGCATTGCTGAGTGAGGCTCCAAGGCGGAGGATGGCTACAGCAGAGGAAAGAAAAGACGAGAGGCTTCCGCTGGTCAGCGGGGATCATGGAGATGACAAGCACGTGGCAGCGGAGAAGGCCCACTTCTCCTGGAGGGCGCTGTGGCCCAATCTCGGCCTGCACGACTGGAAGGGCATCGCTATCCTGCCCTTCCTCATCACCCTCATGATTGGCGGCGTCGTGTGGCCGCTCGTGCCGCCTGGGCTGCCTGCCAAGGTCAGAACTGAGTGCAGCGCGCGAATGCATTCAGGAAAGGGCTGTTGTTGATGCTGTTGTTGTGGCGCAGACGTGGCATTTGTTCGTTATATTCGCTTTCACCATCTTTGGCATCATCACAGGTCAGCCATGGAAGCAATCACACGCGTCGGGCGTCATGGAAGCAACATTCCCAATCCTGCGTGTCTGTCTGTCTGTCTGTCTGTCTGTCTGCTCGCATCGCAGCCCCCCTGCCAGTGTCGGCCGTCGCCATCGTGGCCATCGCCGTGTCGCTCACCACCCGCACCCTCCCCATCGCCAGCGCCCTCTCAGCATTCGGCGCGCCCGTCGTGTGGCTCATCGTCTTCGCATTCTTCATTGCACGGGGGTTCATCGTCACCGGCCTCGGCAAGAGGCTGTGCTACATTGTGCTGGGGCAGGTGGGCCAGTCGTCACTGGGGCTGGCGTATGGTCTGACAGTGGCTGAGTTGGTGCTGGCGCCTGCTGTGCCGTCCAACACGGCGAGAGGTGCGGCGGTGCTGCTGCCGATACTGCAGCCGCTGCTCAAGGACGCGTTTGCGTCGGACCCTGCGCTGAAGACGGAGAAGAAGATCGGCTCGTTCCTCGGTCGGTGACTGACGGATGGGGGGAGGGAAGGACTGCACTGCATGTGGCAGATGTGCGTTTGTTGTCCTCGTGTGTGTGTCTTGGGGGGGCAGTGATGGTGGCTCTTCACGCAAACTGCGTGACGTCGGCTCTCTACCTCACTGGCTGCGCCGCATCCGCCCTCACCGCCAGGATGGCACTCTCAGCCCTCGGTGGGGTCGGTGGGCGGACAACACCCAGACAGACAGACACCGTGGTGCATCAAAGACGAATATGCGTCTCTCTCTCTCTCTCTCTCTGGCTGGCTGTGTGTGTGTGCACAGGTGTGGAGCTGGGATGGATGCGTTGGTTCATGGCGATGAGTGTGCCGGGTGTGCTGGACGTCGCCCTGATGCCTTTGGTGCTCTACTGGGCATACCCACCAGAAGTCAGGACCACCCCCGAGGCCCCACAGCTGGCGAGGGAGAAGCTCAAGGAGATGGGCCCGCTCACCAGGAAAGAAATCATCATGATTGGTCCGTCATGTCAGCCGGCCAGCGGCCCATTCACTCACTGACACACAGAGAGAGAGGAGAGGTGGATGGCCCAATGTGTGTGTGCAGGTACGTTCGTGTTGTTGATATTTTTGTGGATATTCGGTGACCTGTTCAAGTTCATCGACGCGACCTCGACCGCCATAGTGGGTGTGGCCATCCTGCTGCTGACCGGTGTGCTTGACGTCACCCAACACATCATCACAGAGAAGGCCGCTTACGACACAATGCTCTGGTTCGCAACCCTTGTCATGCTCGCCGGTAGAAACACACACACACACACACACACACCCCGAGAGAGAGAGAGAGAGAGAGAGGGCGGGATCGAGACATTGTTTTGTTTGTGTGTGTGGGTCCAGGTAATTTGACGAAGGGCGGTTTCTTCGACTGGCTGTCTGGTCACGTGAGCCCCACTATGTCGAAGCTGCCGTGGCTGGTGGCCATGATCGTCCTCTCGCTCCTCTTCTACTTCTCACACTACGCCTTCGCATCGCTCACCGCACACACCGCGTCGCTATTCAGGTGAGTCTGTGTGAGTGTGTGAGTGTGAGCCGCCCCCCCGTGGATGGATGGCCTGAAGGAAGGGATTGTGATCTTGGGTGTGTGTCGCATGTCGATGGATGCAGTGCCCTGGGTGTGGTTGCTGTGAGTGCTGGAGCGCCGGCCCCTGTGGTTGCTGTGATGTTTGCCGCCTACTCGCCTCTCAGTGGATGTCTCACACAGTACGGCAGCGGACCATCGCCAGCGTACTTCGCAACGGGGTCAGTAGTAGAGACAGCACGAGAGACCTCTCTTTGCCCTACTCTCACCATGTGTGTGTGTGTGTGGTGTTTGTGTGTATGCAGGTATGTGTCGGTGGTGGACTGGTGGAGGGTGGGTCTGATTGTGTCTGCGTGGCACCTGCTCGTCTTCAACACCGTCGGCCTTCTATGGTGGAAGGTCATCGGACTCATGTGATACGACGATGTGAGCAACGGCCCTGGTCCTGGTCCTGCCTGCCTGTCTGTGCAGCTGTGTTGCTATGCTATGTGAGTGTTTCTTCCACCTCTGAGATGATGAGCCGTGCGTCCGGTGGATTCATTCGGTGATTTCTCTGTGTGTGTGACAGTGTCGGCTGTCTGTATGTCTGTCTGTCTGTCTGTCTGTGTAAGGAAGAAACGGCAGCGCCCTGCCCCCCTCTGTCTCTCTTGCGTGACCTGGGATCTCGATGCAGCCGATATAAATGGAGCCAGCCAGGCAGCCAGCCAAAGTCTGTGAGATGACTGAGTGAATGGATGGATGGACGGACGGATAGCAAAGACACGATGACGCATGGGTTCGTGTGGGGCTACCGTACGTGTGAATGCGATGAATGAATGCGATCAATCGTTCGTCAGGCCCCTAGTAGCGGCATGTATGTTCCGTCCCCTCCCCCTTCCCCTCCCCCCCCCCATGGTCAAATATCCGCGTCACGGTGCAAAGCTCAATCAAAAGCTGACACAGACAACACCACACAGATACACCCACACCCACACGGCACACAGCGTGAGAAAGGGGAAAAATTCAACGGCACCCATAAGTTCATTCATGCATGGATATATGGGTTGGTTGCATCTGTGTTGGCTGACCTCCTCCGGCTGGGCGCATCTGTGTCGCCGCCTCGTGTGTGTCCGTCATGAAACGGTGCACACAAACAAACATGAGAGACGGTCTGATCATCTCTCTCTACATACTATGTGTGTCATGAAACAAACGACCACCCAGCCACCCCACCTGTCCAGGTACATGCTGTCGTTGACAACACCACACACGCACGGCCAGCAGCACTGGAAAAAAACTCAGACATCGCCCCCCCCTCCCCTCACAGACAGACAGACATGACATGCAGGCGTCGCCCCACGCTCAACACATGCATAGAGGAATCGGGCCTCGCCCGCGCTCCACGAACGGCCTCGCCCCTGGCCCACTTGAAAGACACGCACACGCTCTCACAAGACACAGCCAGACAGACGCACAAACATGCACACATGGATGGATGGATGGCAGGTGGAGTGATTAGTCAGTCGTGCAGACACTCGCCGACTGCGTCGGCACCAGTTTGCTTTGAAATAGCCAGCACTGAAAAACACTCAAACACTTACACATATAGACGTATACCCCCGCCCACCCCATGCACTTGGTCACACAACACACACACACACACAGAGGTACGTAGAAAGCAGCTCCTCTCGCCGCGGCGTGAAGTGCTACTTGCGCTCAAAAAATTGCCCCTGTGCATCTCCCCTCCCCTCCCCTCCCACATGCCATGTACCATCTATGCTATATGCGTGCATGTGTGTGCTGTGGATGTCATGTGTGTATCAGTGTGTGTGGCTGCATGCCTGCCATTTCGCAGCAGCCAGCCATTTGGTGAGGGTCTTCTTGGGTGGATCACAGCTTGCTCTTGTACGGCGCGTCGTACGGCATCCTGATGAGGTCGCGCGGGACACTCGACACGTTCGTCGCACTGTTCACATCACACACAGCCAACACACACACACATAAGTGGCCATCGTCCGCACCCCTTTTCCTTCCCCCAGCCACCCTCCCTCCCTCACCCCGAGAGCTTCATTGCGAGTGAGAGTTCGTCCTTCATCATCTGCAGCACCTGGCTGACGCCCTCCTTGCCATTGTACGTCAGGCCCCACAGCGCCGGCCGCCCAAACGCCACCGCCCTCGCCCCCAGTGCGAGCGCCTTGAGGATGTCGGTGCCCCGCCTGATGCCGCCGTCGAGGTAGACCTCGATGCTCGTGCCTCGGAGGGCATCGACCACCTCCTCCAACACCTGCAAACAGGACAGGACGACACACATGCACTGGGGGTTCGTGAGTGACAAGGGGGGGAGAGGGGGGTTACGTCGATGGTGGCGTCGACGCCGTCGAGCTGCCTGGCGCCGTGGTTGGAGACCCACACGGCGGCCACGCCCTGCTCCTTGGCCAATATGGCGTCCTCGGCAGTCATGACGCCCTTGACGACAATCGGCAGGTTGGTGATCGACTTGAGCCACTTGATGCTGACCAGTGAGTTGACACACAGACAGACATACATCTTGACGTCCATTGCAATGCAACCCTCCCACCACCCTGCAAATGTCATGTCCCCCACCTGTCCCAGGTCAGGGATGCGTCGAAGAACTTGGTGGTGTAGGCGCTGAGTGCGCTCCTGGAGTCGCTGTGGTCGGCCATGCCCTGCTTGGCCGCGATCCTCACCGCCTCCCTCGCATCGCTCAGGTTGGTGCCCTCACTGCCTAGCGTCGACTTGGCCTTCGGCGCCTCGAAGTTGGCCAACGACAGGCCGGTGGGCAGCGAAAACTGGTTGCGGATGTCGGCATTGCGCCTGCCGAGTGTGGGTGTGTCGACGGTGAGGACGAGGGCCTTGAAACCGGCCGCCTCGGCGCGCTTGACGAGGTCGTAGGTGATACCGCGGTCGCTGCATCCATCAGCGGATGGATGGATGGATGGTGTGTGGTGAATGGTGTGTGTGTTACCGAAATGTGTAGAGCTGGAAGAATCGGAGGCCTTCCCCGCCGCAGTTGGCCGACACGTCCGTGACACTCGTCGTGGCCAACGTCGAGAGGGTCATCGCTGCCAGACAGACACACACCCATACACACAGACGTCCACTGCATCATTCGTGTGTGAGTGTGTGTGTGTGCTTACGGATGCCCATTTCCTTGCACGCGATGGCGACGCCCGTCTCGCCGTCGGGGTGGGCCATCTTCTGCATGGCCGTGGGGGACACTATCAGCGGCATGCTCACGTTGTAGCCCAGGATGGACGTCTGTGCATACACACAAATGACACACACGGCCATGCCTCTGCTCAGTGACCACCTGCACTCATGTGGCACCTGACCTGCAGCTGGATGTTGTCGACGTCGATGAGAAACCGCGGGCGCAGTCGAATGCGCTCGAAGGCGACACGGTTCTCACGGAGAGAGACCTCATCGTTGGCACCCGATGAGTAGTAGCCGTGGACAGCCTTGGTGAGCCTCTTGCTGCACAAACCAACCACAACAGACACACACGCACACAGACACACACACCATCACACACGCATCGCCATGGCTGTGGTGAACGTGTGCGTACTCTGCAATGCGCTCAAAGTCGTCGAGATTGACTGGGACCGACTCCTCGGCGCTGGCCTGCACACACGGAGAGACAGAGGGAGAGGGGTGTGGCGCCATCAAGTGTACAGGGGCACTGCAAAGGGGCCAGCGTGAGCATATGCCTTGCTGAGGCTGTCTAAGCGGGTCAGGCGTCCAGCGAAGGCTGCGACAGAACAGGCCGTCTCTCTAGGCCCTCTCTGACTTCCACATCAATCACTTGACTAGCTTGCTGCCGCTCCTATCCCTCACTGCATGGCCTTTCCCAGTGGCAGCCAAGAGCCTGATCTTCCCTCACTGAACAATGTGTGTTCGCTGCGCTTACTTTTGATCTGCTCATCGACATAGCCACCCAAAGCACCAAGGCCGACACACCTGCCCTGTAGATCTGACTGAAGGGTGCGGGGGAATTGCGAGGCAAACAAGTCAACCGTCGCGAGCTTGCACGAAGGAAAAAGGCGAGGGAAGAAGCGATGCTGGACCCTCTGTGCGTGGAGGTAGCTGCAAATACCGCATCGACGGCAGGGCGCTACTTTCTTCGTCTTGTGCAACGCTGGGCGAGAGAAGGGGCTGCTGACGGCCCAAGGGGGACCTCCATCTGCCTCATAGCTGCCTATGACGGCGCTGACTTTCGTGGTTTGCAGAGCGTGGAGTCAGAACTCGCCTTGGCACTGCTCGAATCAGGTGTGGACAAAAAATGACACTGTGTGGATGGGCTCCTCCTTCATGTATGTGTTGTCTGTGCGCAGGCCTTATCGACCATCGTCAGCACGCCGATTTATGGCGCATTAGCTGGTGCCACGCCGTCCGCACCGACAAGGGGGCCCACGCAGTCTGGCAGCCCATCTCGTGCATACTTGATCTGCACGAGCGGCTCAGGGGCACCACCCTCCAGCCACTGGACAGCCTCCCTCGCGGCATCTCGCCCCAGCTGTTCTGGGCCGACGGGCAGCAAGACGCAATGGAAGATTTGCTGGACGGGCTGACGCAGTCCATCAACAAGCACTTGCCTTCGTCGGTGAGGGTGCTGGGCATCGACCGAGTGGGCCGATCCTTCGACTGCCGCTATGCGTCAGCCAAGACCTACGAGTACCTGCTGCCGCTGCCCACAGGCGACACGCCCACGTCTGCGGACGATGCGAGCGCTGCGGCGGCCGTACCTTCTTCCCTCGACTCAAGCGCCGTCACCAGCAGCACGTCACAGGCGTCTACCGGGGTGTCATCTGTGATGGATGTGGACAGGCTGGCGAGTGCGTTGGATTTGTTTGTCGGCGTTCACGACTTTCGCAACTTCACGACTGGCGGCGGCGGCGGTGCTGGGCAGGGTGCCCAGCTGCGGGAGGTGACGAGCGCGTCCGTCGTCAAAGTTTCTATCGGCCGGCGGGTCTTCCTGCGCCTCACCATCTCAGGCACGGCGTTTCTCCGGTACCAAGTGCGCAAGATGGTGTCGCTGGCCGTTGCGGTGGGGGCGGGCTGCCTCCCCCTCGAGGCCATCACCCTCGCCCTCCGCCCCTCAGTCGCCACACATCTCGACATTCCATGCGCCCCTGCGTGTGGACTCATACTCGCCCACGTCGACTACTCTGGAAGTCGACGCTCGTCTACGGCATCGTCCTGCCCGCCCTTGGACTTCGAGAAACGGTCCCTCACGTCGGCGCATTTTCTCGACTTCAAGAGGCGTCTCTACGCGTCGATCGCCGAGCGTTCATCGCCCGAGCTCTCACGGTGGCTGGCGAGCCTCATCTCCGCCCCATCTTCCCCCTCCCTCCCCCCGCCCCTCTCGCCGTCCGGCCGTCTCCCCCCAAAGGATGGCGCCCTGCGGCTGATGCTTCAGAGACGATTCGTGCTTGAGAGCGGAAGCGACAGCCCACGGTCGGCCCGCGACGACCTCCTGTTGGCGCGTGACTCGAGCGCGCAGCAGGGGGGAGGGGAGGAGGATGACGCCGTCCCATCCCCGGCAACCAGATCGCCCCCTCGAGCAGCGAGGAGGAGGACGGTCGAGTCGATGGCGAGCGATTCCCCGCCCGACCGGCGGCCGTCGAGCCGTCTGTCGATTGATGTGATTCGGCTGCCCGACGACGCGACGTCCAGCCGGCAGGTCGATGCGACAGGCCTGCACGCCATCCAGGCGCCCGAGGTGTTCTCGCTCGACTCGTCTGTGCAGCCGCACTCGCCCAGCACGTATGGGTCCATGAAGACCGAGGAATTCAACATTGCCACACCCAGCAACACACCGCCCCCCTCCCCGCTGCTCGGGAAGCAGGCCGATCGGCCACCGCCGGAGGAGACCTTCAGAGGCTGGCCTGCGGTCCGTGAGCAAGACTACACAGCACACTAGGGGCTGGTGCGCCGTTTCATGCTTGTCTCCCTCCTTGTGGTGATGGTGCGTGCAGGTGTTGGTTCATGCGGAGAGTGTAGTGAGATATCTGCGACAAGAGGACGGCAGATAGACATGTGGGACGGTGTGGGGTGGTATGGGGACATTTTTCCCTTCGCTGCTTTGACCGACCTTTGACCGGCCTGCCTTTGTACAGACAGCGGGGTGTCTTGTGTGTGTGTGTCTGCCGGAAGGCACGATGCGATTGCCATGCCATCGGCGGTCCGGGTAAATGCACGGCCTTATGCATGTGTGACTTCGCACTCTCAGACCTTCATCTTTCATTGAAGTTCTCTCTTGCCATCCAAGAAGGCACATCAAAACGTCCCACACAAGCTGAAACCATCACTTACACACCAGACCTCCCCCCATCAGCCAATAAGACTCACGAAGGAGGCGGCAGACCACTCAAGCACACGTATAGCGTCTCCGAGTGGCAAAATCAGCCGTGTATAGCTAGACGGGTCAGACCACTTCATCATTTGTCATCTCGTCCGTACAGACACAGGCAGTGAATGAAAAATGTCACGGCATCCGCACCACTTGCAGAAAAAACACATCCACCGTGAAGCTGCCCATGCACACGGCAGACACGATGTAGCACTGCTGTGCGTTGACCTGCACCGCGCTCTATGTGTCAGCTGTGTCCTCGTGGTCACTCACGGGGGCATGCTGGCGCCTATCACGCCATCCGCCCACGTCTCCTCTTCCGACTGAAGCCCACTCAGACACACAGAAAATGCCTGCGATGGGCCAGTGTGTGCCTGGCGTGACTGCTGCATCGCGTCGGTGGCCGAAGCTGTGAGCTGGGCCATCGGGAGCACACCGAAAGAACAGTCAATTTGACCAGAGACGATGGGGAAGAGCCACCAGTGCCGTGTACCGTCCTCAGTGTCGCTGCCCCATGCCACTATTGAGCCGCCGCTATTCGGCTGATCACCGGGGAGTGGCCTGCGTGCAGATGGCACCATGTACACATGCGCCCTCTTCTGATGTCGTATGCTGCTTACGGTGCCATGTAGCTGGACTGAGTCCACATGTCCGGTGCCTGCTGCTCCACAAACGGGTTTCCGTCGACATCCAGCACGTCGAGGGATGGCCTGCATCCACAGATAGCCGCAATGCCCATATAGGCACGCCACTCATCTGCTTGAGACGTCCCTCTGCTTACGGTGTCGCCTCGCCGTCGGTGCTCGATGTCCCAGCTGCTGCGTGGCTGCCGTAAATGCCGCCTTGTGCATGATTGATCACCATGCCGGCAAACACGAAGGCCGGCGGGGCTGCACAACCAACAGACACAATGGAAGCGGGAAGCTAAGAGAAGGTGACCTTCTTACGTACGTGTGTTTGTGACGGTCATCGGCGGCAAGGGCATGGTAGCGGTAGCACGCTCCTATATGCACCAAACCACAGCGCAAAGAGAGCATGACTAGATCTAAGCGGTGCCAACGGCCTGCTCACTGACCTGTAGGTCGGCCTTCGTTAGTTTGTGTGTCTTCTGCATGTGCGAGTTTACGACATTGCGGAACGTGTTCTGCTTGCCGCAGATGCCACTCCCGCCAGCACACTGCACCACACACGTGGCGCACAGCTTGTCGCTCGGGCCCTTCTTGACTGGCACATAGGGGACCACACACACCAGCCGCCCTCCATGGTACACGCGCATGCAGCATTGGATGTCGAAGTCCGTCGCCTGCTCGCGCGGATCCATCGCCGGCTTGCGGAACACCTGCAGGCGATACAGGTTGCGGAATGGCCGATGGCGGCTGTCCTCGTCGATGGCGGCCGGCAGGAGGGCCACCTGGTACCCCGGCTGACCGATGATGCGCTCGGCACTCGCCACGGTGAGCCACACGTGGCGGTGCTCTGCGGGGGCGTCCATGTTCGTGGGGTCGGCAATCGACTGGGAGTGTTTGCGGTCTATCTCGGCGGGATCCCACTGGTCGCGGAGGCCACGGAGAAGAAAAGCATATGGCAGGCCACCTGCACAACATACACACCAGTCAGTCATGCAATGCTTACTTTCTTCGGTCTGTGTGACGTACCCTCCATCTCCCAGTGCCCGCCAAGGCCAGACTGCAGAGGGGTAGAAGCGACTGGCAGACCGGCTGGACGACCACACAAGCAGGATGCCCACGCAGCGCAGTGCACGCAAGTGTGTGACGTACCACTCATCCCGCTGGGCTGCTGACGTCCACGCGAGCCACATTCCTGCACAGATGTAAGTACGCCTGTAGCTGTAAGTATGTCTGAAGGTGTAAGTCCGCCTGAAGCTGTAAGTACTTCCACAGGTGTAACTACTACCAAGATCGAGAAGAGAAAAGAGTGGGTGATTGTGAGAAGCCTTGTTCTTTTCGTCTGGATCTCTTCTCGAACCAACAGAGGCCGGCTGCGTACGCAGCACAGATGAGGAGCGGCTGCGTCGCTCTGACACCACCGCTCCCGCGACAAGATCTCGTCCTCTGCTGAGGAGGGGGGACCTACAAGCAACACACCACGCACAAAAAGAGGACATTCAAGCGTCGATTCAGCGCAGCCGCGGCTGCACGCCGATCGGGAATTCGATCGGAAAGAGGCATTCGTCATTTCGACGAAGGAGGGCTTGCAATGAGCACATCAGACAACACACACCCGCAGGTAGCGCTTCGTGAAGGCCCACACCACCTCTGTGGCTGATCTCTGGTGTTCCTCCAGGCTCTGGGGGTCAACTTTCCGCCGGATGTCGGACCATCCAACGATCACTACGATGTCACTGAAGGCGCACACTCACAGGTAATGTGCTTTAAAGCATCACGCGTGTCTGACCTTCTATGCGTTCGACAGGTGGGTGGTGGGATGATGGCTGCTGCGCCAGTCAACGAGCACCATGACGGCCGCCACACACAGGTGCGAACATTCTTGAGATCCTGCCGCCTCAGTCATTGGTTGATTGTCTGTCCTCAGGCTGGCGGTGGTGACGAGATGGTTAGTTTCGCCGCAGCCGAGTTGGATCGTCAGGTAATGCACGGAAGTGAGTGTTTGGTGTGGTGTACGTCAAGGTAATTGCCTTTCTTTCATTTGTCAGACGGGCCATGTGGCCGTGAATGTGGTTGCTGGACCGCCGACACTGTCGCTCAGCGGCCACAATGACGAGCAAACGTCGTCCCATGTGCAGACGTGTCTTCCACCACAGATCAGCATTGGCGTTCCGGTCGCCAGCCCACCACCACCACCACCACCAGCGGCAGCAGCAGCAGCAGGAGGCCATTTTTATTATGAGCATGACTCCGAACCCATAACAGATATACACCACGCTGTCGCTCAAGTGAGGGAGGCGTCTATCTGTCTGGCGTATGTATATCTCTCTGTGTGTATGTGTGCGTGTGTGAGTCAGCCCCACCCTGACCACGCCTCGCCGTTCCCTCCCTCGCCGCCCCGCACGCGGCAGCGGGCACAGTCCCTCCCACCCCGATCCTTACAGGTCAATTGTACGCCATTGAATCAATCACGATCTTACCTGTGCATGTATACAGGGGGAGATCTCTGTCGGCGAGAGGCAACAACTGGTTGACGAGTTTGATCAACGGAAGCAAAGTGGTGGAGAGCCCATCTCGATGCCTCAGTTTGCCAAGGAGAAGGGTATTCCTCTGTGGAAGTTCAAGCAGTGGTACTATCCCATCAAGAAACAGAGAGAGGAGGGCAAGCAGGTGGCGGACCCAACCAAGAAGCGCAACAGACAGCCCAAGTATGCGCAGATTGAGGATGAGATACGCAAGTGGATGGCGGACCACGATGACCCCGTGAGCATCCCTACGAAAGACATCAAGGCCAAAGCCTTTCAAATAGCCAATCAGCTGAGCATCAGTGGCTTCAAAGCGAGCGATCCCTGGGTCGGAGACGTGAAGAGACGATATCAACAGGTAACAGGTTGAGATGCATTTTTGCTTCGTTTCCATGATGCTTGCTTCTCGCCTTCGCAGAGTGTTGCTTCGCCGCCTCAGCCGTCTGCAGCCGCTGAGCAGGTTGTCACACCGGCCCCTGCTGCAATGCATCCCCCCCACCCCCACCCCTTGCCCAAGCCCCTCGTTTGGCATGCCCCTCTGGGTCCGCAGTCACCTGCACAGGTGCAACAGACACAGATCCTAATGCATCCGCCCCATCCACGCCCTCTATCCATCCCCCTTACCCACCAGCCGGTGACACACATGTCAGCAGCAGCAGCAGCAGCAGCAGCGCCAGCACCAGCAGCGCATTCGGACACAAGTGGCCTGAGCAGACAGGTACGCAGCACACAGCCACATGCGCTTTCAGTAGTATATTTCTCTGCTCGCAGAGCGCAGCACCTGCCCCAGCACCACCATCCAGCAGCGACAGGCACACCGACTCACAGGTGGGACGCCAAATGATCTACGAGCTGCTTGTACGATTTTCTGTGTTGCACTGCAGGGCCAAGTGGCTGGTGAGCCGGATGCAGTGCAAGTGGCGGATGGATTCATCGGCCGTGGCTCTAACGATGCGGTAAGCCGAGACGACACGAAGGCGACGAGAGAGGTCATGTGTCTTTGCTTGGTTGATTGCAGACCAATGTCTATTCAGCAGACGCTCAGCCGGCTGCTGCTGTCGATCAGCAGTCTGAGCAGCGCTGGCAGCCCTCAGAGGGGCGCAACACGATGAGCGTAAGCCATGTCGATGCCCGCTTCTGTTGGTGATAGACGCATGTATCATGCTCCGTTTGCTCAGATGGAAGCATCCGTGAGTGGGCAGACAGGCGAGAGGCCGCCAGCGAAGATCCCAAGGAGCGACAACCGCAGCCATCGAGACGCCCCACCCTCTGTGGTGAGCCGACTGCATTGCGAGATGCTATCACATGCAGGCATGCACCTCTTGTTTCGATGTATGCAGGTGTTGTCTCATTCATATGCCGAGACTGCATTCAGCATCACGGCGGATGATCATCGGAGTGATATACAAGAGGTCACATTGAGAGAGGACCCAGCTGCATTGCCAGCAACATGCTGTCTGTGCGTGTGATTCCGTCATCAGGTTGATGACATCAGCGACCTATCGACATGCGACCCATCAGAAGAAGACATGCGTCAGCAGACAGAGGTCTGTCATTGCACGTGTGCATGGCAGACAAGACCTTGCGTGAGTGCTTCGGGGACTCTCGCCATCTGCAGGTGATTCCAGGCAGCAGTCTGAGTGCGTCAGAATTCGCGACCCTCTACTCATTGTCCGTGCCATCGATCGGCGACGTATGCGTCTTCACACTGCTGTACAGGTAGATGCATACCAATATGGTATTGAAGCACTGAATGCTGGCCAGCATTACGCTAATTTTCATACATATTGGATCGCTTCCTTGTTCGGCAGGGCCTCTGTTGACGGCGGTAGCTACAATGACCTCATTTCCTGTGTTGGTGACACAACGAGCCTTCTTTTTGTTCTTCGGAGGGGACGGGATATCATCGGCACTTATATGCGCGAGGCGATTAAGCTACCCATCGATTCAACCGACGAGAACAGCTACGACTCTGACATCTGGCGGTTTTCCCTCGCGAAAGAGCCCGGACTTCAAAACGACTGGCAGCGTGTGAGCGTGGCAGGTCGGGATGGTGCTGTGGACGGAGTGGCTAAGATGCGTCTGGGATCGCGCTTGTGGTTGGGTTGCGGTGATCGACATCCTGGTCCCGCAGCTGACATGCGCAGCTATCGACTGTACACCCCAGCAGATCACGACACTGCACCGGAGGGGTATCAGGGGACGATGGACGCTAGATTGAGGATGACTGAGGCGTGCGAGGGGACAGACGTGTTCCTTGCTGATGAGTTGGAGGTGCTTCATGCTGACACCAGCAACAACATCCAGGTAACAGCTGCAAGACAGAAACAGGCTGCTTTGATCGCTCCGTGGGTTCTTGGCAGGACTTCATCGGGAAACTCGTCTCATATCTCCTCAAACACGGAGTCAAGTAAGTATATACAGACTCGCAGACACAGACACGCACAGACACATCCATACAAGAACGAAAGGATCGACGATATCACAATGCATTCCCGTAGGGCGAGTCAGATTCGCGTCATCACGCCATACGCTGCCCAGCGAGACCACATCGCGCCGCTCCTCCAGCGGCCATTCTCACCCATCAGCCAGGAGCTGTACAAGGACATCGAAGTCGCATCCGTCGACGGATTCCAGGGGCGGGAGAAGGACTTCATCCTTATCTCATGCGTCAGATCGAACCTAGAAAAAGGTCACACGTCCAACCACATGACACATGCGCCACGCTACATGAGGACGTATGCCTGGCTGGCGGTGTGCAGGGATTGGGTTTCTCAAGGACTCCCGTCGTTCGAATGTGGCCCTCACGCGTGCGCGCTACGGCCTTGTCATCTGCGGCGATGCCAGAGTTCTGATGCAAAGTGAGAAAGGATCAAGCAATGAATGGCAAAGACGGCACGTTTCCGTCATGTATCATTTGTGTTTGTCAGACCCGTTGTGGTGCAAGTTGTTGAACCATTTCGACCGATACGAGCTGGTGGTGGACGGCTCGCTGTTCAACCTGAACCTGAAGCCTTTGTCGACCACGTCAAAAGCATTAGGCACGGCGCGACGGAGGCACAGCGCGGCCTTTGTATAGTGGGTTTTTCATCTCTCTGCTCTGTGTATGCGTGTGCAGCTAACATCCCTTTAACCTGGATCACCACCCTTGCAAGGTCAGGCACTCAGACGGTGCGCACAGCGGTACGAATGACTACTTTCCCATTCTGCCTTTCTCACTGCAGCACTTTCAGCACTACGGGAACATCGTGTCAGCGATGGTTCCTCGTGATGAGCTCACTGGCGGTAGCAGGGGCTATGGCTTTGTGTGCTATAGCTCACACAATGCGCGCATTCTTCGCACAGATGCGCGTGTGTAGAGAAGGGGCAGAGGAAAGAGGAAAAGAATGGCTGCATGCATGTCAGGGTCGTTGCCTGAAGGGCAAGAATTGCACCTATGCTCATGGTGAGAATGTCTTGCCCAAGAAGAGGGGGGCGCTTCCGGTTCTGCTTGGCTCGAGCGTCTCGCGGCCAGCGGTGCCTCCTTCACTAGAACAGCGACGGATGAACGGTCCTGGATATCGCCATTCGGGACGGCATCCCTGCTGCTGTCGACTGGCTGTGTCGACGCCTCGGGGCCGACGAGATAAACAAGCCCGGCCGGCCGGCGGCAGCGATAAGAGTGCATGCGGCCGTTTGGCTTAGTGACAGGAGGAACGAAGGGGCCTTACCCGAAGACATCGAAGCCTACCGCCAGGTCATCCGCACCCTCCTGAAGCGCGGTGGGCCCGTCAGGTCCCTCCCCGCCGACACGCCAAAGGACCGCTATGCCCGCCGCCTCATCCTTGAAATCCACCAAGAGATGCAGCAGCAGCAGGCTCAGCACCACCAGCAGCGGTCAACACACCAGCTGCAGCTGCAGACCAAGTCGCAGAAGCGCACGGCACAAAAGAAGAGGGCTAAGGAGCACATCGCCAACAGCCTGGCCGACGGAGATGCTGAGAACGCCATACCGGCCACTGCATCTGCTCCGGCAACCGAGACGTCAGCTGCGGTCCAAAATGGTGCTAGTCCCACCCCTGACGAGCAGCTGTGGGCTTCATCGACGTTTACAGGGCCGAGCAGGAACGCATCGGCGGCAAGCAGAGCCGGCTTGACACGGTGCTCAGCCTGGCGCCCAAGAGGCTGGCACAGAGTAGGAAGACCGACACAGAGGAACACAGCGTGTTCGTATTGTATGTTCGTGGTGTGTGGTTTGTGGCTTCCTTTTGGTTGCTCGCTGTCTGCTTAACGTCCTGCACGCCTGTCTGCGCCAGTTGCTATCATCGTACTGCTGCATTGGCAATTTGTCTTGTGCAGCGTGATGGAGCCACACACTCACGGCTGCGTGTCTGCGTGAGGCAGTGCATGCACTGATTTATTCATTCCCGATCGCATTGCGATCGATTGAACGTGTGGGACGCCTGGCGTGGGACCTGGGCATGTCAGTGGGTCCATCTGGTCGATATTTATCAGTGATTTGGCTACAATGGCACTGCCTGCCTGTGTGTCGCAGTGTGTCTGGGTGCGTATGAGTGTGAGTGTATGTGATCGTGTATCTCCTCATATGTGAGATGCGTGTGTGTGTCAGTCTGCAGCGTTTTGCGTATAAGTCCATCACGGTGTTTTCACTGACCCAGTGTCCATCACGGAGTCCACCCATTGTGAGCACCCACCAGAGAGCAAATGACAGCCAACACACCCACGGCAGATGAATACACATACGACACAAGGTGAGCAGCGCTATACACACACGCTCTAGGAAACCGCCGCGGCATACACGAGAGGGAAACAACCCAATGCCGCCTTTACGACCGTATTGATAAAAGATTGACCCACCCAGGCATACTCTACAGCCCCTTCTTCCTCCCTACCCTTCCCCCTCCCCTCCCTCTCTGCTGCTGGTCTCCACCACTAGTACCAAAGCTGTTGCACTCCGGGTGCTTAGCGAACCACTTGAGCGTCCTGTCCATCCCCTCAGCCACGGTATAGAGCGGCCGGTACCCCAGCACGTGCCTCGCCTTGTCCCACTTGATGGTCTGCGTGTAGCACAGCGCGTCCACGGCGATGGTCGTCAGGGGCACAAACATCCGCCCCACCAGCAGCGCCCACAGCTCCGCCAGCAGAGCGAACAGGTAGCAGATCCACCACGGCAGATAGACCGAGGGGAGGGTGTAGCCCGCCTGCTCGACAAAGGGCCGATTGAACTCAAAAAAGCTTTGCGCCGGCGTGTCGTCGGACAGCAGGAAGACCTCCCCGTCAAGACGACCATTGCTGTCGTCTTGCTTCAGTGCGTGGAGGGCCAGAAGGTGTCCGAAGCAGATATTCTTGACATAGGCGAAGTCCATCAGGGCGTGTTTGGGGTGGCCGGGAGGCGCGCCGATGAGCACCGTCACGATGCGCCGGCGGATAGAGTGGATCAAGTCACCGATGTGCAGCTGCAGACAAAAGGACACACACAAACTATTCGAGCGATGCATCCATTGAAGTGTTGGCTGCGACCGGTTCGCTCACCTTATCGCCCTCGCCATAGAACGCCACTGGACGCAAAATGATGATTCGCACACGGCGGCCGTCAGATGTCTGTGCGTGGCGGCGCAGGAGCCTCTCGGCGTCGGCCTTGGTTTGAGCGTATCGCTTATAGAGGAAGTGCCGCAGTGAAGGCGGATAGGGGGCGTCCTCGGTCATCTCCACGTTCTGATGAAGGCCGTTGATCACCTCCACCGTGCTGCAGCAGGCAACATCAGTAGGCCGACACAAGAGAGTGCTTTCTGATGTCCATCTTTCCTCCGTGTGTGTGTGAGTACCTGGTGTATACGAGGTGTGGGATGCTGGCTCTCTCGCAGGCCTCGAGCACGTTGCGCGTGCCCTGCACATTCACCTCCCTCACCCGAGAGGCAGGCATGTCGCCATGCACGTCGATCATTGCCGCTGAACACACACATATACAAACACACCCAATCACACGCACAGAGCACTCCAGAGGCCCATATGTCTGTATCTGCCCCCATATATCTCCATCCTCACCGCAGTGTATGCAGCTGGTGCATCCCTCAAGGGCCCTGCAAAGGGCTTCCATGTCCAGGATGTCTCCCCGGACATAGGAGAACTTGGCTGGGGGTGACGATGACACCTTCTCCCGCCTGCCCTCGTCCATCTGCATCTGCTCGAACAGCAGGGCGGTGGGCGGGGCCACGTCGTACACACGGATCTCTCTCACAACGCCGTGAAGCATCCCCACCAGCTGCACACCAACAACACACAGACAAAGCAGCACACACACACCTCCCTCTCTGCATGGATCTTCGCGTGCTTGTGTGCAGGAAGCGCACGTGTGAGCCGAGGTAACCGCAGCCGCCAATGACGCAGACGACCTCCTTTTGCAGGCCAGCGGCCACCTCTGCAAGTTGCGATGGCTGCCCGCCATCCATGCCCTCGTCGGCACACAGATGTCGCGGCATGGCTTCTGGCCAAAGAAATGTCGGATCCTGTAAGGTACCCACTGCAGCTACCAGGGTCTGCAAGCCGCGTGCAGATCTCGAGCTCGAAAATCTCTGCGAGCTTAGGGTGTCAGGGCGCTCCCTGAAACCGCTGCTGCTGTTGCTTTTCGCTGCTTCTGTGAGGCTGTGTGCATCCCACAAGTGTTGCTCGGGCAACTGTTTTCGTCCTGTGATGCCAGCTGATCAGACGGCGCAGCATGACGGCAAGAGGGCTGACGCGTCCATCTCGGACGAGAAGAGGACCCAGACCTTCGCGTGCGACGCCCTCTACGCCGGCTGCTTCCTTTGTCTCCTCGTGACTAGCTCTATTTTTCTTCTTTTCCTGGTGCCAGATCTCATCTCTGCTTTGCCCTTGCCTGTCCCTTTTCTGCTGTCCTGTGCTGTCCGCCTGCTGCTTGTCGCCTCTTTCCTGGGCACCTGTCTAGCCTATGCGCCCGGCATCCTGTTCAACACGCGTCGGCCACCCGAATGGTCATCTGTCGCGCCTCACCTGCCTGACCACGTCAGCACTCTCTGCTGCCTGTCGACCGTGTGCAGCGAGCCACTGCAACTGATGGTGCGCAACTTTCTCGGCAGGGTGTGCTGCATCCCATGGGAGGGGCTGGGTGCTGGTCATCGCGCAATCAGCTATGTGGACGTGTGTGTTGACGAGGGACATAGCGAGGCCACTGAGAGGCTGTGGAACGCATTCCTAGACCTGATCGAGTTGTGTGCTGCTTCACCGTCGGGCGGCGTGATGGACACCTTCCTGCAGGTGAGAAACGCACAAGCCACGCGACATAACATAAGTGGTTCGTGTCTGCAGGTCTGGAGCGACAAGTGGACTGCATCGTCTGATCCATCAGTACTGCGTGAGCTTACCCCCCTTCTGCTCACGGCCCGTCAGCGAGCGTCCCTCGCCTCGCTCGAGGCCGCCCTACAGTCACCGCCGACCTCCATCCAGCCCACCCGATGCGTCCTCACCAACAGAGTGAGGCAGCGGGCCATCACGCTGCATGATGGCCAACAAGTGACCTTCGTCTACATGGCCCGCGCCAACACCATGCTCGCCAGAAAGATGTCCGTGTCCTTTCCTGCTGCCCGGGGTGAGGGTGACGCTTTCGTGACTGAGGCCAAGGGCGCCCCCACCGCCCCCTGTGAGGGCGGAGGGTATCCGAGCCGGAGGGTGGCCGCTGGCGAGTGGGCTTACGTGCAGATGGATGGCGGCGAAGGTGAAGTTGACTGGATGGAGGCCCGGAAGAGGTATGCTCGTGTGGTGGCGGTGAGAGAAGGGGAGGTCACGCTGGACGCCAGCACGGCTTCAGAGGTACGCAATCAAGCACATTCAGCCGATTCAGTGTTTCCACTCTCTTGGCGTTCCTTCAGGCACTCTGTTCCCTCGGTCTCCCTCTGGACCCTCTCACAAGCACCTACACCGCCCCCCTCGCCCACACGCACCCCCTGCACCCCTACCGCGGCAAAGCTGGCGCCCTCAACTTTGCCCTCGACGTCCTGAGGCGCATGGGTCACTTGTCACAGCAGCCGTCACTCGCCATCAGAGGATGGGACGACGGCGCGACCTGCGACAAAGACAACAGGGAGAGGGGCGGCATTGAGTTGCTGTCGATTCTGGACTGTCGGCACATGGCTTCTCGGGAGTTCTGGCGGCGCACGCTGAGGTGGTTCTTTGATGGCCAACCGGGGGCGAGAGACGGGGCCGAGGGCATCACTCTCAATGAGAGGGTGGCATACGTGCAGCTGCCGCAACACTTCGCCGACCTGCAGGTGAGAGAGCAGCACAACGGCCGACATGCAGCTATGCATTCACTTGATACGTCTTTTTGTGTCTACCTGTGTTGTGTGGTGACTGACGCAGGGAGTGGAGAAGCTGGACATGGAGAATGACCACATCTTCCGCATGATCAATGCGCTCAGGGGCGGGTGCGGCGGTCTCACCTCGTGCGGCACCAACTCCGTCTGGCGAGTACCAAAACGGTTCGAAGGACGCGCTATCGTTGAGGCGAGTGAACAATCTCCCACGCATCCATCACACATTCAACTGCTGCATCTGTCTGCTCTCTTCTGTCAGGACACCGCCACATCGCATGCCGTCCTCTGCAGCGACGCCATGGTCAATCAAGACGGCCCATACGCAAACCCCACATCCGCAGCAGACACCCTTCTCCGCCTCGTGTTCGGTCACGGCTCTGCCGGCTCCATGTGGCACAGCGAGTACGTGCGCGAGAACCTCGTCACGGGGCTGGCCAAGGGTGGCGCCGACTATCTCGCTGCCCTGCATCGGTGGTCGGAAGGAGCTGTGCAGGTCCTCGCCATTGCCATGTGCCGGCGGCGGTCCCATCTCGCGCGACCGCTGTGCGGCTTCGCCCTCATCATCGCAGCAACGATCGCTCTTGTGTCCCTTGCCATCACCGCCCCCACGGCAGGCGCCATCCTCTCGGCTGCGGAAATCGTCACGGCTCTCACGGCGTGCTATCCTGGCATCCCGGGTCGAAGTGCTGCGACTGTGGGGGAGCAGGAGACCAGCAGCCCATCATCAGCTCCGTCAACCGAGGCCACGACAGCCACCGCCTCACCCCCTCCCCCTCCAGCCACACCTTACGCAGCCGACGGCCCCTGGCAGACGTATTTCTCCATTCGTCATCGGTCATCGAGTGTCAGTACGATGGACACCCATGCCGAGCTGTCGCCAGAGTCGCCTGTGGACCCGGCTGTCGCGACGCCGCCACTGCTGTCGCTTGAGGCGTGGCGGGAGCATCGTGACGGGGAGGGAGAGGGAGAGAAGGGCCGGAAGGAGCGGAGAGGGGGTGGGTGGACAGATGTGGTCGCGAAGCTGCTGCATTGCGGCATCATCATGGACAACTTCACCTACAACTTAGCCGCCTTGCCGTCATTTCTGTGGGTGGGCGTCTGCCCGCCTCTGCTCATCATCGCAGGTCAGCCCAGCCAGAGAGCCACACATGGCGAAGGAGCACTTCTCCTCTCTCGTTGGTTGCAGGCAGTGCTGTGCCCACATGGTGTGTGCTGAGGTATCTCGCCCTGGTGCTGCTGTGCCGACTCCCACAGCTGCTCATGTTCGAGCGCATCAAGGTGGGTAGACCACACCTCACACCTCACACATATGCGTCATCTGCCCCCCATGTGTGTTGTCTTCCTGTCGTTGTGTGTGTTGCAGCACCGTTGTGGCGACTACCTATCTGAGGCGGCTGTGTGGCGGTCGCAGCAAATGTGCATTGTGTCGGCGCCACTGCACCTATCGGCCATGGTCAAGGGGGTCAGGACGGCTATGGGCACGCTCATCCACGGCCGCGACACATCCTACTGGACATCATTCGGCAGCAAGTGAGATATATAGGGCCCGCAGCGACACTCTCACTCAGGTGGTGCCACCCATGCATCCCTCTCGTCTCCTGCCTGTGTCTTCAGAGAGACCACCTTCGTGTCCAGCATCACTCTGGCCTGGCTGGCAAGCATCTTCGTCGCCCACACAGCGTCCCTGATGTGCCTCCCCCTCCTCCCCCTCTCCCTCCCCGTCACTGTCGGCGCCACGCTGTCCATATCGACGCTGCTGACGGTGGCCGGCCCCCTCTGCTCACTCAACCACTGCTACTGGGGCGTGGGCATCATCCGGCGATGGGCGCAGACGGCCATCGGTCGGCTGGTGCTTGATGCTGCCTCCCTGGCTCTCTATCTCTCACAGCCGTTTTCTGGTGCGCCGCGATTCGCTGGGGGATGAGCAGAGGCGGGTGATTGGGGGTGGGGAATTAAGTGTCTTGTCTTGCTTCTTGGCTGGTGCTAGCTGCGTGGGCGTCTTTTTCGCCGTTATACACATTCATACGTCACCTGGCTACGTGTGTGCCATGTCGCGAATGTTCGTGTCATGATTGTGTGTGCATGTGTGTGTTGATGTGTGAGTGTGTGTGTGCGGAATTCGTGAAGGGACGGATGGGGTGTGGCGACATCATGCCATCTCATGTCATGTCATGTGATGTGATGTGGTGCCCATCTCGTGTGGCCTACTGGCCCCTCTTCGGCAGCTATAACACTGACCTCTCACTCACTCGCTCACTTAATCGCTCTCACTGTCTTGTACATACCTATCTGTCAATCTGCCTCTCACTGGCTCACCTTTTCTCTCTACACACATACACACCAAGCGAGCAACTCTTTCCCTGTCTACGAGACGATGATCGATGGTTGCACGGCTACACTCCCAAGGCCGCCCTCTGGCCATAGGAGTCACACACACGATCGCCCCACCTGGCTGCTTTCTCTGTACGCTTTCTCCGTATGTATGTTTGTTTGTCCCGATCAATCGCACACCCATTCTGCCTCACTCATCTCGATCTCGCTCGCTCTTCCTCTCTGTCACATCGGTGTGTGGATGGCCCGAAAAGAAAGAACTCATTTTTCTGTCGCCTTGTTTGGTGTGCGACCCCTTTCTCTCTGTCCACGGTGTGAGCGGCTGTATCCACGGCGCTTCGAAGATTTCTTAGCCAGGTACTTCTCCGTCACCTCAGTCGAACCGAGAACTGAAGCGTGACAGCGAAGTGGATGGCTGGGGCGTTTTCGAAGTATCGCAGATACAGCGAGCCACGGGCTACCGCAGCCATGACCAACCAATTCTCGCTCGAATGCCCTTGCCTTGCCCCGTCCCGTCCCCGCGTTTGTGTACAGAGATATGGCAACACGTGTACAGATTTAGTAGACATCTGTTATGTTTGGCTCAACGCGACAACTGATGAAGGTGCTTGATGCGGGTCATGTGTGGATGCACCTGAGCACGCTCGTGTGCGTGCCTTTTCTCTGTATCCGCGTGGATGGATGGGTGGGTGTTTAAGTCAGTAAGGTAAGCTGCTTTCTATGCTTTCTGTGTATGTTTGTATGTGTTGGCCTTTAAGCTTGCTGCTGGTGTATGTGGGTGGGAGGGAGGGGGAGGGTGCTTGTTTGTTCAGCTGACTGATTGCTGCTGATGGGATGGATGGATCGACGCACCCCCGATGCTCATTTGCGTGCGACTGACATACACTATACACGTACAAGGGAGGGCGTACACTACTGTAGAGCCACCTGCGTGCCAATGGCTTTCATTCTCAATTGGCACGGCACTCGTGCGTTGGCCAAGCTACTGGTGTCTGCATGTAGTTCACGCGTGTGAGCTTCCATGACCTTCGCGTACGCCTGTACCGACGGCCCCTCGCCGGTCGTCAGGTACATCCGTCCACGGAGTTGGTCGGAGCAAACACGCAGACATATGCAGACACAGATACAGACAGACTGAAACATTCAACTTATTGCATGGGTCGGATTGGTCTCGTACTTGTCGCGCTTCCCTTGATGTGTTTCTTTCTTGATATGTGCTTGATTGGGTGTTGTGGAGACCGGGTGGCGGTCAGTGCGTGGAAGATGGTGCCTATCGCATGTACGATGGGCATCCTCTTCACGTGCCCACCATCCCCGCATCTCCGCATGTCCAACAAAGCGTTCACCGAAGGGCCTGTAACTGCTGTGGGTCGTGGCATATTGCTGTTGTGTGTGCCTGGACGAAAGATTGCTGCCGACAGAGATTCGTTTGTTGATGACGGACCTACCATGAATCGGTACATAAGTCAAGCAATGTTCATGTGTGAGCGTTTGCCTCCCTCGACTACCAATCCTGCCACAGCCCATGATCACCCCAGCAGCACCGGTCTAGGTCTCTCTAGGCCACTCTGCTCTCCATTCGATTGAGCACCTGCTCTGTCTCACCACCCTCACCCTCATCATCAACCGCCACACGGCCGTCCAGGCTCTTGCGCACTTTGGATTGCGCACTGGGGGAAGACAGAAGCGGCTCAGAAGGGCCATATGGCGTCGACCGAGAGAGCTGGCTGTCGCCCATGTTTTTTGCCAAGGGGGAGGTGAAGAAGTCGGCCGTGTTGTCTCGGGAGTGGCGCTGCGCATGGTGGTCTGCCCCTCCTTGGTAGCTGCCGTCCATTACTGTGATCCCTGGTGGAAAGAGAGAGACATACGGAGATGAGAATGTGTCTGCACTGAAGGTGGTTGCGTGATTCATCGACCTGTCCTGACGGATATCTCGCTCATCCGCTTGATTCGATTCAGGTCGGTCATGACCCTCGTCACGATGTCGCTGCTCAGCTGTCGGTTTTCGCGCGTATCCCGCAGGACATGCGTCTTGAGCTTGTGTCCCAGCAGCGTCCCTTCCTCACCAGGTGTGACGGTCCACCGCCGGTCGGACACAGACACAATGTCGTCCCTCTCCGTCTTTATCTTTGACACGAAATACTCCAGCCCGTCCTCACTCTCATCATCTCCCCCCACAGACAATGTCATGCCCAGTGCTTTCGGTGGGGCCGACTTGCGTCTCGGCGCCACCGACGAGATTGAGCTGAGGGGTATGAGGGGGATGCCACCCTCGATGCCGTCGAAGAGGTCCTCGGCCATCTGCCGCTCCGACAGCTTGCAGATGAGCCAGTCGTCCGCCAGGGGCTTCTCCTTGGTTTCTTTCTGGACAGGCAGGGGCAGTGGCACAGGGAGGGGGAGCGACTCCAGGAGGTTTGATGGCGTGGGCGGAGCTGGATTGGCGGGCGTCTGGGGCGTGAGGGGAGGCGTCGGTAACTTCTCGGCGGCAAGTGCAGGGTCGGTGACCACCGAAGGGAGCTGAGCTTCGGCCGGCACTGCTGGGTCCGGGGGAGGCAGGTGTGCCGGGGCGGCCTCTCTGCTGGCTTCCTTCTTCTTCTCTGCGGCCTTCTTGCGCCGCCACATCAGAAAAACCCCGGCGGACCCGCGCGAAATCACAGATCAGATCGCGGGGCCACCGCGCGCGTTGGACCACCCGGCAGACTTGAGGTTTGAGGGATGGGCTACTGGGACAAGGTCAACGTGTGTTACAGTGAGGAGACTACTGCCGCAGATGGTGCCTTTGTGTTGTTCTCCGCCGTTCTCATTGCCCTTATGCAAAGTCAGTAACAGCAGCAGGGAAGGAGGCCATGCCTTTCGCACATTGCTGTGGGTCACGCAGTGGGCTTTGGGTTTGTGGAGCTGGCATGCGTCAGCACAAAGAGTCGAGTCAACATTTTTCTCAAGGTAAGCAAGCTGCACCCCATGGCGCATGGCTTCTCCCCTGAATCATCCTTGCATGGTTGGGTATTGTCCTGTCGGGTCTGTGCAGAACCTGATGGACTTTCTTCTTTCGGGCTTCGGCTGGTGGTATACATTGTGGCCTGATGACGAGGGAGGGCATTTCGGCTGTTTCATCTTTGTGTATGTTTTCGTCCGTGTAGGATTTTTGGCTATGCGATAGCAAGTGGCAGTAAGCTGTCGCTGGAATGGGAGGACCCGCTCGGCTTCTTCTTTGGCCTCACCTTTGCCGGTCACCACATGCGATCTCTACAGAACACGTCATGCAGTGACTCTCCGTTCCTCTGCAGCGACCGCGGGAACAATCGATAGTGGTGCACTCGCTGAAAGGTATCAATGATCTGCTGCACAATGGCTCACTTCATCTGCTGAACACATCTGTCATGACTGTCTTCCGTCATGATCTCTCAGGATCAACTTCAACTCTTATCAGCTGCTGACCTTTTGTATTGCTTCCTTCATCTATGCGGTGCACAGACAAGACAAGGCGGCACTGTTTCCTGCATGTGTCCAATCTGTCTGCATGTGTATGGTCACAGGGAGCAGCCTGGGCTGTCTGGCACGACGATGGTGAGAAGAATGATCAGGCTCTCTGCTGCAGCAAATTATCCTCTCGTGTCTCCAGGCATCTTGTCCAAAATGGGCTACACAGATTTTGCTGGGGGAGCCACGATACACATGCTCGGCGCCGCCAGCGCTCTCGCATCCTGCGCTTTACTCGGCCCCCGGATCGGTCGCTTCACCGATTATAAGCCGTGGACACATCCCAACTGGCTGCGAGTAATCCGGTAGGTCTACAAATGCTGCCAGACGCGGCAGACAATGCTCTTCGATTTTGGCCGCTCGTGCGTTTAGTCGTTCGCAGGATCCTGAAGACTACCTCGCTCCCCCGACTGGGACGGAGATCGTGCCCGTCAACGACGCTGTGTCTCTGATGATCGGCACGGTAAGCTTAAACACACAGCGGTTAACAATCGACGCCGTGTCACGGCTGCCCTGTGTGAATCCCTCAACGACGCTCAGCTGTACCTGACCATCTGCTGGTACGGGTAAGCTGACACACACACACACACACACACACACCGCCTCAACCAACACATTCATCAAGTCTCCCTCATCTGCAGATTCAATTGCGGGTCAGTCGGGCGCATCAGCGGCGGAGCGGACATCGTTGTGGGCCATGTGGCTGTGACGACCACCCTCGGCGCCTTTGGGGGAGGGATCCCATCAGTCATCTACGGCCGGATGTTTAATCAAAACGCGAATGTGAACCCTGGAGACGTGAGCATGGCAGACAGAAAGGGAGAAACAACCGATGGACGAATGCATTGCAGGTGTGTTTGGGCATCCTCAGTGGGCTGGTTAGCGTCACGGCGGGAGCGCCCTACTTCACCACAACAATGTCGTTTATCATCGGCACCATCGGCAGCGGACTCGCCTTCCTCACCGTCCGACTGCTGGAAGCATTCCACATCGATGATGTCGTGCTCGCAATACCGGTACACCTGCATGCATCAGTCTGCCTGCACCCGCACGAGATGTCAAGCGTCATCAGGTTCATGGCACTGCGGGGTTCTGGGGCGCGGTGGCGATCGGCTTCTTCGGCGTCGAATGGAAGGAGTGCGACGAGGTGAGAATGCAGAAGATGCATCTCCTTCATCTTCGTCCGAGTCTTGTCTCGCCCACAGCTGGTGCTGGTTGGTCTCTTCTACGCCTCCGCCAATGACCTGCCGACCGCATGGAAGACGCTCAGGGTGCAGCTCGCCGGTCAGAAATGACACCGGACGAGCGGAGACATAAGTCATGATATCTGTGTGTGTCCTTGGTTGGTCCCAATATCCATCAGGCACGCTGCTTATATTTGTGTGGGCCGCGGGAACGACGTGGCTTGTGTGTGCGCTATTTAACCAGTTCAAGCCGACGAGGCTCCGCATAGACCTGGAAGAGGAGCTAGAAGGCCTCGATGCTGCACACGGTCAGGCTGAGACCTCTGTGCGTCGCGAATACGAGAGGAGGTCTCGTCTCCCTTGTTCTTTCTTCCCATATGCGTGTGTGCAGGCGAGAATGCCTCGGCTGTGCGCGATAATGTCATCGACATGCTTATCCACAGCATTGCAGAGATCGCGCAACATTGGGATCTTTCCTGGATGGCTCAAGGCAAGAGCAGCACCTCCAAGAGCAAGCAGCGGCTGCACCGGGCCACGTCGCGGACCATGGAAGACCTACTCAGCGCCTTTGCCAAAGCATCCCAATGCATTCGCGACCAGAACTTCAGACATCGGATGGAGGAGGAAGGAGGTAAGGCACTCAGGAGAGTCGAGAGACACCTCCCACGGACCAACTATTGTCTTCTGTGATGCCTCTCGGTCTGCCGGTCAGACACGGAGCACTTCCCCGTTTTCCTGCCCATAGAATCCTTCAAAGTCCGGATCATCCAAGCTACACTCGGCCGCGCAGCCGCAGACCTAGATGACGATGAGGGGGATGACGACGCAGACACAGAGAAGGAGAAGACGACCGCTGCGAGTGCCAGCAAGGGCAAGAAGATGCCTTCTTTCCTCAACCCATATGTGGAGGTGCAGTTTGTGCGGGCCAACAGGCGGACGGGGCAGTTCGTCAGCCAAATGCAGATGGGGAGACGGCCGCGATGCACTAGTACAAAACGGCTGACCGATCAGCCGACATGGAATGAAGTAATCGTCCACACACACACGGAGACACAGAGACCCGGACAGGAAACGACGCTGCTCTGGTTTGTTGTTATCAGACATTGGAGTTCCACAATATGGGAGGCGAGATAGCCGATGATCTGTACTTCTTGCTGACGGTGTGGGACTCTGGCATGGTCCTGCGGCCCGGCGGCCGCATCCTGGGGCAAATCGCCTTCCCATGCAGCCCATCGGCGTGGCGCAAACGCCAAGTGGAGCGCAAGAAGTCGCAGAACATGGACGACGCCCTCAGCGGACTGCACCAACGATCGACCATCAAATCAGCGGTGTGCAGAATCAGAAAGGTCACCCAGCAAAGTGTTTTCTCTGTGGCCTTTTTGTGTGCAGGTGCATTACCAGCGGTTACACCAGGAGGCGCGCTTCAAGGTCATCAGGAAAAGGGACGCAACCACAGCAGCCCAGGACGAGAAGGCCTCCAGCCAAGACGACGACATGAGTTTTTCACTCCAGCCGTCGTCCCGCCAGAACAGCCGCACCCTGGACGACACTGACGCCCCCTTGAAGCGATGTCTCGAAATGCTGCCGTGCTTCCGCAAAGGAGGAGACTACCAGGAAAGGCCACAGACGCGAGGGATGTTGAAGTTCCAGGTCATGTTTGAACCTGACGAGCACACGGAGAAAATTGCCGAAGAGGACGAAAGGCAGCGCGCCGACCGTCTGGCAATGATGAACAGAGCGAGCGGCGAGCAGTCAGAGGCTGCCGTAGAGGGTTTGCTGGGTGCGGCCCCCTCGGCTGACACGCTTCGCAACAGGAAGGTGAGCATTGCGGACGGCCTGGTGACAGAAGCCTTTCCCCTGAGTAAGGGGAGCTATCGATCGGGCAAAGGCGCGGCAGAGATGGTGCGGATGGCTTCGCTTCTCCGTGACAGTGAAGACCACGGTACTGTCCCGACCGGGGTCCTCGTGAAGTGGACGGACAGTAATGGTATCCCAGCGGACTTGAGAAGCCTCTCTGGCGCATACGAGATGGCGGGGCGGCAGGACGGCAGGCCGTACTATGCGAAGCCGTCTCGGGACGGCAGCATGACTTGGTATCTGTTCTGGTCTGTGGCGAGGGAGATGTGGCTGCTGGCCGACGTGGTGGGGTCGACCAGCCCTGTTGCCTTCTCGTCAAGGGAGGAGAGAGACGACGACGAAGAGGGGCAGCCGGCGGCTCTCTCTCCTGACAAAGCCGCGCAGCCCTGGTTCCTACATGGGGTTGGCCATTAGATGTCAAACAACCGGTGAGACACGAGTCTTCTTGTCGTGTATCTGTGGATACCAGGTTTGTATGGAACGGCCACAGCGGATGGGACGAAAACACGGCATTCTCTGTCCTTCCTGACCCTGGTACACACGACCCCCCCAACAAACACAACACATTCCTTGCCTGTGTGTCTCTGCGTGTCTCCCTTGTCCTGCCTGCAGGGGTCCCCCGCTCTCGATTCGAGGTCCCTCTCCCAGGTGCGGTCCCCTGGGGCACTTACAGACCGCGGCCGCCCAGTGTGTCTAGCCTCCCTCCCCCGCCCCTGCCCGGCGGGATGAAGCTCAACCAAGAGCAGAAGATTCAGGTCACGGCCAACCAGTTCTCCCAGACGACGGCCATGCTGAGGAAGGGGGCGCGGGGGACTGTTGAGACAGAAAGGGAGAGGGGCAATTTGTCGCGTGAGGGGAGTCAGAGTCTGCAGCAGATGGTGGCACAGGCCATCAGTGGGGATGCGGGGAATGGGTGTGAGACACCGCACTCGGCTGCCTCACAGGCGCCTTCACCGAGATGAATGGAGGTTTATTGTTCTTGGTCCACATGGTGTCGTGCTGGCCGGGTGGGGGATGCAGTGTCGAGTTTGTTTTGGTTTGGTTTGGCCATACGTATGTGTGGGCAGTGCAACGCAGTGGACTGTGTGTGTGATGTCTGCATGGCACGAACGGGCGAAGCCCGTCTACGTGCGGCCTCTGCGTGCTGCAAGGTGTGTGTCCATGATGCATGCGTGTGTGCGAAGACGTGAATGCGTTCGCGTTTTGTGTGGTCGATTTTTGGC